AGTCACGGAAGTGATTTCATCGACGACGGGTGCGCGAATATTATGCAACGTTCGTTGCTCTATTCGTTCGGGCACGCGAATATTTTCATCCGCTCGTAAAATTCACGTTATGCGTGATCACGAGAGAGAGAGAGAGAGAGAGAGAGAGAGAGAGAGAGAGAGAGAGAGAGAGAGAGAGAGAGAGAGAGAGAGAGAGAGAGAGAGAGAGAGAGAGAGAGAGAGAGAGAGAGAGAGAGAGAGAGAGAGAGAGAGAGAGAGAGAGAGAGAGAGAAAGAGAGGTCCGATCGAAAGCGATGGCATCTCAAGTGCGGCCGATCTCTTCCTAAGAATTGAAAACGTCCGTTTACAGTTAAGAACCGCGGCTCGCCACCTGTTTAACCGTGCGGCTGTTCCGCAACCACTCTGCCGATTCGATGTGTAAGTAAATAAGGAATACGCGAGGTAAAACACGTCTCGCGCGACACGAGTGTCTCGTCGAGGGAAGGCCAGTCGTCGTGTGCGACGAGATGTCACTGAGTGATTTTTAGTTACGTCTAGAGATTATTTGAGCTATTTGCAGTCAACGTTTTCTTAACAGGAATGCCGAAGTATCGATGATCTTTAAGTCGGTAAATAAAAACGTACGATTTTACGGCTCGTATGAATTAAATTCAGAGACACAGATAAATGACGAATTTTGCTCTTTGTTCAATTTCAAGTGTATGGACTCCACTCGGAATATTAATTAAGGACAAGGTTGTCAAAAAAAGAAAAAATAAATATTGAATATTGAATATTAAAAAGATGTAATAATAAAAAATGTATTCTGAAAATTCATAAAAATAACAAAAATATTTAAAAAATATCATTCAATATCCTTCCTTTTATTGCGGAATGTACAGAATGCGATTGCTCAATTTTAAGTTTTATTTTCACGTATTTACAATAATTGCAGTAAAAATCTAAACTAGAAATCGTATAAAGATTAGTGGGTATATCGAAATTGAAAGATTTGATAGATAAAAATATTTTTCCAAAACTAAACGATATACCGCTGTTAAATAGACTGCCTAATTAGAAGTTACGCAAACGGCTAATGAGCAATTTGTCGCATGTTTATAATTCGAGAAAAAATATACGTTTGTATAAACTCTGCCTAGAAAGATTATAGGTAATTAGGTCACAGTAAATTATGTTAGAGCGCTAACCGAAACCATTAATAAATCAGGAAACAGTTTTTCCTATACATGCTTACTCATAAATGAAGCGGTTAAGGAGATAAACATTCATGCAATTCTGGCAAAATTTATATCTTTATTTATGAAATTGTTATATGTTAATAAAACTTTAATTATATAATTGTTTTTGATTGCAGTATTTAAATTATTTTATTGAACTGTGCTATTTATATCAATGCTATTTTAATAAATTTTCTTTAATAAAAAATATACATAATATAAAAATAATGATTTACTAGGCGAATATTGAATTTCGAAGTAAAATACGAATTTTATTTATTTAATTATATATATATGATGCAAAAATAATATATAAAATTTTAAAATTTAATACCACTTCGTAATCTAATAAATTATATATAATAGAACCTAAATAAAATCATCAAAGATTCATCGGATTACTTGATGAAATCTACGTTATAATCCTGAGAAATTTGGAATGTTGGAAATTTAATAAAGATTATAATCCAAAATTCAAAACTTGCCTTTCGCAGTTAACGAAGGGAATAAAATAATTATATGCAAGAGAGTGGAGAGAATTGAAAAGCTGTGTTATCGTACTAACAATAGATGCGATCGCCGTCGATATCGCCCGATGAGATAAAAGAAAGAGAGAGAGAAAAAGAAGAGGGAAAGAGGAGAAGATGAGAGGAAGATAAAAAGCAAAGACTAAACTATTCTTTAATGCCGCGGGACTCTCACGTTAGGCGATTAACAGTACTTCTCGTGGGTTATAACTTTCCGGACACGCTTCGACGAGGCTTTGTCGCCCGGGCTCCGGTCGTCGGTGGCGAGACCCTCGTAAATCTGACAATTACTACACTCGAAGCCGCGTGTATCCGACCGCCGGGGAAATCGCAAATGAAATAACTACGAGCGACTAATAACACTGCGTTTCTTCTCTCTCTCTTTGTCCCTCAATCCGCACGGTTCGCGACGCGACTGCGAGAAAACGTTATTCGCCGGGTTGCATCGCCGCGAGTAAACCGAATCAGGAACGTGCGACCGCAAATTAAGACGCGCTCTGTGCGTGCATATGCACATATATACGTAGACATGCGAAGCTTTACGTCACTATGTACAGACCACCCTCGCGACAACCGAGCGTTTATCCTCACCAGTGGCGAGTCCGGAATTCTCGAGTGCTTTATGCGAAGGTGCTGTTCATTTACGATACATGATATAATTGTGTCGTAAACATTTTTACATCACTTCTGCAAAAATAATTCTTCAAATAATAATTCAATTAAAAAGAAAATTTAATTTTTAATATACTTATCTTTGTCTTTATATCTAGTTTTATACATATATTTATTATTATTTTATAAATAGAATTATATCTTTTGTTATCGGCAAGATATCCCATATTGCTATTCAGGGACTTAAATAATACAAAAAAAAATTAACATCATACCCATCGTAACACATTACGTATTCTGTATTATTTACATATATTCATGCGTACAAAAAATATAATTTTAGTCCGGAATTCTCGAGTGCTTTATGCGAAGGTGCTGTTCATTTACGATACATGATATAATTGTGTCGTAAACATTTTTACATCACTTCTGCAAAAATAATTCTTCAAATAATAATTCAATTAAAAAGAAAATTTAATTTTTAATATATTTATCTTTGTCTTTATATCTAGTTTTATACATATATTTATTATTATTTTATAAATAGAATATATCATATCTTTTGTTACCGGCAAGATATTCCATATTGCTATTCAGGGACTTAAATAATACAAAAAAAAAAATTAACATCATATCCATCGTAACACACTACGTATTCTGTATTATCTACATATATTCATGCGTACAAAAAATAATATAATTTTATTTCTTCCATATATAACTACTCTCTAAAAGTGAATCAGTGTATTATCACTGTAATCAGTGCTGTACTTACTAACTGCTTGTAATCAGTGAGAATTTACTGCTTTTCAGTGATAATACACTGAGAGTAATCTTCTCATTAAACCGATATTTGATAGTTATTCTGGTTCTCAAGCTTTCAATTATATTCTCTCTATATATATATTATTAATATTTTTGGTCTATCGCATATATATAAATTTCCATTGCGAACTGCGCCTGCAATTATTACTGCCTTTATCGTTCTTGTATGGGTCATTCCGACAAATTAATACATGCACTGATACGCATGATTGAGTCTCCATTTCGAGATATCTTTATTCTTTCGGTATAAAGATATCAAATATTTGCGCATAAGGAATCCCGATGCAAGCAAGATTAAATAATGATTTTCATCGCAAGCGTTAGGAATTTGTATTATCGGGATAGAACAAAATTCTCAAATGTGAACCTAGAGTAATGAGAAGAAAGGACGATTATACAAGAGAAAGATATCGGCGGAAAATAGTTATTGCGATCGCAGATCGGCTCTTATTGCCAACTTATCGCGCGTGTACTTGCAGCCGGCATTCGTTTATTATCGATCACACTATTAGTGGCACATATGCTATCGATATTTGCTTCACATACGCTGGCTTTTCCGTGCTTATCGCAACCTCCGCGCATTTTCTCTCATCAAAGCTCTCTTTTTTTCTTTCTTTCTTTCTTCCTTCTTTCTCGCGAAATATACATATACATATGCATAATCAGATATTAATAATTTAATAATGACGCAAATATTAAAAGCGACTTTCTTGGTGCTTATCTATTAATTCTGTTCTAAATAGTTGGAATTTTTCAAATTCAATTAAAAGTAACAGGATTAATCTCTTCCTCGCGTTAATATTCATAAGTCACGTAACGAGTGAGTAGGACAATCGAGAATATCAAATTGGAATGATCTTCGTTTCGTTCTCGAAAGCGCAAAATTTGACGAGCAACGACAATAGAAACGACGAATGACATTCCTACTGCACGGACACCTACAAACGGGGGAGGATGAACGTAGATAGAAGGTAAAGATCGATAGAGGTTCGTCGACTCTGCGACGACTGACCGACGACTCGATGGATTAGCTCGTAACTTTTCTAAGTATGAAAGCCCTCAATTCGCGATGGTATCGAATTTTCATAATCGTAAATAATTAAGCTTAATAAATTCACGATAAAGGAATTTCTTGAAAAAATAATATTAGATATCACAGAATATTAACGATGTAGATACGTAGTATTCCTCGTAAAATGTGAGATCGTTTTCAAGGTGAAATCGATTTTTTATTAGTAAAAAGAAATATTACAATTTTATATTATGAATATTTTATATTGCGGATATAAAAATATTACATAATTAATATATTCATCTATTTATATATCTATGCATCTCAAAATTTTACATTCAAATTTACGTAAATTTACGTAAATTAGTTAAATAATGTTGCATTGTTTATTTATTTTCATAAAATTTCATTTTCAAGAATGATATTTCGGCTGCGGTCGAGGAGACGTTTCGGGACAAAAGGAGTAAAGAATTTTTGGACCAGTTTGATTGGTCAACGCTTCGAAGCATTCAGAGCGTCTCCCCGACCGTAGCCCTTGAAACATGCTAACTGAAATCGGCTCTGAATTTTGAGATAACATTAAAGAGAGAAGGACGTTAGAGGACGCTGAGAAGAAATTACAGATAGCGTATTACGTGATAGTTTTCCGCGAATTCGAAAGCATTAACGTATACATATATGTATATTTACGAAAGTTCGTGTGGCCATGTTTGTAAACAACGTCACGCTCTGAACTTGCATGCTTAAGAAAAGTACGCCATTTTGACTTTACTCTACAAGTGATATTTAAATTTATACGTTACTCACCAGAGTTATCTCGAGAAACTGCTTCCCAGAACCTCGCTACCTGGAGCCTGCACCTCTTGGCTTAATCCGAGCGGCGCCTATCACAGACTTTCCACTTTTCCATTCGTTTAACCGTTCAACGCGCGCGCGAAACTCGACCGAAAGTCGACAATTGATCACGACGAGTCCGAGAATCCTTCCGCGAAAGTCACGCGAGGCACAATGAACACGATTGTCACACAAACAGTGCGTAATTAATCACGCTCGCGGTTACGATAGCCGATGATAGCCGGCACTTAGTTCGAATTTCCGTAAAAACTTGCTGACACGGGCCGAAGCGCCATCCCGTATCGCCGAACGATCCGTCGAAACTGCGTCAGCAATCGAGACGCCAGTGCGACTCGACGGCGTTGGGTGGGTGGGGCGGGAGGGGGAAGGAAGGAGGAAGGGAGGGCGCGAGCTTGAAAATTTTCAAAGCAACTTGCGCCGATCAGGTGGCGCTTGACATGCTTACCGTGGCACGCGCGCGGCGTTTCGTCGCGTTCGAGAGTTATTTTGCCGCAAAGGCAAAAATAATCACCACTGCCTCGAGCCTCGGGTCATCGTTGCTCCCGTGCGACGCACGGTCGACGCTCGTCGACGACGACTCGGCTCGCGCGCGCGATTATGTACAGTCAAAACCGAAACTCCCGAGCGTAATTCGTTGGCGAAAAAAACTCGCGACACTCGATGCTCGTCGCGGGCGACGATCGTCAGCACTGTCCTCTGTCGGAGGTGGTGGCGGTGGCTCTTCTCCGTGGGCGTGATGCGCGCGAAAACGTCGCGGACGCTCGATCGCTCGCCGCGGGACTTTCCGCGGCAACGTTCACGCCGGTGCGCTCGACATTACTGATCCCCGACGGATCCTCTCGTCGCGGCCGACGATCCTTCGTCCGCGGACACATGTTTATCGCGAACTGCCGGCATGACGGGACACGCGCGCGTGTCGTAGGAGAGCCGACGCAGCGGTAAATACGCAGCGTAAAACGTCCTCTGACCGTCGTCGGCGCGCCCGTACTGCCGTATACGGGACGGCACGGGGTGACACGACGGGTGGGCGGCGGGCGACGATGCGCGACGACGTGCGACGATGACGCGCGAACGGAGCCGCTGGTGGCCGATTGCCGACGAACGAACGAACGGGCGGGCGGGCTCGCTCGCTCGGCTCGCTCGCGATCAGCTGATCGCCACGCGCGCTGCTATGGTAACTCGCACGACGTCAGCGATTGATTCCGGCTGCTCCGTCAACGGGACTGCACAGGCGGCGATTCATTTCGTAGATTCGCACGCTCGTTCGTTATCTGCGCGCACGTTGTGCTGCACGCCAACCTATGCTCGTACGCATGCACGTATGCACGCATGCTCGCGACGCGGCTTCTCGGTATGTATATCGCGCACGTGCGACACCGCCGTAGCGTCGAGTGGCGATCTCTCGTATGTGCGTGCACGCGCGTAAATAGACGTCTCGGGCGCTGAATGTCCGTGAATTTGCGAGATAACACGCGTCATAAGAAGACTTTTTAGAGTTCGCTTTCTTTCTTTTTTTAGAACCAGAGGACGCGTCAAACGAGAGAGTAAAGTAGAAACAAGAGGACTAACAGAGAGATACGAAAAAAAGAGAATGGCAGATAGAAAAGGAGTGGGAAAAAAAAAGAGATGCTGTTATAAACTGGCCTAAGCGCGACTCATCACACGGCTTGAAAACGACGGTCGAGCGTGACAGGAAGGAAAATCACGAGGCGAGCGTGGTGGTGGCGCGAGCGACAACGTTGACCATCCGCTCGTGTCGGCAGCCGGGCGTGCACTGCCTTCTCGAGTCGTCGGTTGGTTCTCCATCCTCGACTCCGGCTCCGGCTGGCTGGCTAGCTGGCTGGCACACTCGCTCGCTCCCTCGCAGCCTCCGCGCGCCGACCAGAGTAATCGTGATGTGTGTATGTGACGGGGATCAGCTTAATATTCTTGCGATAGAAGAATGGGCAATCGATTAAGAGAAATATTTATTGAAATCAATTTTTTATTTTTCGAAAAAGTCAGGAAGAGAAGGGAGAAGAGGAAAAGAAAAACTCAAATTTTTTTGCCAGTACTTGGAATAAGTTGTGCTTCAGTTATATCAAGATCAGTTGTATTGTCTTAATTAATATTAATGCTGGATTAATTCAATTGTTTTTCAACTTGTATTGTTTTCCTAATTATTCCATGATATGTAATATGTAACTCGTTGTGTATGTGTAGGATAAAGATACATCTAAATATGCAAAATCGAATTAAAACTCCTTTATTTAATTAATAAAAATAACAATGATTAGCATTTATTGTGTAATAAGATTTAATCGCCGATTAATGTACACGTAATACTAAAATCAGATATTGGTCAGTGTTTCCAATAATAAGATAATATGAAAATATACGCATATCTGTATGATGAATTAAATAATATGATGAAATTTAATAATAATATTATATATTCATGATAATTTATATAATATTATATAAATTATAACGAAAATTTAACAAATTATTGAAATCGTTCTTAAAATCATTAATCTGTTATTTTATGAAGTATTTTAAGAAAAATATAAATATTATATTCATTTAATGGAGTTTTTTTAGTCGCATTGCGGCATTTTTACAAAAGCCTCACTATGGTTTTACTTATCTTGGCAACTGTTCTATAAAAGTTTCCGCAGTGTGAATTTGAAAATTTTTTTTTGGCTATGTGAAGTCCAAACTTTTCAATTAAAATCCTTTTGAATATAAGTGATTGAACATTATCTTAATTCATTGTTCATTTCGTTAACGATTTACGCTAGAAAATTAAGTGATGCAATAACGTGATTATTCATGACGTGATAATTTTTTTCTATTTTTTATTTAAATATATCAAGTTATGTATGTACATTGTATTTCTTCTCAGATTTATAAACTGAATAGTAGAAAATTATACGTTTACATAATTACTACGAAAAACGAAATACATTCACAATTGACAGACGAATTAATTCAGTTTACGATTAATCAATTTTCTTTCTCAATCGTAATATAAAGATAAAAAGAGATAGAGAAGATCTGGTTAAATTACCGTTCAAGTTAAACGACGATGGTGAAACTCTTCATAAGTATATGATATATATTGCTTGGAACATAAAGACGATTATACAAAGCAACGCGAGAGGTCGAACAGAGAGAATCGTCGATCACGAGACAGAGAATCTGCCGATGAATGGCCGCAGGCCGCGGATGTGGGTGTTGCTATTCGAATATTTCAGAGTGAGATCAATCCGAGATTTTTTCTTTTTCTGCACGATGTGTGACCGAGATGTAGACGAATCAATGGCCACGCCTTTGGGAAACGGACGCTGCCCCGTTGTCCGTCGAAGACAAAGACGCCCACGTGCGAATTGTATCTCCCTCGTAATCCGAAAAATCCTTTAGGAAACTATCTCCGATAATTGTCGTATCGAGAAACTAAGTATGACCGACTATCACCGTATTCTATTCAACTCTTGTCCTCTTTCGCGAGAAATACATACTATTAGTCATCGCGTAGTCTAAATTCTTTCTTGCCTGCTTGCATAAAGATATATCAGATAATTTTCTTGATGTCATACTTGTCAATTCACGATATTATTATTTATAAATATTATAATTATCAAAATATATAATCAGAATAAATTATGTAACATATATAAATTATATAACAATTACATACATCTATAATTTAAAAATCTGAAAAAATATCATTTACCAAGTTCAAGTCCACTAAAAGTCCAATAGATGCTAAATTTCTAAAGTTGCAACATTTCAAACCAAAATATCAGTAAAAATATCAATAAAAATATAAATAAAAATCCCAGAATTTATTTCTTGCAAAACAATGTTTTCTGCAATGCATTGTAAATCCATTAGATGCATGAGAGTGTCAACTAGCAGTTGCCATATAAAATGTATTATGTGCGAGAGAGGATCGCCCGGAGTGCAAATGTGCGATCGCAATACATCAATTCATGAGTGGACCGAGTATAATAGATAAGTGAGAGAATTTTTGAATGTTCTATTTTCGCGAATCCTAGCTTTGTTATCCCAGGTTTGTGTATGATGATACGAGAGTTATGTCGACGCTGAAACTATCATAAATGTGCAACTCGTGTGATATGGCAACGCTAAATGATTCGATAACAATTCGTAAAAATTTTAATAGGTTTTTCATAAAAGTATGACTTTTTATCTATCAAATGTGCGATTTTCTTCGAACATTAAATCGATATTTCTTTTTTAAATATAGAGGTATATATTTTTTTAGATATATATTAAAAAACTATCATAAATATTTAATTTTAGCTATTCTCTTTATTATATTATACCTCATTATTAATATTCTATTACAAATTTTATACGACAGTAAATATATAAATTTGTCATTCGTTATTGTGATTAGAATTGATTAGTGAGAAGTAATTTATAGTATGAAATACATGGCATTATTTGTCTATGTTTATGAATTAATTTTTTTTACATTTGAAATTTGAATTATATAATAAAAAATAAGGATTATATGTAATAAAAAAGTATAGAAACAATATTTTCAAAGTTACATAATACCATACATAATAATTGCATAATGAAAAATTACAAATTATTTAGTTATGTCTATGTTTAATAAGAACATGAATACAAATACAGTATTTATATAAAATGATATAAAATATTATATATAATCTTTTTTGTGAAAGTTTTTTTTATAAAGCGTGTTATAGAATGAAAAATAAATTCTATTCTCATGCTGCCATCTACCTCTGCTGAGAAGACTACATAATTCCTATATGTAGCCAGCAAATTAGTAAAAAGATATTCTGTACTCTTCTATAGTTGCTTACTAAATAAATATTCTAATCCTATCAATTATTAACTAATTTTTTTATTATTACTTTAATGATTAGATTTATAAAGACTGATTATATTTTCAATTTAAATCTTTAGCTAATTAAAATAAAAAAATTATATAAAGAAATATGATACTCAGACCATTACAGCATAAGTAATATGCATCATGCAGTTATAGAATAATATATATTTCATAAAATATCTTAGTACCTCATTATAAAATTTTTAAATATTTTTTGTATACGAGCTTAATTAAGAGCTTTATTATATTATAAATCAATTATGCATTCTAGAAAAAAAATATAATTACATATTCAGATTATACAATTTTGTAACTTGAATTTCGTTTTTAATTTCGTTAATATTAGTAATCAACATTGCTAATAACCACTACGAATGGTCGGTAATTTATTAACAGCAGGTATATTACATATTACTTTGCAATATTTTGATATTATGACTGTGTTCCAATATTCACTGCCAGTACTGAAAATTTATAGTGAATGTCACATAATATTGGAACGCAATATATATATATATATATCTGTTACTAATAAAAAATACATTGCATTATATATATAACATATTATTTTTCTTAGTCTCAGACTTTTATATTTTATTATTTTAGTTACGTTTTCTTATTAACCAGCATTCACTATTATTCATACCTTATGTCGCTAAATGATAAAATGGTAAATGGTGCATTCTGAAGGCAACTTGCTAAAATTCAATTAAAAAATTAATTAAAAATTGGCAAATAAATGCTTTTCAATTTAATTTTTTAATTTAATTGTGCTAAAATTTATTTATTTAAATAATAAATGTCACGATAGTGTAAATGCAATTTAATTATTATTTAAAATTACCATTTTAATGCTGAGAAATGTTTATTTCAAAATTACTAAATTATATATATGTATATATACTGGGTGTTCTAAAAAGGTATGTTAAAAATTTAAGGAGATATTCCTCACACCTGAAGGATGAAAAAATGTTATATGGACATAGATGCGGAAATGCTTATTTCAGGAATTATGTTGAAAATACTGTTAGCTGTATTACTTACATAAGGAAAAATTTAGGATTAATTATTGTAGACGACAATCGTTTAATTATTATTTACATTTGGTTTTAATGTGATCTTGAGTTATAATAAATGTTCTTGAGTTATAATAAATGTTGAAAATGTTCATCATTTTTGTGAATACAAGCAGTGACATGTCGACGCATCGATTCATGGACACGTTCAAAAATGCTACCAGTACGTGATATTCAAGATTTTCGTGACCGTATTACTGCAGGTTGTGAGACAATCCGCTGTACGCCAGGTATTTTTGAACGTGTCCGTGAATCGATGCATCGACGTGTCACTGCTTGTATTCAGGAAAATGGTGAACATTTTCAACATTTATTGTAACATACTCAAGGTCACATTAAAACCACATATAAATAAGCGATTGTCGTCTACAATAATTAATCCTAAATTTTTCCTTGTGTAAGTAATACAGCTAACAGTGTTTTCAACATAACTCCTGAAATAAGCATTTCCGCATCTATGTCCTTATAACATTTTTTCATCCTTCAAGTGTGAGAAATATCTCCTTAAATTTTTGACATACCTTTTTAGAACACTCTGTATATATATATATATATATATATATATATATATATATATATATATAATGAATTGACAAATGAATTGATTTCAATGATTTATTCTTCTAAAAAAGAATAAATTACTGAAGTCAATTCATTTGTACGCAGATGTTTCGTATTATAATATATTATTTAGCGCACAATGCATGACGTAATGTGCATATGATATGAGATAATGTGTTGATTATAAAACTTTTATAAACTATAATATAAATTGCGTAACATAAATTATTTATGATATAAGTAGTGATTTAATATTATAGTAACAATGTTTTGAAGTCAATGAGATTCTCACCTCTGATATTTCGAATGTCTTATAGAAATGTTTTATCAGAAAAAAACAGAAAGAGGTTATTAATAAAATATTTAATAAAAATCTAATAAAAAAGTTAAAAACTCAAAAATAGTTTAATTAAAATTATATTTTAGATGAATCACTTTTTCTTCTTTCAAAAGAAATATTTTAAAGTTAATAAAAATATTATAAAGTATATAAAGTATATAAAAAAGTATTTTATTATCTTATTATTATTATAATGTATGTGTGTATAAATGTGTGGAGACAGAACATGTCAATGTTCTAATCATAATAAATAAAAATATAATAATAAATATGAAATAATAGTTATAATGTAATAATAAATGATTTTTAAAATTTTAAAAGCTATTTTTATTTAAATATTTATAGAAATTATTGTAAATTTTATATATCATATCATTCGGAATTAAATTTTTAATTTATAAAAATACAAGTGCTACTCGAATTTAAATATATTACATATATATGTGTGAAATTCAAAATCTCTTCAGAAATACATATACATTTTTATATTATATATATATATATATATATATATACATATATACATATATATATATATATACATATATATATATATACATATATAAATACACACACACATATAGGGTGTTTCCGAGTTAAATGGCCAAACTTAAAATATAAATTCAGGACCTCAAAACAAAAATTTTATCTGGAAGTTTGCTCGCAAACGCTTCGTTAAAGAGATATTGACTTTTAAAGTTATAGAATTATAGGAATAAATGTCGAAATAATTTAGATTTATCCTCTTTATTGCTTTACATTAGTCAAACAATTTAATTTAATTATTAAATATTTTATTCAAAATGATGACCTCCAGCCTGGAGACAAGCTTTACACCTATCAATAAGAGAGCGAGTGGCTGCCTGACATTGTACGTCTGAAATTTTTTCGCACTCTTGTACTATTCTCTATTTTAATGATTGAAAGCCATTAATAAGCACTTCATGTACTTTTTATTTTAGAGCATTTTATATAAAAATATCTAATGAGATTAAATTCAGTGAACGCGGAATACAAGTCTAGCATGACCGATTCATCTTCCAGGAAAATGAACATTAAACCAGTGTAGAGAATTTCTACCATATCATTTTTTATTTATTTATTATCAATGATCTCTCTTTCTTTTCTTTTATACAATATGTGGTAATTATACATACTAGTACATATATTTACACATGAATAATAGAAAAAATACAAAGTTAGGGTATTTTATATGACATTAAGTACATTCAAGAGAAAAATTACAGTTAAATAATTTAACATTATAACATTTAATAAAATAATAGTTTATTCTATTATCTAAAAATTCATTAAAAATTTGTTTATATTCTTCTGAAACTTTTTTTTGGTTCGTTAAATGTTCACTGTATAAATCTGCATTTTAAACTCTAATGAAAAACAATATGAAGGACGTTTCTTCTTACATGCATAAGAACGATTTCACATGCGAGTGAAAAAAAAAACACATACTGAACATTAAATTTTTTTTTCTAGAAAAATGAAATATGTATAATCAACATAAAAGACGTAAAGACAAGCATTTATTTGCAGACATTCCATTCTTTTTTTATCGTAGTTTATTTTTGCTCTAACTTAATAGAAAAAAAATTTACAAATCAAAATAATAATAATATATACGATTCATTAAGCTTAATACACCCCAAATTAGCAAAATCAAGAGAACAGTTATTAATGTATAATGAGCAATCTTCAGCCTAGAAGAAAGCAAATTTTCTCATTATATATACGTTTTGTGAGATAAAAACTAAAAGCAGAAGTATACTCACTTCTTATATTTCACTCTTCCCTTTTCTACAGTCTCTATTGGATCATTAAGTATATATATGCGCATACCAAGAAACAAATACTTAAGATATGATTCCCAGTCTAAATTATCCAAATTAAAGTCGAAAATTTCACGATCAGCTGGATTTATGCGTCCCCAGAGTTTTATAACAGAATCGTTGCAGAATTGCCATTGTTGTGAGGAAAAGTATGACATTAAGGAATTAAATTTGTTTATCCTCTCGTAAGTCTTTCGTAGCCTATAAATTATAAAATTTGTATTTTTGCGGGAATTCTTCGTTATATGAAATCGATGAAAATCTTACATGGGTTTTCGACCGCTTAGAAAAAGCAGAGTATCGACTATGGCAGCAGGAATTTTATGTAAGAATACGACGCAGACATCATTCATGAATTTGGATCTGTTTAACACGTATATATAATACCATACAACATGCGTGCTTACTATTTGCATAGCATGAATCTTATTCAAGTCGAAGAATTTCCCCCAAGTAATGGGATTTTGACATATTGACACATAATTGTAGATTGGCACTCTCTCGATTTCTGATATTTCTGGATTTGCGTTGTCGATGTTTAATAAAGCATTTCTACAACGAGAATTATATATAACAAATAATAAAATTATTAATTATTATATGTTTTAATATTTTATTTTTTATTATGTAATAAAATATTAAGGGAAAGGAAATAAATATAACATCTTTTTTACATATACGACACTTGCTCGAATATTTTTATGTATATATATATATATATATATATATATATATATATACATATTGATATACATATACATATATATATATATATATATATATATATATATAGATATAGATATATCAATATTTGAATGTATATTATTGCGTCCCGCGATTTCATCTCTGTATGGAAACTATATCGGTCTCTGAGTGGTTGTCTCTGAACGTGTTGTCAAGAGATTTATTTGTAATTAATAATATACATAAAATCCAGAGCAACTATTAAACAATGCAGTTTAGGAACAACTTTGTTTCTCATATTCGGATATTATTATTCAGATTACATTAAATTAAATGATGACTTTATTAATTTAATTTGGATTGCGAATCTCGAACGATCGCTGCATAGTGCATTTTGATATATCAAAATTGAATCCATGGACGCAAAAATATAAATGGTACGCATTAATCTTATATGTAAAATATATAAATCAAATATTTTCGGTAATTATCTTACTTTTTTTTGGCTACATCCCAACTCGCGACAATGAGATGAGAAATGACGTAATCGGCGGGCACTAGATCTGCTACAATTTCAGGTACGCAATACATAGTACGTAATAAACCTAAAGCAGTACTCATAGCTGCACCCGCCGCTCCATATACATTGTTAATCCATCCAGGTATTGGATCTTTTGCCGTTGATACTACAATTGATGGACGTACAATGCAGACTGGAATTTCATTACTGTATTGCCGCATAACATCTTCAGCGATTGCTTTTGTATAGGAGTATGTATTTGGCCATTTACCTATTAATCTGCAAACACATATATCAAACACAAATTATGAGTCATAAAGTCCGAATTGCAATTTTCCTCTATTTTTGGTCTCAATATTTAATCTAAAATTTACTTTCATATCAAAAGCTCAGCTTTTTATATCTTCAAGTGACATTGTTTGAGAAAAAAAATAAGATAATATAAATTGAACTTATATCGAAATCTCTTAAATTTTAATTCATAAATTCATAAATTTAAAAATTAATTAATTCATAAATTTAGGAAAAATGGAACTTCAAAATAGAATCAAAATTTCAAGAAGTATCTATGTATATTACAACTTTTTCATATTCTTAAAAAACAAAGTTAAATAAAAAGCATAATATATTTATATTAATAACACAATAGTGAATTTTCGGTTGGATATAATAGTACGCTCTTGATGCATATTAAAAAACTAAAATTTATCATAATATAAATAACTGAAATAATAAGATAATGAATATTACGAGTTATTATTAATGTTATTCATATTGAATGTACACCAGTGCATTACAATAATACATTAGTATGTTCAACCGAATTTATTATATGTTTTTAAATGTATATTAGGAAATACAATATATAGTACATAAGAGAAAAAAAAGAGAAGGAAAAAAAAGAAAGAAAAACGTTAAAGAGAAATTAGAAACAAGTTATGCATACATTGTAATGTTCTGGTAATGTTATAAAATATTTGAATAAATATATTAAATAACATTTAAATTTTTAAATTTTTTAGGAGAACACTTACGCCGGTGTTAATTTTTCCACCTGTTCATCGTCCAAAATATCGAGTAATGTTAAAATTTTATCCGATTCAATAGGTGGAGGATAAAACTTTTCTTCAATGAATTTGTGTATGCAGTGCGAATATGCGGTAGATACATAAACGAATGCCTAAAAAATAATTATGTAATCAAAGTCGCATTTTCGCAAAAATGAATCTCGAGTAAAATGAATTTTTTTATATACTTTCAAATCTGGCATTTCTTTCGCGAGAAGAAGAAATTGTTTCGTTCCTCTCACGTTTATGTTGACTGCAAGTCGCAAGTGTTCGTTAAATCGTACAGTTGCTGCCGCGTGAAAAATTATATTTGTATCTAAAATACGTTTTCGATTTTCCGGTGACAATCCGAGATCCAATTTGCTTAAATCACCTTGTATCATTATTACTTTGGTGCTAAAATTGGGCTGCTCTTTTTTTAGTTTGTCATAAACCTAAAGAAATAAAAAAATCAAATATAGAGTGTATATCTCTTTTTTTTAATTATACAAATATTTTTTTTGTATTACAGGTTCGTTGAAGTGTTCTTGGAATCGCTGTTCTGGTGATTTTTCTTTCTTTGCTCTCATTAATACGTAAATCTTCTCTATATCTGGACAACATCTATATATATATGAATGTTTTATCTGTTTTAATGAAATTTTTAGCATGTATTTATACGTGATTTATATGATATATAGCTTTGATAAACTTGTTGATAGTTTAATAATTATATTAAATATTATAATAGAGGAATATCCCCTCAAAAAAAGGAATGTTTTGGAAAAATCCGTTCAAGTTTTAATTTGTTAAAAATATAGCGATAGATATATAATATGACGATAGAGTGGGGGAATTACGTGATTCTAGTAATGCACTAGCTATTATAAAAGAAGAATCTTATAAAAATCGAAGATCTGTTTGATATTACATTAGCTTTGATATTACATAAGCTTTAATAAAATATTTTGCATTTTGTTAGTACATTGTATTGAAGATTTTCATTTTTATGAAAAAGAATACTTACCGCAATAATTTTTCTATCAGAAGTATACCGAGGAAACCAGAAGTACCTGTTATAAGAATGTTACAACCCGCGAAAAATTGAGGAATTTCACTTTGATAATGGCTAGCGTCTAATGGCGAATCTGACATATCTAACATTTCCTCAATGTAATTTTTTTTTTCTGCCATTTTTGGATCTCTTTGTTCTACGTAGCAAGAGTTTTCATAAATATTTTGCAATTCTAATCTTTATGAAGCCAGAAAAAAAATTCACATCAATAAATACCTTGGACGATACTTGATCACTATTTTAATGAACTGAATGAATTATATAGGTTTTTATATAATTTTAATTTTCACAATGTATGTACGTAGTGTTTTCTAGAATGTTTTTTAAGATATATCTAGAATCCTTTTCATTGAGATATAACCGTATAAAGAATCGATAAATGTTAAATATAATAATTATTACAACACCGTAACTATAGGAAGTCTTGTGTCTAGACGTGATGACAGTTGCATTTCTACTGACAGTAAGATAAGAAATTACAGGAGTATAAATAGAATTGAAAGACAGAAAAAAGGGGAACATTAACTTTTTTAATATTGAATAAATGTATAATGTTAAACGCAAGATAACGCAAGAAAAGAATACTCAATTTAAGAGAAGGAAAGCGAGGAACCTACACATTGGCTATCGAATTTTAATGATTACTGTGACTAAGCAAAAGAATCTTATATATACTTGTCTGTATGTGTATTTATGTACATATATATATATATATATATATATATATATATCTTATAATTTAAATTTTTTTATTTAAAAAAATTACTTATAATTTAACTGATAAAGGACTAATAAAAGTTTTACATTTTTATAAAATATTCTTATTATCAATAAATTATTTAATTATTTAATTATTTTAATGCAGAATAAATTTTTTTTTCAAGATCAGTTAATATATTTTAAAAATTTACATGAAATCAATTGAAACATAACAGTATAAAAATAGAAAATAAATATTCAGATTTTATAGTTATGTACATTTTTAATCGTTTTTAACATTGTTAATATTAACATTGTTAACATTATTAACATTATTAACATTATTATGCTAAAAATTATTATTTTTACGAAAAATCATACGAATATTAAATAATTTACTAGAGACAGATATGTTGTATATTGTTGCTTGGTATTATTTTGCTTACACACATACACACGTACACACGCTCGGATTCTAATAAAAAGTATATATTACGCTATATATACAATAGTATTATTTTCAGTCTTAAATTTTTATATATTGTTTTCTTATTAATTAAAAACGTTATGTATTATTCATCTCTTATATCCCTAAACTTTGATTAAACTTCATATATCTGAATCACAAATATATATATATATATATATATATATATATATATATACGATGCGGCTATAAAGTTTTAGGACTACCTCTACCAAAAATAAAGAAGTCGTTATATTTTTACACATAATATTATTATTTTTTTTCAATATGTATATTCCTTCTAATATCATACAGAACTTGGCGCGTTCATTCAGCTTATATAAAGTGTTCTGAAAATACGAAATTGAAACGCTGTTTAATTGTCTTGTAACATTGTTTTAAATCTGTTTCACAAAATTTCGCCAAATCGGCTTTCTTTAGTTTAAGTTTGGAGGAAAGAAAATTATTGCAGCGTTATGCGCCGGAGCTTCATGGAGCAGAAACCAATCACTATTCCTTTTCATCTCAGGTCGTAAATAAATGACTGACTATTCCATGACGGTCTTGTAAAATTTAATCAATTATTGTTCCTTGTGGAACAAATTCTTTGTTAATTATGTCTTTTACATAAAAAAAGCAATGATCATTGTTTTTATTCTTAACTTTTAGAATCGGAGTATCTTTGCTTTTAGTGAATTTTTTCCAACCCATTCTGCATTTTATCATCATTTCATTTGTTTCTATAATAATTTTGTCCAGTTTTACATAAAACTTGATCGCATATTATTGCTTGATAAACACTCTCATGACGAGACAAAACAAACTCGTCACACAAAACAGGTTTAAATATGAATTGTACTGAACCACTATTGATAAAATATTAATAAAACATTGATAAAATTTAATAGAGGCGTAGTTAAAAGATGATACACACACACATACACACACATATGTATATACAGGGTGACCCATTTTAACTTAGGCAGCCAAATAACTCGAAAAATAAGCACACTACGAAAAAATGGTTAGAATCAAAATTTCGTCATTTCGAGGGGGACGTACAATGACGTTAAAATCAGCCCCCCCACCTTCCCCTGGGCGGTGAGGGGGGCAAGTTTGAAATCTTAAATGGAACCCCCTATTTTTCATTGCATATTCTTGTAGCTTATCTCGAGAGCTTTCCAAAACACTATAATTAAGTACCTTTTTATTAAGTACTTTTTGAGTTATAAGGCTTGAAATAATTTCTTAATTTTACATAAACCATAAAATATCTAGTAAACCATTCATTTTTCGATTATCTTACCTTCATACTTTTATGTACAAAATAATGAGAGGAATCAATTGGTGTAAAGAAAACACATAGTTGTTTCTAAGAAAAAATATGTAATTTGCAATTAACAATTCCATATTTTTTCTTAAAAACAACTGTATGTTTTCTTTACACCAATTGATTCCTCTCATTATTTTGTACATAAAAGTATGAAGGTAAGATAATCGAAAAATGAATGGTTTACTAGATATTTTATGGTTTATGTAAAATTAAGAAATTATTTCAAGCCTTATAACTCAAAAAGTACTTAATAAAAAGGTACTTAATTATAGTGTTTTGGAAAGCTCTCGAGATAAGCTACAAGAATATGCAATGAAAAATAGGGGGTTCCATTTAAGATTTCAAACTTGCCCCCCCTCACCGACCAGGAGGAGGGGTGGGGGGGCTGATTTTAACGTCATTGTACATCCCCCTCGAAATGACGAAATTTTGATTCTAACCATTTTTTCGTAGTGTCCTTATTTTTCGAGTTATTTGGCTGCCTAAGTTAAAATGGGTCACCCTGTATATAAATGATTTATAATATAAACATTTATTTAAAAAAGATTTTCTCAAATGTACACAAATTTTAAATGAGAAAAAAAATTAAAATTAAATTAAAGGAAAAAAAACAGATCACTGAAATTAACTTATTTATATGTAGTTTAATTTAATATGTTTAAGTAGTTTAATTTAATATGTTTATGTAGTTTAATTTAATATGTTTAATTTAATAGTTTAATTTAATATGTTTAATATGTAGTTAAATTGCTTCATTTTGTATAAGACATTATTAAGTGCTGTAATTTCACATTATAACATGCAATAATATGTTATGCAACATAGCAAAATGTATTATTGATCGGCAAGGATATTATAAAAACAGCATTTGCATAGAATAAATTGGGCTGTGACATAAATGCTGATTCAGGAACGTTTTACGAAGTCAATGATATTCTCACCTCTGACATTCCGGATGTTTTATAAAATACGTCAGAAAAAAACTGAAAAGTCATTTAATGACAATCTAAAAAAGATAATAATTTGAAAACATTTAAATAAAATTATATTTTTGACGAATAATTTTTTCTTCTTTTAATAAAAAAATGTAATAATATCATATTATGATAATGATATGTGTCAAGCATCTATACTAAACTAATAATATGTAATCAAATGTTTCAATAATATCTTTAAAATTCGATTTCTATCTATCTATCTATCTATATATATATATATATATATATATATATATATATATATATAAACATTATTAAGAAGAATTTAATGTTATAAAAACATAAATGTGTCACACAAATTAATATACAATGTATGAAATCCAAAATCTAGAAATATGTATACATTTATATATTTTATATATATATATATATATATATATATATATATATACTTTTTTTACACAAAAGATATAATTCTTAACAAAATAAATTGAAAATAAAAAAATAAAATATAATGTAATATTTCATAGTTTTCTATTATTATTTCTTTTTTTTATTTTTATATAGTAAATGTGGTATTTATACATATGTTAAGTTCCTAGATGTATCAATAAAAAAACTTACATATAAATAATAGAAAATATATAATAATAAAAAAAATACAAAGCCACTAAGCAATACAAAGTTAGCAAGCAATATATCAAATACGATGTTGAGGCAGAAAAAAATTATTACAATTAATTATACTGTTACAACTTTTATTATAACTTACACACAGTTATTACAATTTGTTATATATTATAACATTTAATAAAATATAACAACTTAATTTTTTATTTAAATATTTATTAAAAATTTCTTTTATTTTATATCCTTTTTAAAACATTATATTTGATTTATTTTATATTCTTCTTAAAACTTTTTTTTAAGAAATCTATTATATCATTTCAAACTCTAATGAAAAACAACATCAAGAATGTCATTTCTTAAGTACATAACTAGTGATTATGCAAGAATGAGAAAATAGCATGTGTCGTTAATTTTTTTCTCGAAATGTATATAGAATCAATGGAACAGTACAATCAATGGAAAAGATGGAAAAACAAGGATTTATTTGTAATCATTTCTTTTTTTATCGTGATTTACTTTTGTCATTATATAATAAGACTTTAATAAAAAGGGAAATTTTACAAATCAAAATAATGATATTATGCGAATTATTATACTTATAATGCCCCATACTAGCAGAATTGAAAGAACAGTTATTAATGTATAATGAGCAATTTTTAATCTGGAAAAAAGGAAATTCATTATAAGTACGTTTTACAAGATAAAAATTATAATAAAAATTCACGCAGAAGCAAACTTACTTTCTATATTTTGCTCGTCCTCTTTCTAGAGTCTCCATTGGATCATTAGCTAAGTATACGCGCATACCAGGAATCATATGTTTAAGATATGATTCCCAGTCCAAATTATCCATGTTAAAGTCAAAAATTTCGCGATCAGCTAGATTCATACGTTCCCAGAGTCTTATAACGGCATCATTACTGAACTGCCATTGTTGTGAGGAAAAGTATGATATTACAGAGCTAAATTTGTTTATTTTCTTATAAACCTGTAGTAATCTGTAAATTGTAAAAAAATCTGTATTTCTGCGGAAATTCTTTATCATATTATAGATGAAATTGATGAAAGTCTTACTTGGGTTTTCGACCGCTAAGAAAGAGCAGAGTATCAACTATTATAGCAGGTATTGTATGTAAGAATATTACGCAGATATCATTCATGAATTTGTATTTGTTTAGCACAAGCATATAATACCATAATATATGCGTGCTCACTGCTTGCATGCCATACATTTTATTCAAATTCAAAAATCTCTCCCAAGTGATGGGATTTTGACATGTTGACACATAATTATAAATGGGTACTCTCTCGGTTTCTGGTATTTCCGGATTCGCATGTTCAATGCTTAGTAAAGCATTTCTATAATGTAAAATATATATTATAGATAATAAAATTAAGAAGTATTGTATCTTTTAGAATCTTATTTTTTGTTGTATATAATAAAATATTAATAAAAATTATACAATAAGGAGGTTAGAGAGAGAAAGAAAGAGAGAGAGAGAGAGAGAGAGAGAGAGAGAGAGAATAAGTACATTTTTTAAATTTATATTAATATTTAGATTTTCAATTATCTTTAATAAAAATAAATAAATAAGTAAATAAATAAATAAATAAATAAATAAATAAATAAATAAATAAATATATATATATATATAAATATATATATATATATATATATATATATTATAGTAAATCTCGGATATAAATTAGATATTATTATATTTCTATTATGTGTACACACACGCGCGCGCGCGTGTGTGTGTGTACATTATAAATATATATATATATTTACAAAATTTTAATCTTAATTAATATAAATTATTATAATATTTATTACAAATAATAGAGGTATAAGACTCGAAATATAAAATTAACAAATTAGTTTCAATAGCAATACCAGTCGAGCGTCGATGTTATGACACATTTATTATACAAAGGCATAAAACAAATAAAAAATAATAAAAAATAAAATTAAACGAAGGAATAGCGAACGTTTGGACCCTATTTTTGGGTCAACGAAGATTCAGATATGTAACACTTTTGTTATATTTTTACCACATCATCACATTTATGCTGAAGATGACCCAAAAATAGGGTCGAAACGTTCGCTATTCCTTCGTTTAATTTAATTTTTATTTTTTATTATTTTTTATTTGTTTTATACCTTTGTTTGTATAATAAATAAATAAATGTGTCATAACATCGACGCTCGACTCGTATTGCTATTGAAACTAATTTGGTAATATAATATTTATTATAATTATTATAATAAACTTATATTTATTATAATAAACTAATCTTACATATCTAAAATAAATCTTCTTTTGATAATATAATCTTACTTCCTTTTGGCGATGTCCCAACTCGCGACAACAAGATGAGAGATGACGTAATCGGCGGGCACCAATTCTGCTACATATTCAGGTGGGCAATGCAAAGTACGTAATAAACCTATGGCAGCACCCATGACTACGCCTACTGCTCCATATACATTGTTAATCCATCCAGGCATTGGCTCCTTTACCGTTGATATTATAATTGATGGACGCACGATGCAGGTTGGAATTCCAATACTATATTGCCGCACAGTGTCTTCAGCAATTGCTTTTGTAAAGGCATATGTATTCGGCCATTTACCTATTAACCTATACATTTAATCAATAAAAGATAAAGATTATAAATAATACTCATATCATTCTCATAGCATTCTTATATCAACCGAGCACAAATTACGAATAGAAAAGCCTAAATCACACATTCCTTTTTATTTTTAATCTCGATATTCAATCTAATATCTATTTTCATATTTTATGCATATTGCAAAAACTCTGTTTCTTTTATATCTTCAAGTGAAACTGCTTGAAAAACAAAAGAAGATCTGAATTTATACATAAATTAAACTCATCGAAATCTATCTAAATAGGATAAAAATTGAGATTAAAAATGCAAACAACATTTCAAGAAATATTTAAATGTATATTACAAATTCTTTATATTCTCAAAAAAGCTGAAATTGAAAGTATATTTACATTAATAATATAAGTTTATATATATATATATATATATATATGTGTGTGTGTGTGTGTGTGTGTGTGTGTGTGTGTGTGTGTGTGTGTGTGTGTGTGTGTGTGTGTGTGTATCATATGAAGGAAAAAAGAAAAAAAAAGAAGAGAAAAAAAAGAGAATTAAGAAATTATGCATACATTGTAGTGTTCTGATAATGTAATAAAATATTTAAGTAAATGTATTAATATTTAAATTTTTAAATTTTTTAAAAGAACACTTACGTCGGTATTAATTTTTCCATCTGTTCATCATTCAAAATATCGAGTAATGTTAAAATTTTATCCGTTTCAATAGGTGGAGGATAAAACTTTTCTTCAATGAATTTATGTATGCAGTGCGAAAATGCAGTAGATATATAAATGAATGCCTGAAAAATAATTGTGTAATCAAATTCGCATTTTTATAATCATAAAAATAAATCTCGATTAAAATAATCTTTTTATATACTTTCAAATCTGGCATTTCTTTCGCGAGGAGAAGAAATTGTTTCGTTCCTCTCACGTTTATATTGACTGCAAGTCGTATGGATTCGTTAAATCGTACAGTCGCTGCCCCATGAAAAATTATATTTGTATCTAAAATACGTTTTCGATTTTCTGGTGACAATCCGAAATCTAATTTGCTTATATCAGCTTCTATCATTATGACTTTGACGTTAAAATTGGGCTGTTCTTTTTTTAATTTATCATAAACCTATAAATTCAAAATATAAAAAAATCACATAGTGTATACACACAATTTCTTTTATCTAATTATATAAATATTTTCTTTATATTTACAGGGCTGTTGAAATGTTCTTTAAATCGCTGTTCTGATGATTTTTCTTTCTTTGTTCTCATTAATATATACATCTTCTCTATATCTGGACAGCATCTATAGATGTTTTTTCCATTTTTAATAAAATTTTTGGCAAGTAGTTTGTTATAATTTTGAGTTAATATGGTAATATGGTAAAAATTTTATTATATGACATTAAATATATTAGAATTTTGTCGCTAAAAAATGTATATTTTGAAAAAATCCACTTTTGTAGGTCAGTTTTTAATTTGTTAATAATAGTGTAATTTAACGATAGAAATTATATTCGAGTAATGCGTAAAATTAAAAGAAAAATTATTTAACTTTTGTATGAAATGCCCGAAGAATTATTTCATGTTATGTTTATGTCTCAATATTATTTTACACATTGTTTGTACATTGCATTAAGTAAGTTATTATATGAATAAAAGAATGTACTTACCGCAATAATTTTTCTACTAGAAGTGTACCAACGAAACCGGAAGCACCTGTTATAAGGACATTACAACCCGCAAAGAATTGAGGAATTTCACTTTCATAATGACTTGTGCTTGGATAATCCGAATCCATATTCAACATGTCCTCAATGTAAGATTTTCTTTGTGTCATTTCGTTCTTTTACGTAGTAAGAAGTTTTTTATCAATTTTTACAATTCTAATTCTTATGAAGATAGAATAAAAATTAATGATTTCCAATAATACTTAATCACTTTTTTATATGATATATAATTATATAGTTTTCTTTCAATTTAATTTTTGCAATATATAGACATGCTTTTTTTTAAATGTTTTTAATATACCTAGAATATTTAAACTTTTAATATATCTTTTAATATATCTAGAATATTTAAACTTTTTAAATGTTGCTTAATATATCTAGAATATTTTTCCTTTCATCCTAGATATTTAAAGAATTGATGAATGTTAACTAGTTACTACAAGAAAATAATGATAGCGCTTTCGTGGTAAACTCAACAACAATTGCGTTTCTACTGACTATAAAATAAGGAAATGCGAGAGTATATAAAGGTAATTCAAGGATAGAAGGAAGGGGAATATTTATTCTTTAACATGATTACGCATTTTGAACGCAACAGAAAAGAATGCTAATTTAAAGAAAAGGAAATGATAATTACATAGGCCATCGTATTTTAAAGATTTCTATGACGAAACAAGAAATCTTACACATAGATATATTAGATATATACATGTGTATATACATATATATATATATATATATATATATATATATATATATACATTGTATTATGTTTTATATTTTATAAACTTCTAATCTAAAAATATTATTTATAATTTAGTTGAAAATGCATAATTAAAAATATATTTTATATTTTTATTAGGAATAAATTATTTAACTATTTTAATATATAATGAATTTTTTTTGAATATCAATATAGAGTAGAATAGACATTATTAGAATAAATTAATTAATATACGTTAAGTATATATAAAAATATGTATGTATAAATACATTTACATACATACATATACATTTTTATATACATTTTAAGTGTATCAATTTAATTAATTTTAATATACTCTTATTTATTCCTAAAATTTATTTATTCAATTTTTATATTTTATACATTTGCTTTTACATAAATATTTGGAACATTTTACATTTTGGATATTATTTCAGATGTTATATTTATGCATATTAATATAATTGATATTGGAAAAAAATTCATTATATATATATATATATATATATATATATATATATATATTTAAAATAGTTTTTTATAATAATTTAAATAATTTATTGTTAATAAAAATATTTATGTATGTATATGTATTAAACGGAAAATTTGTTTTTTTTTGCTAAGAGTTGACTCTAGACTCTATAAATGCATGTCTAACCGTCTATTCCGTTTAATTCCGTTGTAATTATTTTAATTGAATATCGTCATTCGAATTTGTCATTCCGATATGCATTTGAGAAAATATCTTGTGAAGATTAGTTGTGCTATATATATTTGGTATTGAGTTTAAAGATGGACAATAATAATGTGTAATTTCAGCATATGTTATGCGTTTTTATTTTAAAAAAGACAAAAATGTAATACAAATGAAAAATAAGATTTGTGCCGTATACGGAAAAGATATATATAAGAATAAATGAGTGAACGTGACGAAAGTGGTTTGCCAGATTCTGTACCGGAAATTTTGATCTTGATAATGCACGCTCAGGATGGTTGATATTGATAATGATAAAGATTAATTGAAAACAACTCACGTTACACGAATTGAATTTTTTTGATTGCGAGATTCTTAAAATATTATAAACAGCCGTAAACATTTACACAAGCTTGAATCTAAATACGTAAATTTCTCAGTGTTTGGAGATAGCATAATTTATGCGATACCCAACAAAAAATTTAATGAAACAAATTTAAACCATAATTTATTTAATTTAATCATTAACTTATATCAAAACTTTTGTCTATCTTTTCATTATTTTCTTTAGAATATTTAACGAAATATATCAAAATTTTATTCAGTTCTATTCTCTTTCTCTTAAAATAGAGAAGGATAAAATCGATAAATTTATTAATGATTCTGGTCATAATAATTTGTGTTAAATAAAGCTTAAAATAAGCTTTATAATTGTCTTTCATTATTAATAATAAATATCTCATATCTAATAATAAGATATTTTCTATCTTATTTTTGATTATATATTTTATATTAAATTTTGTATTATATTTCTTTTGAAATTTTGTAATATGGTTTATAATATATTTTGTAATTAATTATTATATTATATAACTGTTATATTTTATAATTCTATTTTATATTTTATTTTATAGAGTAAAATAAGAAGATTTTTTAAAGCAGGTATGGCTATATGATGTACATTCGATAAATTCGGATATATCTGCTTTAAACTGACAAACAGCTGACGCATGATGTATGACGTGTGATGTTCAAGGAGATATGCTTGATAAATTCAAGCATATCTCCTTGAACAGATTTGCGGTTACAATGTAGGCTCGATATATTTCGACGCATCGACTTTAAACAGATATGTGATAGGATTCTATTAGATTTTATGTTATTATATTCCCATTATTGTCATATTTTTTGAGGACTGATATAAAAATTTGTATTTATAACAAAACACATAAAAGATTAAACTGTTTTAATAAATTGTCCAAAGTGCGAATTATAAAAATATAAAAGTACGAATTTACACAGAATATAATATTTTACATTTTTGCTTAAATGACTGTACTATGAAAAATTGTGCTATAAATGAATTTTCTAACTTCTCAATCATTGATAAAGTGCTGTTCTTGTATTTTGTTTCAGTAGTTATCATAGTTATTTACTAATAAGTAAGTTGTTTCAGGAATGAAAGAGTGCGCTACTTGTATAGATATAACACAGATTTTATATATTTTATACATTCTATTACCACATTACATAAATTGTAAATTATTTTTCGAAGAATATATAATAATGAAGGAAGCAATTATATATTAAAGTAAAGTTTTTTAAAATTAATCTTTGATTTTGAAAATGTGTTATTTAATTTTACAAAGTAAAATATCTGTTAAAACTAACAATAAGTTTAGTTACCTAGTTGCCCTTTGGAAAAATAAATGCATAATTCTATTATGTTTTTTAATTAGAAAATTGCATTTAACTTTAGAAAAATTAAGACTTATAATTTGAAATTTATCTCTTATTTTATCAAATTTATTGTGTATTTAATGCAAATATGTTTTGATGTAACTAAAAGTGAAACATATAAAAGCGAGTAATAATCTTTTGACTTAGAAATTTAATTAACTAAATCATTGCTATTTGTAATCTTTTTCGGATATTTTTCTTTTAAAAAATATAACATATAATAATATATAACATTGATATTATAATTTAATTGATTCATGTACAATTAAAAATATTATCAATTTTATTATAACTAAATATTTTATCGTTCTAAAAATGAAGAAAATATAAAATTAATTTAGATTTTATATTTTATATTTTATTCAGATTTTGTTTTAAGTATTGTAATTTTTGATATTGTCGATTTTTTTACAGTATATTTTATAAATTTTAGTAATATTATTAACAAAGAAAGAATTAAGAAAATATAAAATATAAATATAAAAATAAAAATATAAAATATAAATTATAAAATGCATTATCAGATTGTTAGCATATATTTATTAATTTTGTTTATTGGAATACTATATACGCTAATTCATTATTTTTTTAATTGTATTACATCTATTTATATGACGAAAATAAAGAAAAATATATTTGATTAACTATATAGAGCTTTCTTGTATTTTTAGAATGTAAAGTTGTCAAAGTTCAAAAATTGTGCTAACACAATTCAGTATTATTCTTCAACATTATTATGTTCAGAAATTAGTTTGCATCACAGCTATATTTCTTCTTATAAAAGATGATAAATATCTTTTTATCAACAATGCCAAAATGCCAAACAAGAAAAAGTTAACTTTTTTAATGATAAGAAAATCTTCTATTAGTATTATTGTTAAAATTTATTAATCAAAATTACTTTATATCTTTTCTGCAAATTTGATTTATTTACGTAGATATTACAGTTAATTCATAGCAAATTAATAGTTACTAATTATATATTTTTATTCTTATTTTTTACTTTGGGATTATATTTTATTTTCATACATAAATATACTTTATCATACACATACACACACACACACACACACACACAATCAACTTTTTTTCAATAAAAATAATTATCAATAAGATAAAATTTGTAACATTAATAAATAAAATAAAAGATATGCAAATATACTTCTTTGAATATTTAACTGATTAATTATAAACTGAGTAATTTATGAAATATGTAGACTGTGAGAGAGAGAGAGAGAGAGAGAGAGAGAGAAAGAGAGAGAGAGAGTGGGAGGGAGAGGGAGAGGGAGGGAGGGAGAGAGAGAGAAGAAAATAATAAATTTTAAAATAAAAATAAAATTTAATTTATTACTTTTCCAATTTAATGATAAACTACTGTTTACTGGTAGTTTTCTCATTAGCGCCGATAGAATTAAAAAAAAATTTTTTTAGGAAAGTATCGTTTTAGAGTTAGTATCGTAAGATATTACAAGAATTGCAAATACAATCATCAATATTAGCAAACATTAGTTAAAGATTGACATCGTTCTTCTAAAGAAAAATCAATAGATCATTAATCAATAAATCTGATCATTTTATATTCTAATGTTCCTTGTATTCTCTTTTTTGTTATTATATTTATTTTACACATCTAAATAAATCATTTAACAGTTTATTATTATAAACAATAATTTAATAATTTTTATTTATTTTACAGTTTGCTGTGAAGATTTTAAGAGATTAATATAAATCATGAACAGTATGCATTTTTAATAACACATAGATTAACAAAAAATTTAAAAAAAATCATATTTTCTCATGTAATATTACATCATAAAAAAATAATACTTTAAATGACACATTTTGATCTGAACAATCAAATTATGGTATAGAAAAACGTATAATTAGCTATAATTAGTTATAATTATAAATTTTTCATTTAAAATTTCTCGATTTATAATAATGAAAATAATAACTATAAGTTCAATTACAATATGCGTTACATTTTTCAGTTTATAATTAGTTAAATATGCATAAGATATGCATAAGATATGCATAAATAAATTAAGCATAAGATATTTTATGCAGCTAAAAAATGCTTTAAAAGTAGTATCTCTGATAATAACTGCAATAAATACGTGATATTTAGTTTTTATCTCAGTTTATAATTAGTTAGAGAGATATGCAATACATTTTTATCGTATACATTATTATCGTATTTATAAATATTTTAACATACTTATATTTTCTTTTTTTCAATGAAAATTAATGTTTTTGCGCGTGCGTATATCTTTTTGTAATACTCTGTGCATTTATAATAAATTAGCAATATTCTCCTATGGATAATACATTATATGGATAAATGTTATATCTAAAATAATCTTTTCTTTCGATTTTATAAAACTTTTACATTATTAATTATAATGATTATGATTAATATTTATATTTTTTGTATATTTATGAGAGAATTCAAGATAGAATTTTACTTATTATATTATATTTATTATTATATAAAATATAAAATAATATGTAATTTTTACATATATATTCTTTAAATGTCTTATATTTAGTAAAATTAGTAGAATCTTACTTTTAATTTTGTCGCGAATTATAATATAAACATCTAAACTGATTCTTAATTTATAAAATATTTGGATATAATTAATTGGTTGATTCAAAATTGAAACAGTAGCGGAAGATTCATCAATAATTTATACTATTTTGATATCGATTTAATCAGAACTTCAATTTTACTTCAATACTTAGTTTTCGATGTCACATTGACTATTATATTTTTTATTAGGACAGTAATACTCAAGTATAATATAATTAGCTGTAACTGTAAGATAAGATAAGAAAATTAAAAAGTAATTCTGATTTTAAAGATAGATATTAGCATTTTAAAGATAGCTATTACTTATAATATAACCATTTATAATGATTTATATTTAATCTTTAAATTTTTAACATATTGTCTGTATACATATTGTCAGTTGTTGATATTTATTGCGCTAAATTATAATACTATTTGTTGATGTTTGGAAAGGTAGATTTGTTAAATGTTAACTTTTCATAAACATCGATATAAATGCATCACATAAGCGCATGTTACATTTATAATATGTCCCGTAGTTACAGATGAGAGATTATATACTTCTTATTTTTAATTATGATTTATATAATTATGTTTATTTGACTGTATATTATTTTTTTTAATAATATGTAATTTTACATACATATTTTGAAGAAAATAACAAGTATTCTTTTTGTCGAAACGAGCGCTCATTTACTAGAAAAAATTAATCATTATTTACGAAGAAAAATATAATACATATATGTATATTAAAAAAATGTTTCTATTTGTTTTAATTTACATTTTTTAATATGCATATTTAGATCTGTTTTTTAATCAATGATATTTATTATTATATCACCACATATCATGTAAATTATTAATTTTTTTCCATTAGTGTGATTAATGTTTTACTATTAAGTAATTTTGTAAAAATATTTACATTAATATATATCTCAATTTGATTTAATATATCTCAATTTAAAAGTCAAGTGATCTGGATTTCTTATACTTTTGGAATCTTTTGATTTGTAATTATATTAATTGTACGATAATTATTGTAAGGACGCTCAGTTTTTGGGACGCATTATCATTGACATCTGAATATGTAGATGGAGTTTATTGAAAAGAAAATCTGAAAAATATAGCATATAAACTTCGACCATTTTCGTAATCAAAAGCGCAGTTCGATTATGTTTGGCATTGCAGGACAATTCACTGATATCAACGATATATGATAACTTTTACAGAACTATATATTATCTTATGCATATGCTTATGAATTTTCCATAAATTTCTATAAGTCTGTGCAATTTTTTATGTTTATGTTTACGCGCTTATGTAGAAGTCTGTACTTTCGATCTACGCATTAAACAATATTATTCATAACAATTACATGCAAATCGAATCATTAGTTGCATTGATATTTGAATATTCAGATGTCAATAGTTTGCCGCGACATTATCAAATGTAATCGAATTCGATCGAAATATGCATAAAATACTTTTTCACGTCTATATATTCAAATATCAATGATCACTGTAATAGCGAGGATTATATCAATTCAACAAGATTAATTTACGTTTCCTTAAAAAAAAATATCATAAGGTGTCTTTACACATATATAGATGTATAAATGTATGTACACACACACACACACGCGCGCGCGCGCGCGCACGCACGCACATATTTATTTTTAAATCAAAAAGTTTAAGATTATTTGCTTAACAGATTTGGACAATTTTGAGAACATTATATTTTATCCAAGGTAATTATGAAATCAATATATTTATCATACATATTTTAATATTATTTAGCATTATTTTATGATGATATATTTTATAATGATAAATTTTTTAGTCAATTTGAAATTAGTTTTTTCTTAGCAGAACTGTTTATAGATGCAAATGTCTACAGAAGCAGTAGTTTCTAATTATCAGTTAATAATTATCAAGAATGATAAATATTCTTATATATACATTTTTTATATATTTTTTATCCATTTACAGAATCTCTCATAATCTGTAATAAGTTTTTTGCAGATCCAATAGCCACTTCTAATTTAAGTTATACAATATCTTCGAAGTAAACAACTATCAATTTTGTTACTTGATTTGTTCTTGCATTATGCGAGATTGAATGAACATTGTTGCAGATTTCTTCAAATCCAAAGGAATTGAAACTATTGAAAATTGTTGAAAAAGCTATTGGAAGCCATTTTGAGAAACAGATTATATCTTGGTGCGACAAGTCAATTTTAATATTGTGAAATGATTGTTGAATCTTTACATAACTCTATCAATTCGCGCACGCGAAAGATTCTGTCTTCTGATATTTGATGATAATATATCTTTATCAATATGATCTGATAATACATATATTTAATATAATAATAATGATAGAAATAAAATAATAATGCTAGAACATTACGTGACTATTTATTAAATGTGAATCTTTAAAATTTTATTGATTTTAGTAACATTTTCTCTTGTATATATATCGATAAAATATCTGTATATTTCCAATTTATATGTAAAAATTAAAAAAAAGATAAACGATACTCAACTGGAATGCAGATTTCATGCCTTCTGACTTTTTAGTACCGTTGTTTGAAATTTGCCTATGGGCAATTTGGATTTTTTATATTTTTTTACATCATCTTCTCTCGCAACAAGGAAATATTGATGGAGAATAAGAATGTGATTATTCTTTTCTCGGTAATAAAAGGTATGAGAAAGGATTTGATTTTTTAATACAAGAAATGATAAAATCCTTGACACTGCATTTTCTTACTTTAAATTAAAATTTTTAAACATAAAAAAATTTAGTTTTATTTAATCTAATTTTGATAATTTTCCATCAATGTAATCTAAAATAATATGCAATCTAGAATATTTTACTGACTAAATATTAATATTAATAAATAAATATTAATATTAGATATATATGCATAAAGTATTCTATCCCAATTTTTAATAAATTATAATTTTAATATGAATCACGAGCAAACAGTAACAGCTCATGTAACTGCTACACCGGTTGCTGTACTGGATCTAAAAGGAATGGAGAGGGAGAAGTTTACCATCAACGAACGAGGAACGATGGTATAAAGGGGACTGCATATAAGTTACGTACGCATTATTCATACGATTGGAAAAGACGGAAATTGTATCAACGACAGTGGAGATTCGCCCAGAGAATATACAATCGGCGAATACAATATATTTCTATCGCGATTTTCCGAAATTCACTATTTGTAAATCTCAAAGTAAATGTGCTTCAGTGAATGTTTTTTTTTTATTTAATCTCATCAAATTTGGTTTCGAGCGAAAATAATTGTGAAAAGTAAGCATCGATTTCAACGTGAAAGTGTCAATTTTATTATCACGCATCCTGCTGGCGCATCCTTTGCAGTAAACAAAAAGTGCGTAATTGTGTTGTATAGAAATATATATATATATATATATATATATATATATATATATACATACGACATGCGTCTATTAACTAATTAGACTAAAACTATGATTAAAAATGACATAATCATAATAACAAAATTTATTTATTTTATTCAAAATTATCCTTTTGGCATCGTGTTGAATACGATCAATTACTGAGTGATTTTCGAAAATTTTCTTTCAAAATCATTTTGATCACTCTTTTGATCTCTTGGATTGTCAGAATGCTATTGTAGTAAATTTAATCATTCGAATTTTTGAAACAGATTTTTGGAAATAGAGACAGGATGCCGAATCAAATGAATATAGTAGGTCAAATTATGTTTCAAATAATAGTCCGTGAATAATATTCAAATCCTTGTGTAAAATGTTGCGAAAAAAGTCATATCTTCAGAAATATTCGAATTTTTCCATTAATATTTTCACGATCACATTTGCATCAATTTTCAGTAATTTGCACACTCTTTTCACAAGATTCTATGTCAAAGATGATTTCGTAAATATATCTCAATCGCTCGTTGTCTTTCTGCAATCGTCCTTAAATCTTCTAAACAGCTCAAAAATTTGTGTAACGTGATAATCATTCTAAAAAATTAGTCATTAGACAATCATCCTATAAAATCTCTCTTAACATTTCATTTATTTGTCATATATTGCGTTTTTCTTTAAGTTTTACACAATATAATATATAATGATATATATATATATATATATATATATATATATTATATAAATATATAATGATATTTTTTTTCTTCAATGTAAGATATAATTATATTTTTGCAAATTTTTACTGATTTTTTCGACATATTTCGATATATTTCATGATCCATAGGTTCGATAATGAAATATTTATAGTTGATAGATCGAACTTAAACTTTAAAACATTATTCTTTAATAGTTAGTATCTATACAAAAAATAAAAAAAAATTAATTATGTTATTTAATAGACGAACCTCATATATATATATATATATATATATATATATATATATATATGTATTGATAGATATTTATTTAGTATATATGTGTATTGATAGATATTTATTTGATACATTCCCATACGTATAACTTCTCGTTTAATAATATTGTTATAACTTTTAAAATTTCAATTAGTATTTGTGTTAATATTTCGCTTTTTATCTAAAGCTAAACAATAATAATATTGTCATAATTAAAGCACGTAAAAATAGAAAAAGTAGATAATTGAAATCTTGAAATTTTAAATTTTTTTACGTGTATTTATGACATTTATTACAAATTCTCACTGTTTAATGAATAAGAACATTTAAATATATTAGATAATTTGAGATCAATATTTTCTCTAAAGAGTTTGATTAGCAGAAATATTAATTATATTCAAGTTATACTATATGTAAAAATGAGATACGTTTCTGTATCAACTGATAAACGTTTCACTATTGTTAGAATATTCCTATGCAAGAATGTTTTGTATTTATTTGCATACAAAAATTCTATTTTTTAACAGTTATATCTTTCAGTGTAATCAGCAGAGTTTTTGTATGATAACAAATTCAATTATTATATTACAATTAAATTAATAAGAAAACATATATTATCTCTTGTAAGAAACTTATTTGTATATTTTTCTTGTTATTATTAATTTTATATTATGAATATTGGTGTATATATAAATATTATATCTCAATCAGTTCTCTTTATATGTATGTAATTTATTAATGTAATATTAACGTTTTCTCTATCTTATATAATAAAATTTAGTGTGTAGAAGAGTACACGTGCAATAGAAATTTACTTTTATTAAAACGCAAATAGTAATAATAACATAGATATCATGTTTTTATTTACAATCATGTAATCCCATAGCATACAATCTCGTATGATACTTGTTGATAATTTATGTATCCTGTTTTTCGATTACGCGTGTTACACAATAAAATAATTCTTCCATCATAGCGCTTTCTTTAGATGTAAATATATAATCATAGGATAAGATTATCGGTTTTTGAATATTTTTGTTCGATAATAATGCAATGGGTAGTAAAAAACCTTGACGTCAAAACTCACTGATATGATATGTTAAAGATTTCTTTCTAACAATAAAATCTACTTTTGGCTGCGAAATAGAGACTTGATATTGTAATAATATTAGGAATATTAAATATATATACTATATAAATATATAATACTATATAAATGATATAATATGATTGTATATATTAATTGTGATTAGATTTTTTTTTTAAATCTATAATCATAAAAATATTAGCCAAACATTCATCATGCATTCATATATTTGATTTAAATTGCTTGAACATAGCTGTTGTAATTAAAAGTACATTTTTGAAGGTCAAAATTTGCTATAATTAAATATTTTTAATGTTTATCAACTTATATTATTATAAATAAAACATAATTATATAAAATCTATAAAATTAAAATTTTAGATAATTTCCAATATAATTTTTTATACTTTTGTAAATTACAAGTATAAAAATTTTTAATCATGGTTAAATTTTAACATTTGTATTGCCGAATTTGTTTTATATATACGATTATTGTGAATGTTCTAAAATATTTATAAGATTGTTAGTATTATTATAAAAACAAATAAACATAAAATATAAAAAAAACATAAAATCTAAAAAAACATAAAATTTAAAATATGCTATAAGATAAAATATAAAATATATATATAAAATAGAAATATAACCAATATAAAGAATGATCACAGAATCATTAAATTACGCAGGCTATCAGTAGGTTATAACATGATAACATAATGTTAGACATAATAATTATTTATCTTTTAATGATAAAATATTCCATATTTCTTTTAAAAATAAAAACTAAATCCGTTGTAGACTGAATTATGAAAGTCATCAATATGAAATATATTTATTAAACAATTACATTTAATTCATTATAAATCTATATATTATGAAAATCTACACAGATACTGTTTGTATACAGACATATTTATAAACATATAATGTTTATAGATTTATGCGTTCATAATAAGACTAATTATAATAGTGATAAGTTCCTTTATATACATTTACGTAAACTTGAAATTAGATATTAGTCGTTCAAGCATTCATTTCCGACTAGCTTCGACATATGAGTTATAACACAAGCTAGGATCTTGACGGATTCTTTGTCATGTCAATATATATTTTAAATACTATCTTTATATATAACTAGCAATATGAGCATATTTTTGAAATTTACTTCTCTATTAACAGATTCAAGATAAAGTTATTTAAAAACTTTTCATAAAATATTGAATATATATTGTTGACTACAAAAACATATTTAAATAGACTAGATTTAAATAGACATATTTACAAAAACATATTTAAATAAACTAGATTTAAATAGACAAAAAAAATCCTTCTTACTTATGAAAAATAAGAAACGAATTCATGAATATTAATAAATATACATAAATGGAATTATCATACAAAAGCAAAAAATGTAGTTTATATATGTTGTGTGTGTTACATATTATCCGGTAAAAAATTTTTTATGTATATTCATGCAGAATTGAATATAATTGTACAAAACTATATATAATTGTGCAAAAATATGTATAATTATAAATGATAGAGTACAGGACATTATATATATTTATATATAAGTACAATATCTGTTACATATAATTATATATATATATATATATGTATATATATATTGTATATAGTATATTGTATATAAAAATCAACCAATATTGCAGAAAATAAATGATGATAAAATTCTAATTAACTTGATATGCCATTGTTAAAAGTGTATTTATTCAAGAACAATTTATATATCAAATTAAAAAGAATTACTTTACGCACATGTAACAAAATATGTACATAAGCGTAATTAAATAATTATTACAAGATTAAATCAGGCGAAAGTTACTATAAAAGTCTCCATAATAATGAAATTATCAATTAAATGTCAGTCGAGATAGTACAGAACAATCTGGAACATTTATAGAATGTGCTTGATTTTGATCTGATATTACATTTATTTACACGAAATATAGGGTCTGTTCTTTTCAGCTGCACTGCTGCACTAGTGCAATTAGTTAGAGTGAAAGAAAGTATGTTTGTCTCTTTCTAACTTATTGCACTAGTGCAGCAGTGCAGCTGAAAAGAACAGACCCATAGTATCCCACATGACTTGCATATCCAAAAGACGTCCCGAAGACATTTTTGGACGATTGGACATCTTCAGGATGTTCTCTGAATGTCTTTTGAACATAAATTCTATATGGGATACTAAAATTACTATCTTATTGTTATTTAATCCACATTATGTTCTTAATAATTAATATATTAATATCAGTTAGTAACATAATTGATAATTTAAAAATTGCAAAAAGTTATTACATACAAAAACTAAAAATTAAAAGTTATTATATGAAAGACTAAAAATTATAAATAAACTTAAGTTATATATAAAAAATAAGTTTTATTAAATATAAAAAAATAAAAAAATATGTTTTATACATTTTTGGGTATAATTTAAAAAAAAAGTTCATTAACACGAGTTTCACAGATTTATAATTAATACTGTTTTTAATCAGTAAAAAGTGTATGCGAGAAGAAGCCTTCATTGTTGATCGTGAACTTAAGCATGAACTAGATGACGTGAATTAATGATATTTTACACATGTTTTGTTACCGAACTGCTATGTAATGTATCCATTATGAATAACGATCATTCATGTATTCATTGTCTAATATATTATAAGTGTCATATAATGGAAGATAATTGTAATCAACATTTCCAAGGACAATCTTTAACATTGTAGGAAACAAGAAGTGTAATATGTACGTAAGCGATAATAATTCGATTAAGCATATTGCGTTGCATTTAGCATTAGTAATATTTCTTGTATTGAACATTTTTGTTATAAAAATATTATTAGAGAAAAAGAAAGAAAGATCTATAATTCAAGAGAATTAAATAATTTGAATTTTTTTGTTTTATTTTGTTATAATTTTTTATGTCAATATATAAAAGATATTGATCATAAAAATAATACACACACAGAGCAATACAGTATATTCCTTATTTTATTTTGATTTTCATAATTTGTAAAATTTAAGACACATGCAATGGATATTAAAATAAATACTTTTACTAATTTAATTAATAATTTAATTAAAATAAATAATTTTTAAATTAATAAAATAGGTAAAAAATTTATTTTTATTGGATTAAAATAAATAAATAAATATATATATTTATATATACATTTTTTTCTATTCTGTTTCTCCAGCGAATTGACTTATGAGAGGACGATGATAAATTATGCCATTATGAAATGCATATATATATATATATATATACATATATATATATACATATATATATATATATATATATATATATATATAATAAATTACATTCAATAGATGTCTATATTAAGTAAGTATATGTTTTATGCTATTATATGTCATTGCAAAACAGATACATTTAGATGAGCAAAGTAATATTAACATTACTAATATTTCCGATATCATATATCATATATGTATATCTTAATGATGCATTTCATAATGGCATAATTTGACATCGTCCTCTTATAAGTCAATTCGCTGAAGAAACAGAATAGGAAAAAATGTCCGTAGAGTTTACAAGGAAGGGAATAGAACTGTGATTGTTATGCAAATATGAGCAATATGCTAATAGCATTGGCAAACTTATAATGAATGTCGTTTAAATTTACTTGTATGAATCGATTCTACGAACAAATAGTGCCGCGTGGTCATAGGCTTACGTAGCTAATGAGCCGAATTGGTTCATACGAAATTTGATTTAAAAATATCTATTAAATTTACTAATATAGTTAATTAATTTTGAATATTTTTGACAAAAATAAATTATTAATGAAGATATCAGATTGTATAATAACGCAATTAATAAAGAAAAAATATTTATATGTAGCAATTTTTTTCGATTGTATTTAATTATGAAAAAAATGTAAAACAAATTTGATAAGTGAGCAGTCTTCTCTCCTTTTTTCTCTTCCTCAAAATCATTTCTTATATATTAATTTATGAAAAGTATAAACATTTTTGACAAATATGTTAACGAGTATATTTAATTAATTTGATAACATTGATAACTTAGTTTACTAATTCTATTCTTTAATTTGCGTAATGGGCTAATTTTATTTTTATTTCAGGATTTTACAGTCAAAGTAACAAGGAGGATAATAAAACGAAAAAATCAACCATGAAATCTATGATCGTCTATCAACAATTTAAGAGTGAGTAATCTCTAATTTACAATGTGAAAGAAGATGCATGGATTAAATTTGCTTAAAAATAATGATGATAATTATAAGATCACATAGCAATTCAGAATATAATGTTAAGCGTTCATGGCATATTTGTATCATAAATTGAATTATAACTTCTATAAATTCTTATTAATAATAATTTTAAATTGTGATATCTTGGAAATTGGATTTGAATCGCTTTACTTAATCATGTATAATTATATAATTTGTTATATTTACTTGTTATTCATGTATCATTATGTATGTTTTATGAAAATAAGCGATAAAGCTGATAGATTTATTTTACTTAAATATTACAAAAGTGCGACTATTATAAATCTTACTTTGAGTCTACAGTTTTATTTAAAAATATAGCACAGCAATATTATGTTATAAATCTTAAATTAATAATCTTATAAATCTTAAATCATCATAAATTTATATACACACAAACAAATGTTATTTTAATTTTATTTCCTACAAACAATCATATATTACTATGAATCATATTACTATCATATATTACTATGAAATCTCTTATAAAAGATAAAATCAAGTAAAATAAAATTGCTCAACGGCGTACATAAAAACATTCTAATAAACGCATACTTATTTTTATCGTGAAATCGTCGGTCATAGCGTTGTACGAATCTTTATAAAGTGAGAGTCTGGTCAAATCAAAGATTTCATGAACGTAATGAACGTAGCGACCTCGATTGGCTCCTTTTATTATATTTTACACAGATAATACTACAGAATCTGAGTCAAGGTAAGCTGCTATCTACTGTACAGATTAAGCATCTTAGGACACGATCTATATTTCTAGATATCTAGAAATTATAAAATTATCGTATGAGGATTATTCGGAAATCAATCTCTGATAGGTTTATAAAATAAAACAAGAAAGAGGAAAAATATTTTATTATACATAAAAGTTATTTATATATACATTACTTATATATTCATTTTTTGATATAATCATCATCCGAATTAAAACACTTGTCATAACGCGCGACGTAAGCTTTTGTATGTCAAAGTACGATTCTGCCAAATTGGAATCTCAGCCCAACTCTCAATTTCTAATATTGCTCATGAACTCGTTGTTGTCCTTTCGAATCGCTACGCTCGAATAGCTACATTTTCATGCATATGAACAGATGAAAGTCAGTCGTTGCAAGACTTGGATTACAGAATTGATGGTGAAATTTCTACTGCCTCAGAAGCTCCGATGGGGAATTTTCGATTTTCGATCATTCTATCAGCGATTCGGGAGCAATGAAAAGCTGATGAGCAATGCTAAAAATTGACTGAGATTCTAGTTTAGTGCTACTGATGAAGGCATGTAAAAACTTGTGCGCTATGACAAATATCTCAATTTCAATTCGTTTCGTGAAAAAGTAGTGTATATATGTAGCATTTTTTGTATATAATAAAACATTTTTTCTGTTTTTTTTTCTTTTATTCTGCAAGCCTATCGAAGATTGATTTTCGAAAAGACTTTTTGTAAACAGTTAACAAGTCTTTTGACATAAAACATTTAAAGATTAACATTAACAAGAATATCTTTATTTATTACGATTAACAGCTTTAAAAATTCAATATTCATTGAAAATGTGTTTTTGATTTATTGGTTTTAAATTTAAAAATCTGTTAGCTTGAAATTTTTTAAGTTTTTATTTAGAATTTTAGAGAATCCCGCACAATTTATCTGATTTCTTTCTTACAACAATTTTTTAAATGGAGAAAATGTGTATTATAAATTGCATGAAACGACAATTCGACATTCATAGCATTCCAAGGTTCAAGGAATATATTCTACATGTTTTTGAAATGTAAATTAGACGTATCTTTTCAAATAAGATTCTTAGAAGAATATAAAAAAGGATATTCACAAAGCTGCACTTGTATATATGACCCTGCGGATAGAAAAAATATTCATTGCTTAATAAATACGATAACATCTTATTTTTCCGACGTTATCGATGAACAGATCTTATATATTGAGCATAAATATAATAAATCTAATTTTTTAGTCAGTTGATACAAATAAAATTAACATAAATTATGTATTATATGGACTAATAATTAAAAAAACTTTGAGAAATGTTTTATGATATATTTTTGATATTTATGATATGATATATTTTTGATTTTTGTTTCTTTCTCAATTTGTTAATATATTTTTTTAAGATTTTAGAATTTCAAAATAATGTATGTTAAAAAAATTTTTTAAATTCTTAATTTTATCTTTTCTAGCTAAAATTTTAATATGTAAAATTTTAAATTGTTAATTCAAATTTTAATAAAATTTCTAAAACTGTAGTTTATTATTTTAAAAATTATCAATAATTAATGTAAAGTATATAATTATGGCTAAAAGAAGTATGCGATATTTAATATCTTACAACAAATTTGTATTTCTTTTTCTCTCTCTCTCTCTTTCTTTCTCTTTTTTTTTCGACATTCCGGGAATTTACTTTGAAAGATTGCGTTGATCTATTAAGATTTTAAACGCTTACCTTGACAAGCCCGCAGCGAAAGGATCGTTGCATGTGATTAACGAGTTACATATATACACAACGATCCGATGTGCCGAACTAAATTCCGATAAACAAGCAAAATCAAAGATAAATAACAGGCAAAAACATGCCAAAAGATTTACTTTTTATGACGCAAAAGCATGAAGTGGTAAACAATGATTCATCAAACATGTTATTTTTAAATTTTTGCGTTTGTCAACGTTTGTGTACCGAAAACCAGTTGCACACGTTAATATATTAAATGTTTCATGCCGGACCGATTTTAGATGTCGGATCATTTTTAACTATGATTCTCTTTAACAAAAGTCATGTCGATTTTTATTAAAGTGTGACATATATTGCCTCATATTTTTGCATAGTATTGCAAATATATATCCCAAATATCCATTATCGTTTTACTATCATATAAAAATTAATAATAATTTTGAATATGTTTTTAATAATAAATTTCTTAAAAAATGAATTAAAATTAATTATAAATAATTTATATTTATACTAATATTATAATAGAAAAATGAAAAAATTTGAAGGACATTATTCTAATATAATTCATCAAATATTTTATTAATAACAAAAATAACAAAAAAATTTTAAGTACTAGACTGAAGTGAAAAAGTAGATTTTAATTTATTTATATTTATTAGGATAATGTATTATAATTAATAATATTAAACTATTATATGTGTGATAGTGATAGCTAATAATAGTACTTTATCCATTCGAAATAATTGGGAGAAATCAATTAATCATTTACTTTAATTCTCTTAATTTCTCGGCTTGTTACAATTTTTGCATACACACACACACATACATACACACACACATTCGCACTCGCACTCGCACTCGCATACTCTCGCATACATATTCACATACAATATACATATAATAAAATAACTAGATTTTTACGCAAAATATTTCGCAATGATATACATATAGCATAAAAAGAACTTGATCTTTCATTAAACAAAATATTTTTCTTTTTTAGAATGCACCATCTTATTTACGTTGGGCATTGTATGTATTTTTTTAACATACGTAATTTATGTTGTGGATCCCATAAATATATTAATAAAATATGTGAGTATATATAATTAATAAATGATACTAATATCAATGCAGAAAAACAAGTAAAATGTAAAAAAATTACGTAAAGAAAAAATTCTATTATAGAAAAATATGAATCAATTTATTTTATATTATTGTAATTTGATATATATATATATATATATATATATAATTATATATATATATATATATAATTATATCTAAACTGCAAGAAAAATAATTTTCTAATTTACTAAATATATTTATATGGAAAAAAATTTACTATTTTTATAGAATACACAAATGACACCGCACTCTTTTCTCTTCTCAATATGGAAAAAACCACCTGTTGATATATATTTAAATGTGTATATATTTAACATTACTAATCCAGTAGAGTTTCTAAGCGGCAAGGAGAAGCTCAAAGTTCAAGAGGTTGGACCATATGTCTATCAGTAAGTTTGCGTGTCTTGCTTAATTACCATACATTTTGTTAACATAAAATATTATGTATACATATATACATATATATGAAATTTTGTAAATATTTATATTGTGAATAATACATATATGAAAGATATTTTTTATAAATAATTTTTGGAAAATTATGTCAAATATTTGATGCAGAGAATTCCTTGAAAACAATAACATTACGTTTAACGATAATGGCACACTTACCTACATCCCCAGAAGGAAGATAGTTTATGTACCCGAAATGTCAGTTAACAATCCTGCGAAGGACATGCTCAATGTTCCGAATATACCTCTTTTGGTAAGCGTAGTAAATCATAGGATTTATTGTATCTATATTAAATAATTCTAACAATAAAACTTCTTAATTATATGTAAGAGCTGAATTTAAAATAAATTTTTTAATTATTGCCAAAAGCATAGCTATTTAATAGTAATATATAGTAAAAAAGCATAAAAATTCACTAAATCTATTTTCTTTTTGTTATATAAGATGTATATAGAATTCTTTTAAAAATAGAAAATATTTCAGAAATATGCATACATATCTTGTTAATTAATTTTTTAAAAAGAATTCTATGAAAAAAAGAATAATGTAGATTTATTAAATTTTTTTATGAATTTAACGAATCTTTGTTATTATGCGCGCGCGCGCACACACACACACACACACACACACTTCAATGCACGGGAAAATTCAATATTTAATTTGTAAAATTTTATCTACAATATATTAATTTTATTAATTAAACAATATTAACTTTATTTTAATAATCTTTATTTTATTCAGAAATATCTTTTAATAGTAATTATGATCGTTTTACACGCAATTTTTCTGTTACTTGTAAAACAATTAGGAATAATTAAGTGTAATTAAAGTAATGCATATTTTTGTTCATAGATTTTTTTTATGTGTATCATGTAAAAGTAAATTATGTATATAAATTATATATAAAATCGTACGCTTGTGGTTGAGAGTTGTGAATTAATATAATGACTGCAGTTTCGTAACTTTTCTTATACAATTACACTTAAGCTGTAAGCAATTGGAAATAATGATTTGATCTTGCTTATTAAAAGATATATTATTTACAATTACATACTGCTTATAATGTATTTACGATTAGTTCTGTATTCATTAAAATTTTCTGCTGCAGGGTGTTTCATCCGCTTTACACGATGCCGGATTTTTAGTGAATTATCCTGTGGTACAACTGGCGAATGTGATGGGTTCCAAACCAATCTTGAATATCTCAGTATATGATTATCTGTGGGGATATGAAGATTCAATGGTGACATTGGCTAGTGAGATCGTGCCAAACTTTATTAATTTTAAAAAATTCGGTCTTCTTGATCGGGTAAATAAAATGGCTTAGATCTATCATAATAAAATACTGAAAAACGCATACTATAAAATACTATAAAAATATATATAAAAAGTATAAAAAATTATTGAATAAACTAATCATTAAATCACAATGTATGCAGACATAAAAAAAATGATTAAAGAGTCATTTTTTTCAATTCTGATTATAATGCGCATATATTAGCTGAAAACATCTATTTTAATCTTTTTGTATCTCCGGGATATATGTCCTACCTACGAAAAAAATTATAACTTTTAAAGAAATAATCCTATTGACATTACTTTGACTTGTTTTAAAAGAAGAAGGTTCAAGCTATAAAATAATAACGTACTCTGAAATGTAATATTTGCAATAAAATATAGTTATTTATAAACTTTGTAAAAAATCAAACTTTTAGATAGTAGAGAATAATCGTATATTATGTCAAAAAATCATAGAATCATAGAATCATAGAATCATAGAATTATAGAATATAGATGCGCTAATCGCATAGACTTAAAATTTTGCATAAATGTGATTACAACTTTATTATGATAATTATTATAATAGTTTATACATGTAGTTAAAGTATGCGTAAAGTAAGACGACGCGTGTGACGGGCATCCAGAAGAGTTTTACGATAGATGCGCGACTTGCAAAAAAAAGTGTATCATGTCGCGAGTCGAGCATGTGTGTATATTCAGGAAAAAGATACATATTTAAAAAATTAAAATCCAAGTTCATATTTTAAATATATCGATAGTTCAACTTTTTGGCCGCCATTTTAAATCTACCATTTTGAATTTAAATTTTGATAATAAATTTGGAATCAGTACTCAAAAATCTATAAAACCGTCTTCATATGAAATGCATCTCTTCTGAGAAAGTCGGAGATACAAAAGGGTTAAAAACGTAATATTATTTCTTTAATCTGTTGCAAAAAATATATTACAATTTACTTATTTATTTATTCAATAGAAATAAAAAAGTAAAAGCAATAGAATCTTATAATTTATTATATATTTATGACCAAGATAGTTAAATTTCTTTGTAAGTAAAATTATCTTTAATTTGCTTAGTATTGTGAATTTTAACTTGTAAAAATATTCTTAGTATATTTGACACGCTCCATGTAAGACATAAGAAAATTGTAACTACATATGCTTTTTTTAAATTACTATTTAAGCTTTTTTCTTTTTATTACATACAAGAAACTTTAACATCTTTTTTCATTTAGGAGTATTCTAATTCAATTATATAGTTTTCAGCACATATTTTAGGAAAAATTTATATTAATGACTTTAGCAATAGAAAATTAATTAATTATTTTTTTATTCATTAACTATTATTGCAATTATCAAATTTTCCAAGTGATATGTCACTTCGAAATTACATATATTTTATTTTTTATGCAAAAAGTTGATTTTAGATGTATCTTGCATTTATTGCATCTTCCAAATAGATACGTTTACTTACGTCATTGAAATAATTTGTTTGGACATATAAAAAACTGAATAAGAAAGCTATTATTCTTGACCGTCGGTGTCGCGGCTATTAAAATTATTCATAATTATACATATTATACATATCTAAAAAAAAGATCCTGACTTAGGAGCATAAAAAGAAACCGGTTCTTTAATATATGAATTGATTTTTTAAAAGTAATATCATAAAAAATATCATCTGAAGGACTTTTTTGAAGATATTTTTTAGAAAATTTTTATATAGAAACAAAATAATATATTTAGAGCGCAAGAATATTGAGCTGAATTATTCAACTTTGATATATATGTTTGTTCATACAATTAAATAAAATTGTTATTTCCACATAGCAAGTTTGAAATTTATGCGTCTACGTAAGCGTTCACATTATACTGTTTTATGCAAATGATCAGCAAATAATTGTATATATTATAATATTTAATTAATGTTTATATATATTCTTCATATTTTCAATTTTATAACATTATTTCTTTAAAATTTAGAAATGTTATTTGGAACTTATTTTATAATTTATTAACATTAGTTTATTTCTATTTATTAACATTAGTTTATTTCTATTATTTTAATTCTTCCCTTGATAAATTTGTATAATGTGGTTCTATTATATACGTATTTATTTATTGTTTCTTTTATAGATAGTATTTTATAAAAAGTATTTTATAAATTACGATAAGAAAAGATATCTTGAAAAATTTTTTCTAAATCCTATTATATTTTCTTAAATTAAGATTTTTCAAATTAAGTATAATAGATATATAATTTCATAAATTCAACCTAATCAAAATTATATGCTAATGCAAAAGAGAATTAAAATATTGTCATAAACTCTCGAATGTTGAACTGTTGTCGCTTTTCGCAATTATTACGAATCACTCCGATCCTTTCACTATTTATATATGCTCGTTTCAGGGTTCATGAGGTTAGTATTAACGACTTTTAGCTACACAATCTCAGGAGACATGATTTCCGGACCTTTCTCTCGTTACATTAATAATTCAAATAGTGCATTTAATGTTTAAAGATATTATCGCTTATTTATGAGTATGGAATTTTTTACATATACACACAGAATAAAATCGAAATATGTCAATTTATGCACAATTTGAATAATATATTATTAGAGACATTTTCCATGCATATTATAACATATAATTTAAGATACGAAATAATATAAGAAAATATTATATATTACATGGAATGAAAAGAAGGGCCCTTATGTCTTACATGCGTTTCTGTTGCAAACTGCTGTAAAATAATTTACTTTTATGAAAATTATATTTTTAATAATATAAAAATTAAATTGAAAACGGTGCTTCTCCGATAGCTAAAATTACGCTGAAATTATTACATAAGTATCACAATTAACTATTTCCGAAAGAAGAATAAAAACATTTTATTCAATAAATTTTTTTAGGAAACTATAAATTTTTTATACATAAAATAAAAAACAAAAATTAAATCCGATATTACAGAATTAAATAAATATATAATTTTTTAATAATAATTAAAATAAATAATTAAAACATAGATAAAATCAAGTTAATTATAAAAAAATGACATTTCTCTCTCAGTGTCTCTCGGTAGGACATAAAATTTATATGAAACCAAATAAATTTTAAAATATAATTTTAAAATCTATCTGTATATATCTTTTTGTTGTATTTAGATGTATGACGAGGGAGAGAATATCGTGACGATGAATCTTAGAAAAAATTCTGACATGGTGAATGAAAAAGGACGATATCTCAGCATCGACAAATACAATGGCAGTCCTGGACTGGCGCAATGGGGATATATTGAAACAGAAGACAATAAGACTCAAGAAGGGTAAAAACGTAGTTTCAATGGTTGTGTTGCGGAAAAGTGCATTTTTTTCTTCAGACAGATAAACATTTACTTATTGATATGTTTTTTATTTCATCGTATTTCATGTAAAATTTTGCATTATGTCAAGCGAATTACATATACAAAAATAGATTATAACAAAAAGATTAAAACAAAAAGACATACGACATACCGTATTATTCTGTCCAAAGGTGCTAAGTGGCATTTCCATGAATATAAAAATCAACTTTTGTTGACTTTTGAGACTTTTGTTAAAAATCAAATAACACATTATGTTAAAACGTCTTTGACTTTACAAATGTAAACGACTGCATACAAACACAAGTGACACTGCAAAGATTATTCCGATCCACAAATATTATGTCAAGAAATATTAAAATATCAATGTAGTCAATGAAAATATTCGACAATTCGCTACTGCGCATTTTCATGACATCACGAGAGATTTATACAAATTTTTGAAATTTTTCTTTAAAATAATTGTATTTATTCTTCTCGACTTGTCTTCGTAATGACGCAGTTGAAAAAATAATGTAATATAAATAAAATTTAATCTATATATATATATATATATATATATATATATATATAACTTAATATTTAAAATTAAAAATATCCTAAAGTTAAAGAAATTGTATTAATAAATATTAATAAAGCATTAATTAAAAAAGCAATTTTAAAAGAATAGATTCGATAGAGATTTTATTAGATAGAGAGTTCAAATATATTTTTTACTTTAATTAATGTGTTTGTGAGTTATCATCACACGCTAATTATATTATACATTAATATTACATTAAGTTTATCTCAATATTAAAACTTATATAATGAAATATTTATATAAATCATGTGTAAAACACACACACACATTTAGCCATATATATATATATATATATATATATATATATATATATATCCAGTCAATGATTACAATGAAATAATTATTTAATGACAATTATTTAATATCTTTATATATTTTCTATTCATTTAATGAAGCAATTTTAGTGTTAATTTTTTCATTTTAGAAATTCAATTTGCAATACAATTCAAGGTGCTACGGAAGGTATCATATTTCCTCCACGTATGGATAAGCGTGCCATTTTCAGAGTGTTCAGGAAAGCATTTTGTCGAACGCTACCGATTAAATTCAAGAAAGAAGTAAAACAAGATGGTTTATCAGGATATCTCTACACTCTCACAGATGACTTCGCTGAGCCACCTGATAGGAACTCGGACAATGAATGCTATTGCCGTAAGAAGAAAACTTGTCTGAAAAAAGGACTATGTAATTTAACACCTTGTTATTATAGTACGTATCCTATCAAACTAAGTTACGGTGAGCTTAAAATGCTATTATGATGTGTTTGTCAGCCCTTATATCAGTATTTTTCTTTTATTTTCTTTATCATAATTAAGTTATAATTTTAACACATATAAGAATTATATATATATATATATATATATATATATATATATAAATTAAAATCCTATTATATATATACATATATTTATTAAGAATTTATTAAGAATTTAAGAATTGCAATGATTTAAGCTTTTTCACTTATGATTATGTTTATTATTTTTATTACACTTTTTGCATATTATTTATTAATTTAGATTATTATTTTAATATGTCTGTTAAAAATATAAACTTTCTCAATGCATGAATGATTATGTATGTAATATATATATATGTACATGCTATGATAAGATATCGCTTAAGCAGCTAATGTTAATTATCATTACATTACATTTCATTGTGTCATTGCTTTGAAGGCATAAATTTATGTAGTAACCTTTCGTTTGGTCATTTGCCTTGGACTTGTCATAAATTGTCGTAGCTTTGAGATATTTCATCATTCAATGTAGATAATTGCGAATATACATTTGATCACCCTGAGATATAGTATTAAAAAAAATCATTTAATAAATTATTCATGACTTGATTTTTCCTCCTTTTAGATATCCCAGCAGCTGTATCTCTTCCACATTTTCTCGATGCTGATCCGAGTTTGCTGGAGGATATAGAAGGTCTTAAACCAGATCGAAAAAAACATGAATCTTTCGCAATATTGCAACAAGTAAATAATATTAAATATTTGAAAAACACAATACTTATATAATACTTAAGACATATGTTACATGCAAATCATAAAATTAAAAATTACTTTAATATAATTTTTTATGTAATTAATTTTTTAATATAATTTTTTAAAAACGTAAAAATTTAAAAAGATCTTAACTTGTTAGTAAAAATTTCAAATTTAATAAAAAGATTTGGAATAATTTTTATTGGTAACAAATATTGGAGATTACATTTACAACAAATAAACTCATAGTATTCAAGTTTTGTATAATTAAAGTTGTATAAGTCTTATATGCAGATTATTCAATCGCATGGCATCATTCCTCAGAATTATGCGTATAAAGAACACGCTCGAAAGCTGTTTACTGTTACGTTATTCAATACTATTTCAATCTTGTCTAACACTTGTAATCTATGTAATAAATTCAAAGACTATTAATTTGAAGACTTTCCTTAAAGAATAATTAGATTTTAATTGCAACATATTTGGTAAATGTTGGTGCAAATATGATATCATGCAGATATAATACATAAATGTTTTTGTCATATTAAATATTTCTCATAAAAACATTAGCAGCAATCAAAGAGTGTTCTTATAAATAACAAAATTAAAATCTCTTCTATTATTCCAAATATGATTTAATAAATAATTTTTTCAATATGATTATATATCTTTTCAGTTTTTATAAACAGAAATAAAAATTATTATACAATTAAAGTGAAATTAAAATAAATAAATTGTTTAGTTAAATCTAAAATTTTATATCTAGATTTTCTTTAGCCATAATTTGTAAATATAAATGCAAACTTCTCACTTCCGCGATGTTATTTTTTCAGGCATTTGGTATACCTATAAAAGTGCATTCAAGGATGCAAACAAATTTGATAATGTATCCCACACGCTACAACTCTAAGATTGCAGTTTTTAATGACATCGCAGTACCTATATTTTGGACCGATATGGTGAGTAATCTGCATGGTTTCGCAATCGATGTATAAAAATCCCGTTTTCCTGCGAAGATTATGAAGGGGATTATATATCTCCGCTTTCTAAACTGCTCCTTTTATTGGATTTACTAACGACAGTTTATTGAGCAACTTTATAGTTACTATAAAAAAATATTGCATAACGTCAAGCATGTATTAATAAGAATAATTACGAAATCACTGATTATGTTCAAGTATAAATCTAAGTATTTTAATCTGTATTTTGATCGGCTCATTTAATTTCATAATATGAAACACAGATACTATCAAACACAGATGATTTATACTCATCTTTTCTTATATTGAATATGCTTATAAAATTATATAATTAGTACATTCGTTTATTTTTATTATAATTATAAATTTTTAAATTTTGTTTACATCAATTTTTTTCAATATGTATGATTTAAATATTTAAAGTATATACGTCTTTACTCTCTATCTCTTTTTTAGATACAGATACAATTTATCTCTTCCTCCTATTACATAATGAAAACATTTCTAAATTATAAATACACGCACTTACACACACACAACAATATATGTGTGTGTATATTTATGATTTAAAAAATGCAGATTAATAATATGTATTGTCATAAATAATATTATTTTCCTTTATCATATATGCAATCAGCAAATCATGTAACAAATATAAATCTTTTCTTTTCAGTATATTCCGTTTTTGCCGACTTACCTATATATTCTGTTAATATTAATATTGCAAATACTACCAATCGCACAGACGGTATTGATATATCTACTTGGTATTATTGGGATGATGATGATAGTGCTATCGCTGACGTCCACTTTACGGATATTCAATAAACAACAACAGGAACAAGAGCAAGAGGCGATCAGAAGTCTTAATAATCCCGACTTAAAAATACCTTTGTGTAATGGCCAATATAATTCGATAAATATTTAATAATTAAAAAACAATAAAAGATTGTACATAAAGATATTTTAAAGCTTACATTTTTATATTAATTTTATTTATATTTTAAATTGCATATCTTTAACACGTCCTGCGGTGCTTGTCTATTTATTTTACGGTTGTCATGGTAATTTGTCTTGGTAATGAGAAAAACTGGTTGTCTTGGTAATGAGAAAACTGACAATGAGATAGTTTGAGAAGAATTGTTAAGGATTGTTTAGTTCTGACGAGAAGAATCATGTATAAATCCCGATTATAAATACTTTGTAATGGCCAATATAATTCGATAAATATTTTACCAATAATTAAAAAGATCACATCAAAGACCGATCTGTTTACAGTAGAAGCCCCATATTCTTAACAGCTCTTACATTTTTATATTATTAATTTTATATTTTATATTTTAAATTGCATATCTTTAACACGTCCTGCGGTGCTTGTCTATTTATTTTACGGTTGTCATGGTAATTTGTCTTGGTAATGAGAAAAACTGGTTGTCTTGGTAATGAGAAAAACTGACAATGAGATAGTTTGAGAAGAATTGTTAAGAGATTGTTTAGTTCTGACGAGTTAAGAATACATGTATAAACTCGCGATTATAATTAATTAGAGACAAATATTTTTGGGTATGCGATTAAATATTAATAAAAATGCAGTAGGGTAATTGATATATTTTTGTAATTCTATGTGTTATCGTGAATTTGATGTAATTAACTTAAAATAAAGCAAACTGATAGAATCTTCTTGCGCTCTTTGCGATTCGCAATATCGAAAATGACGCAAAATCACATAATAATTATTAATGTCATAGCATGAGAAAAAGATTTAAATAATATATGTGATAATATTAAATAATATATGTGATTAAATGTACATGTATATATAATGATAGTACGTTTAATTTTCGTACGATAATTTACGTACAATGTGTAAAAAATAATATTTTATATATTGATTATATTATATTTTAATAATTTGACCACAAGAAAATGTAGATAAGCATAGATAAGATTTTAAATGTTTCTATCGTACAAATTTCTGATTTTAATTGTATTTTTAATTTATACTTAATTTATACTTAAATTTATACTAATAAAATAATTGCCCAAGTCTTATGATAAATATATTCAAATCAATTGGAATTAAAAGCGTGAGACTATATACAAGCTATTACACATACACACAGTTTAAATATATTTAAATTATTTGATTACGTAAAATTTTAGTAATATATTTCATTTCTGAGGACATGATAAAATTTTTATTTTTTTAAAATATAAAAATAACCGATTATTATTAATATACTTTTTGTTATTATAATAAAGTTTACATTTTCATTTAGCATACGCATAAATTTTTGTTATGCAAATTTGTAATACTATAATATTACTTTTTTAATAAAGAATTGTGAATATATCACTAATTTTTGCAGATTGTGACTATAATAATTAAAATATAGTAATTAAACTGTAAGATAACATATTGATTTTTTATAATTAAATAATTTTGAATAATGTATCTTAAAAAACTTTAGCAGACAAAAACAGAATTTTTTTTCCTAAAAATTAATATTGTAAATATATATATATATATATATATATATATATATATATTTACAATATAGTATATAGTATATATACAATATACAATATAGTATATATAGTATTTTGAAATAGTTTAATTTTTGCTTTACATATATAAACTTTTTTATAATTAATTTAAAAAATAATTAATTAATGTATTTATCCTATCTTTTATATACACCAAATATTAATACACTTTTATGATATATTTTTTAAGCATCAAGGGTTAAAATGTAATAATATATTTTTTATATAAAATTTATAGTTGTTTTATTATTTTTAAGGGATATAATAAAATAAGCAATACATAATAATAAGAATGTGTGTATAGTTATATTGTGCTTCATTTATGCAACATTACATAAATTTTATTAGTAAAGCTGATTAACAATTATTTAAAATTTGTTAGCAAAGCTTAACAACGTAACACTTTATATAATATCTTATACATATAATATAAAAATATGAATATAACTTTTTATTGTCATAGTGATATTTACAATGCATCAATTACATCACAATATACTCTTTTTAAATTGTTTCATATATGCAATTGGAATAAATATATGAGCGATTTGCTCCATTTCAAAAAGGTAGATATTACGCTGTGATTATAAATGTATTTATAAATCATTCAATTTTCGAAATACAAATTCCATTTCCGGCCGATTTTGTGCCAATTTGTTAGCACACCACTTTCCCAAAGATATTAAATTTTTATAAACTTGTTTGTCTTTTTCACCAGCCTTTTTGTCTATCAATAGAAAAAGATCTTTGTCTTCCCAAGCATCAATTAAATCTCGTAAAAATTTTTTCTCAGGCCGTGAATCATCATAAGCTCGAAGCCCAGTTGCCATTTCAAATAAAACTATGCCATAACTATAGGTATCTATTTTTGTTGATAATTTTTTGTCAAATAAAAATTCTTCGGGTAGATAAGGTCTCGTTCCATGAATCTTGCTGATCTAATAATTATTTGATAATACTTATTATTTAATCAAAAGTTATTTAATATAAAAGTTTAGTATTTAAACTTTTTAAAATAATCATAAAATTGTTGAGATTTAAAAATCAATTATTTTGAGATTTTCTAACAACTTATATATTATAAGTCATTTATAATCATACTTATCTAAATCATTATAGAATTTAGGATAATTATTTACCTTCATACTATCTCTTTCAGGGCCTTCTCGCGCTAATCCAAAATCCCCAATTCTGGGTTCAAAATTTTTATCCAATAAAATATTCGCACTCTTAATATCACCGTGAATCAATGGCTTATCTCCTATGATATGCAAATACTGCAATCCGCGTGCTATACCTTTTGCAATTTCGTGCCTTTGTATCCATGTTAGTGGTTTGGTTTTTTGTCTTAATAGGAGCCTATCTTCCAAAGACCCGTTCTTCATTAGCTGGTAAACTAAGCATGGTGCTTCGCCACCAAAACTATATGCATATAAAGGTAAAATATTTTCATGAGCACGAGAATTCAAAATTTTTATTTCTTTCAGTGACTGTTGGAGTTGTAAAATATAACTTTCATCTGAATCAGGTCCTTTTTGCCGAATCTTTTTTATTGCCACATCTGTGTTTTTCCAAGTGCCTGCAATATATACAATATATACAATAAAATAAAAATGTAATAATTTAAATAAATAATAATTATTTTAATTTGTATATTTTCTACAACTCAAATTATAATTTATTGTTGCTATACAAAGCCAATTAAAGTAATAAATTTTAAAATATAAAAAATAAGATATTCTTTTTTAACATATAAATACAAATAATTATATACAAATGCTGCTATCTATATAAGTTTTTTAAAATTATATTGCTAACATACATGTTAATGTAAATTGGATATGTACCTCTATATACTGTTCCAAAACCACCTTTTCCCAATATATTGTGTGGATTCCATCCATTTGTAGCGATAGCTAATTCGCTGTAACTTGCATGTGGCAAGGTAGTTTCTGTTTTTGGTAGTGATGATTCATTGATTTTTTTGGCATTGCTACCAGTATTTTGTGAAGATGGCAGAAATACAACAGCTGCTCCTGGCGAGGCTACTAACAAATTATTAGAATTGCTTGGACTAATAGCCAACTGTACTGGCTGATTTAAAATCTTATCGACACTCTGCTGTGGTGATGCACGTTGATTAAAATTCTGTGTTCCAATCTTTAAATCTTTAGTATTCTTGTTAATCAGTTGCTTGCGTGGTATGTTTTGCAAATTAGCCTCTCCACTGTGCAAAAGTCGATGAAATTTTTGATCAACAAAATTTAACAAAGGTACCATTGACTGATAGTGTTGCATTTTGGATAGTAAAACAAATAATTCTGTTATAGTATGATTGTGATGACCCCATAATGTCAAAAGTTCATCAGTAGGATTCTTTTCTTTTCTTAGACTCTGTATTGTTAGAACATCATACTTCATCCAGTTACCTGTTGATGTTATAATAGTATACAAAATATTCCAATTTAAATAGCTATATATAAATAGCTAATATAAACATAGGTTTCGCTTACACATAAATAATTATAATATGTCATATTTTCAACAATTAATTGTTATTAAATAAGAAGATAATAAAAATAACATAAAAAGTAAAAAAGATGAAATAAAATACAATTTAATGTGCAAAATCAAGAAACAAGTGATCAAAGTGGTATTAAATAAATGTATACTTTGTAAGAGACCATTGAGTCACTCTTCAATGACTTACCAGCCAGTTCTTCCCACTTATCGTTTTGATTCATAATTTTGCAAAATTCTGACCGCTCCGAAAATGGCAAGTGGTAAATATATTTCAAGCTTTCCGTTGTAGTCATTTCGTAATAATATTTCACGTATTATATATATTACTGTTTTTAATTGTATTATAATCACGTATTATAAATGATTATTTTAATAATAAATTAATAATAAATAATGATTTTAATTCACTGTATATAAGGTTCTATACAACGCATATGTTACACGAAATAATATCGCTGTATAACATCGCTAATATGATATTTTATCGACGATAATAGACTGTGCGTTCTCACAACTGTTAGTACTTATAACTTGTAATATTAAAAAATCATTCTATATTATAGATATGTATACTTTTTCATTCAGGTGTACGTCGCAATGATCTGTTTCTTAAATTAGCTGTTTGGTGGCAGCATAGTTACTTTCATTTATTTTCGTCCATTGATGAGATCATCAGCTGATTTTGTATAGTATCATAGAGATGAATGAGAGACAATGGTTCCTGAAAGTGATGCGCCTTCTGTGGACATGAACTAAGCCAGTGTCCCGAATGTTCTCAGAGGATAAGTATAATGTGCACAATTTCTGGTTTTGTTCCGTGCTATGTGCACGAAATGCAGCATCAGAGTATAACAAGACACTTATGTATATAAATTGATAGATAAATTGATAGTAAATAAATTATTCAACTTTTTGACATGAAAATACAAACAGTTATTCTTTTATGAATATTTCAAAAATATATACTGCAGAAACAAATACTTTAATTTAATGAATTACTATTATAATAGTAATTCATTAAATTAAAGTATTTACTATTATAATGGTAATTACTATTATAATAGTAATTCATTAAATTAAAGTTTGTTTCTGCAGTATATATTTTTGAAATATTCATAAAGGAGTAACTGTTTGTATTTTCATGTCAAATAGTTGAATAATTTATTTACTATCAATTTATATACATAAGTGTCTTGTTATACTCTGATGCTACCGGCATTTCGTGCACATAGCACGGAACAGAACACAATTTGTAGACATATTGTGTTATCCATTAAGAAGTTTTCATGGAATTCACTATGTAGTTTCAATGTCTACGTTTATAGACATGGAGGCGCTTGTCTGCTCTCAGACTTTCTCTATAGTATGTAGGAGTATCGCACATTTTCTCTACATATGTGAAAATTAGCTTAATATTTTTTATTGTGCTCTCTTATGTTACTTTTATAAGAATTTTTTGCAATTTCCATTATTCAAAAAAGTGATAGATAATATATTATTATTAATAAAGCAATCGAGGTGTTTTTTATTATAGAAAATGGGTACAAGAAACACACAAATTATTGAAGATAATTATTAAAAGTCTTGCATGTATATGTTGGCTTGATGAAAAATGACAAACTGTTTATTGCTACAAAATATTGGCATATATTTATCGAAAAAAAATACGCCAAAAACATGCTGTGCAGCGATGGAATTCTTAGTCTGTTCTGTTTTATCGCAGCAAGTTTAATATCGCTTCTCCCTGAGTTACTGTTTAGATTAGAACTTGACATTTATATTGTATATTTTACAAATATCTGGTTTTTACATATAATACAGTACATTTTCATAAATGTACTTGCATATTTGGCATTTCGTGGCTTTGCTTATCAAGTAAGTATTGTTTTGTTATTATATATTGTATATATATATATATCAAGATTGTTTCTTTTTGTATTCAAGCACTTCTTTTATTTACAGGTAGCAGTCAGGGCAATATTTCTTGGATATATATTTGGAATTGGTATTTTAATATCAATCACTGCATCGCCATCATGGCAGATATTTGGAATTTATATGACAATATTAGCAAATTTCCATTATTCGGAATTTTTAGCTATAGCATGGACAAATCCAGCAGTATTGTCAATTGACAGTTTTATCCTCAATCATAGCATAGCATACGGTATAGCAGCAAGTCTCAGTTGGATAGAATTTTTTATAGAGAGGTATTATTTTTATGAATTGAAACTACCTTCCCCAGTATCCTATTTTGGATTAATATTGTGCATTTCTGGTGAAATTCTGAGAAAACTAGCAATGTGCACTGCAAAGCACAATTTTAATCATGTTGTACAAAGTGAAAAAAATGATAATCATGAACTTGTTACACATGGTGTATATAGTTTATGCAGACATCCCAGTTATGTAGGATGGTTTTACTGGTCTATAGGAACACAGGTAGGGCATCATAAATTTTACATTGGACATTTATATAATTCTGCACTCTTATTATATCACTAATGTTTCATAAATTCTTATTTCAGTTAATACTTCAAAATCCATTCTGTTTCTGCGCATATGCATTGATGTCTTGGAGATTCTTCTATGATCGTGTTCTGATTGAAGAAATAACTTTATTAAATTTCTTTGGTGAAGACTATGTTAAATATCAAGAAAAAGTAGGAACAGGACTTCCGTTCATTTCTGGATATAAAATTAGTTTATAGCATCCTATATTGGTGTAATTTCATTTTACATCAAGTATTTTCATTTTTGAAGTTTGTTATAACATACAAAAAATAACATTTTGTATATATTTATAAGAATTGATTGAATTAATTCATTATCATATATAAGTTTTTAAAAATCTTTATTTTTTCACATACGTGCGCGCGCGCACACACACGCACACACACATATATATATATATGTATATATATATTTTATACATTATAGAAATCTATAAACAATATATTTTTTTCAGAAATATAATTTAATTGTCATTATAATTTGTGTTTGTTTTAAGTTATTGTTATTATATAACGAATAACTTTCATTATTTGTGATTACTTATTTTTGCAAATTTACATTTTTTAAACTCTAATTATAAGATTTGATAACATTTGATAATTTATTCATGTAAAATACGCTCAGATTTAATATATTAATGATTGCTAATCAATTATGTATGTCCAGTACAAATTAGCAGTAAATGAACGGTTCTGTAAATAAATTTTTTTAATTATTTGTAAATGTAAATTTTTTTAATATTCTCGTGTGTACATCCTCTTATGTTTTCTGCGAATTTTTGGGGAATATTTGGAAATAATAAGTTTGACAAATTGGAAATTGAAAGTTCTATGATTAGAAATATTATAATACATTAAAATATTTATGATGACATGCTACGAAAATATAAAAAATATTAGCGAAAATATACAATTTGTTAGCAAAATTATATTTATTGTCTCATTTTCTTTGAAGAATTATTATGTAACAATAGATTACATTTATGTATTATGGTAAATACTTTCAGTGTGATATTTTATATACAGGGTGAAGCAATACTAGCTTATTACTTGAAATATCATTCTTAATTGAAGTGTTCTAATTAGGATGCCACTGATATTATTCACATCCAAACGCCGCAATTATGTAAAGAAGGCATTTCAGACTGGAATTTTTCTCATTTTGCACCCTGTACATATAAAATACAATATACGTACATATTATTATGTAACTAATGTATGCATGAACATCCAAAAGCGTTCATTCGATGTCGGTATATAATTAAGGAGTTATAGTAATATACAGTATATGCATCGGTTATATATATATATAAAGTATGTTAGAATATAGTAATATACAAGTATATGCATCTCATATGGATTATTCTGTACATGAGCATTTACAGTGTGTCATAATAAAATCGTAGTGGACGTAGAAAACTTTACGGGAACTATTATACATTATATATTTCGGTCTCATTTGTTAAATAATTCTCTAAAGACAATCTATAGAATATCGTTCAATCATATTTCTTATTGCACATCATATGTGACATTTTTACTTGATTAATTTGATATATATAAATAAATAAATATATATATATATATATATATATATTTATTATATATATATATATATATATATATATATATATATATATATATATTCGCATTTGCATTTTGTAAAAGCTACATAAATGAAATATCTAATTGAATATCAATAATAGAGCACTGCAATATATGTATATTACTTATGGAGATTGTAAAAAATATAACGCTTTACCTGCATAAATTGACAATACCTGTTAATGAAATATAATTATTTATTTACTTGAAGTACTGAAAGTTAGTTACTTGCAAAAAAAATAGATTCATGTATTTGGAAAAGATCTCTTTCGTATTTTTAATAATTACATTATAGAATATGTATTGTAATTTCCTATTTTTTATCGTATAAACCTATAAAATAGATACATAATTATATTGCACGCAGAGAAAATATGTTTAGAATGATCAATTATGCGATAGATTGATATAAAAACATTTATAAATATGTCTAATTGTAAGTATAATTAAATGATTTAGAAAGATTTAAATCAATCGCACTTTTTGTTTAATGTGTGCAATAAAAGTATCTGCATTTATATTCCACTTTAATATCCTAAATAATAATTTAATTACATAGATATGATCTTGGCGGTCGCGCGTGTAAGCAACAATTGTTATTACTTTCAAATTGTACGTTTTACTTTCATAAAGTCTTAAATATAGAGAACATTAGAGACCGTTAATTATCCGCACAATGCGCATATATTGTATCATAATTTATTCGATATAAATTTTATATATGTAGTAACACATATTTTTTACCTATATCATTTTGACTTATCGCGATTCTCTCTCATGTATGTATAACTTTCTTCATTTATATTTTATCATGTAAACTGATTTAAACCTTTTAATATACAAAAGTACTGTACGCGCATTCGATGATGCTATTATTCATTACCTATTATGTATTCTTGATTATTCGCCTATTGCATCAAAAATCACATGTATAAGCACCTACATATGTATGATAATTGATAAGTATTCATCATGGTATGAGTGCAATCTGAATTTAAAGAAGCATTGCTTATCAATTCTTTTTTTGTTCATTGATATATATTTTCTATTTCTTTTACTTTAAGAATCTTATTTTTCATGACAATCTGTAATATTCAATGGAAGATAATATGACTTTTTGTGTTATAAATATATAAATCAGTGCACTCTTTTTCACTTTTTATTATAAAAACTCGATATCTAATAGAAAAAGTTCGTTTCTGTTTTCCCAATGAAATAACTTTGGCTGTGACGAGAATTTATTGTCTTCTTGAAGATAGGAGAGATACCTCAAAGTTTTATTAAAACTTTGATTACACTCATACTCTAGTGAATAATATTTATCCTATTCGACGCAAATCTGCTTTTTATTGTATTACGAATATGAGTGAATTAACACATGGCAGTGAAAAATTATAGACATATATACTATACATTTTATCATTAACACATTTTCGTTTAATATCAGTCATCGCGTTAGCTGTCCGTACTTGTTGTTCCATTGAATTGAAAAAAATAAGACAAAATTAATTACAAGAAATATGAGAAAAAACAGGAAAAACATGAGAATTGAAAAGTTCAATGGCTAACTTGTTAATATTTATATTAACTGATAATTTGAGGATTTGTTAGATGCAAAAATTTTTCTGTTGCATTTTAAAAATAACAATTTATTATTTGCGAATTTAATGCTTCAATCTTTTTATATAAATAAAACAGTATAAAACGTTATAGTTATTTTAATTATAAAATATTGATAGCGATATATTAATGCAAGATGGATTCTGTATATCTATGGATATAAAATTGTTTTGTTGTTCGTTTAGTAATAGTTACTTTCGTATTTCTCACGCTCTTTCGCTTTCAATGAAAGTTGTTTACAAATCGTGCAGTTAAAGAAATACATGTATTTTTTCATTGGTTAAATATATGTTTTACTTTTCGATTTTTGCATGAGCAGGATATCTCATCCGAAAAATTATACTTTTATCGTAGTCGAAAAGTTGCATCTTTATGATATATACCTTAATGTTCTGAAAACGTTTGATTAGTTATGATATCAGATTTGCTTTTGATCCTCTATCTTGTAATGTTCTTTTCAAAACATTAGATATGTATGAAAAATTTAATAACTATATTTTTGGCTTTAAATTCGACATTTATATTAACTATATTATCGCTTGTATAACAATATGCAATACGTTTTTCAGATGCAGATCATTCTCTTAGCCAAGGTCACCACGTGTGGGAGGTCTATCAGTTCGATCACTGCAAAATAAAAATATAAAATTGATAAGTATTTACTAATAAATTCGTCGTATGTATACGTATAATGATAAATTAACGTTAAATATATCATTATTCGCGACATATCAAAAATACTAGAAAGTGACATACCGTAGTTTTGTCGCAGTATTTCCGATATATCGATTAAGCATTAAACAATTTACAAATTTATTAGATACATATCGTATGCACACTTGTGGAAATACACATCTTTTAAAATATTATACATTGATCGATTTGACGATCGCCGTTTTTGGTCTAAAGAGGAAAATGTATTTCCGACAAGTGAGTTTGAGAATATTACATAATAGTATTATATATTATACTATTGTTTAGCTTAATAAGCCCCTGAAAACGTTAACTGCGTCTACGCATAATAGCGCGAAAAGTACACTTTGTTCCTTAATATCCCTAGTCAAAACAATCAAATTTTGAAGTATAATTAATAATGAGTAACTCGTTATGTCACGTGCAGCTAAATTGGACGCAGGTTTCGGATGAATAATATTCACCGGTGGCGGTGGAACAAACGCATCGAATACTTCTGGGTCTGCGTCTGTGAATACGAGAGAAGATGGAATCCATCTTACTCTATGAGCAGCGTGCAAAAATAATGTCCAACGAAATTAGTCACATCTATAAGATGTTATCTTGAGTACTGAATTTTACATTATTTGTTAATCTGAACATTTATATAAGCATATTAAATGTATTGATAAAACTAAACTTTTTTTTTTAATTTAATATTTTCTTCTTTACTCTAGGAGAAAAAATATCTTATTTACATTCTTACCTGGTGCACGGTGATACGTTTATTCCTCTGATAGCTTTCTCGCCGATATCAATAGCTCCTGAGTCTTGTACCTCTAAAGTATAAATGCAACCGGAAAATCCGTCGTGATATCTTCCATAAGTCATCTTGTAATCCGGCAAACCACCCAAGTAAACGCTTCCTCTCGCATTCAGAATTTGTTGAAGTCCATCGCTTACACCGCTTTCAGTATGCTCGCCGTTTAGCTCGATGCTACCATCGTTTCCCTGACGTTTTAGAATTATTCTATGACGTTCTCCGTCATCAACCCGCTGAGCGGTGACGCGAATTACAGCGGGACCAGAGCCTAAATTGTACTGGTATTCCACGTATCTAAATAATAGGCATTAATTTTTAAATTTATTAATATGTTGAAACTTGAGCAGCGCAAATACTATTGTAATGAATATTATATTTTTAAAAAAAATATATATATATACATATAATATATAATGAATACATATATATTTAGATCAAAGAAAGAGCTCTTGTTTCTAATTTTATATACTTGTTATAATTTTAGAAACATTAGTTATTTTATTTTTATGTGATTATATCGCAGTATATATGTCGTACATACCCATCCACTACAGCAACTGCGATATAATCATCAGGTGTTAGATCATTCAAGGTTTGACCATGCCACATAATCAGTCCGTTACTCTTATTTGTACTAATTTCAAGGCCTATAACTTCACGTTCTTCCTCGTGCATCATGATAGATCTATCTAGTTCCAACCAGCCATCTCCTTTGAAAGCAACATCGTACGTAATCTCTGCCACTACAAAGATATGACTTATATAATCAAATATTATAATAATTATTATATAATTAATTGTAGTTGAGATTAATAATTAAATAAATTACACTTGTAATCTTACAATTTTCACAGTTTTGTCCATTATAACCGAGGCGACAATCACATTTGTAAGATCCGTGAAGATCGGTGCAAGAACCCTCATTTCTACACGGTGTAAATAATTCACATTGCTTCAGTACATTCTCACAGTTTCTACCCGCATATCCATACGCGCATGTACATGAATAATCATGCATATTTAAAATTTGACATATGCCGTGGATGCAAGGGTTCCATGCACAAGGATCGTACAGTGTTATTGGCGGCTGAGTAGATGGTGCCAATGTTGTCATAGTGGTATGCATTATTGTCTGATTCACATGAGACATTGAACAATTCTCGATATTGGCTGCGTCAATTGATGATTTCAATACATCCAAACTGACTGACAAAATTTCGAGCTATATGTATCAGAACAAAAACATGTTAAAAATGAAGAAAGTTCTCCTTTATCTACTGGATATTGAAATTGTTAATTATTGTATATTTATAAATATATTTATAAGTATATAATTATATTTATACAATTTCATAAATAATTTTATTTAAAAATATTATTTTAAATTAATTAAAGATATATTAAAGATTGAAAATTAAAAAGAAATGATTTTTTTTATTTCGTTTCCGTTAATAGGACATTATTTCTATAAATTTTTGAAAAATTTTTTATTAAAATAATGTTATGATTAATTATATGAAGCCATATATACAGGGTGTCCGTCAATTTTCGACCTTAACGAAATAAGGAAGTAGATTGGCTCAAATTAAAAAGCAATGACTTGTATTGTTTTGGGATTGTCGCAATAATTAACGAAAAATTAAATAAAGAAGATCGGCTAATCTGCGTGAGTAGAAGCGCGTGACAAGAGTCGTCTCACTGTAATCCGATACTACGACCGCGGCGAAGCGATAGACGGGTCGCTCTCCGAGACATGATGGTGGTTTGCGATATATCGCAATACCGCGCCGAAAAATGATCGGAATGCATTCGTTCGATTAATTCATTAAATATTTATATATATAAATAAATATTTATAACTCGCTTTTTTATTCGATATATATAAATATTTAATTAATTAATCGAACGATTGCATTCCGATTCATCTTTTCGTTCGATATATAGTATATAAGTATTTAATCAATTAATCGAACGATTACATTCTGGTTCGCTTTTTCGTTCGGTATATATAAATATTTAATTAATTAATCGAACGATTGCATTCGGCTTGCCATTTTACTCGCTGCGTTACAGTGAATATCGCGCGAGAGAGGCAGGCAACATGCGCGGCGTCGTGCACGATTTCGACCGTCCGCGCGCAGACGAAAAACGGCCAATTTATATCTCGACTTCCGGACGCGATAGCGATTTCGTTCTTTTTGCATAAAATTCTACACCATTTCGCGGCACTACTGTCTAAATCTCGTCCCGATCGCCCGAGGAGCGGCTGACTTACAGTGAATATCCGAAATTTGCTTCTTGGACTCACACTTAAGTGTAATACTTATATATATCGAATAAAAAAGCGATTCAGAACGCAATCAGTCGAATAGTGAATTAAATATTTATATATACCAAATGAAAAGATGAATCGGAATGCATTCGTTCGATTAATTCGTTAAATATTTATACAGGTCATTCCTTCTTAATTTGAGCCAATCTACTTCTTTATTTCGTTAAGGTCGAAAATTGACGGACACCCTGTATATTGTTATTTATCTTAATTATTATATAATTAATAATATATTTAATTATTATATTATTAATAATACATTAAATATATTATTAATAATATATTAAATATATTATTAATAATATATTTAATTATTATATTATATACTATAATTATTATATAATTAATAATATTCTTACTGCGCTTATACATCCACGAAAACTACGATCGACACCGACGTCTTTATTGATAGTGATTCTTCTGCGATCCACCCCTCCGATGTAAAGAGGTGTATTTAGCATCATGGTTCTGGAAGCTCCAGGTGATTTGGTTTCCACAAATGGCTCGCCATTCACTGACAATTTGGCTTCTTTAAAGTCTCGATTCACCGTTACATATGTCCATATACCAGGTTGGACTGCATGAGGTGATCTTATCGTTGCCATTCCGGAGCCAATATCGAAGCGGAATTCAATGTGCTTGTCTTTTATTATAAGCGCTGCAAAATCTCCGAGGCCTTCATCATTTTGAGAACAATACATCAAGATTCCATCTCCGGAGTCCGTAGGGTTAAAACTCATGGTTACCTTAAGCCTAAAATTAGGTATATAGAATGTAAAAGAATGTATTATTGCACATCTGCAAAAAGAACTTTAAGCAATATATATGTATATCACGTATTAATTACTTTTTTTTGTTTTTACACTTGATTTTAAAATTCAACAAAGGCACACTCTTGCACACTTTTATTTTAGTTTTTTTATATATTGCATAAAATATAAATATAAATGTTCTATTTTCTTTTCTTACTCTTTTTTATAGAAAATGTTAAATTAAAGTTAATTTATATACAATGAAGTAAATTTTTCTTTTTTGAAAAAATTTGTTATATCTTTCACACGACAGATACATGCAAATAATGTATATATTTATTATACGGATATATTTATAAAACTATTAATTATAAGAATATAAGTGAAGAAAAGGGAAGAAAAGGGTGTTTACACATATGTATTATACATACATGAAAATATGAAAGCTTGTACTAAGCAACAAATCTTGCCAAAAAATAGATATATGTTACATATATAAATAATGTGTCTCTCTTAAAACTTACCTTCTTGTCATTTTTTAAATATACAAGTGATGAAATTCAATAAAACGTTGTCTTAAGCTACAATGTATGATACTTATTACATTAATTTTGCTTTAAAAATATTTATTTATATAGCATCATATAGTCTCCCCCCCTCTCGCTAAATATATAAATGATCATTCGTATGAGAATTATTTCTTTTTTCAATATTTATATTATATATAGGATCTTAGACATAAGTACAAACATTTTACATATGGTGTTATATATAACTGTCACATACATGTATATGGATATTACGACTTCGTTTTCTGCTTGAGTTGGGACTATTGTTAAATGCAACTGATTTGGCAGTGACCTCACGCGCGCATATTATACTTTTAATAATTAATAATGACTAACAGAGAAGAGTGACGCGTTAAGTGTATTAATTAAAAAGCTGTACAAAACATTAATTACTAATTCAATTGACTGATGTTCTAACATTACAGCACCATGATGTCCATTGTAAGGAACTACGCACTAGGCAGGTTTGTTGCAAAACATCTGTTAAAGACTCATTGCTTTATCTTTACATTGCTATCTATACATACCAAACAAAAAAAAAACAGGCAGTGATAAATCGCAAATTAATCGAACTTAAATCTTCTCGAACAGGCATATTTTAACAATCTTAAATAGCTCATATGTATTTGGAAGTTGATTAGATCTACGGAGGGAAGTAGATTACTACTGTGAGATTGGATAAGTAATGATTCTGTAAGTGCGTAAAATTGGTGCTAAGTTTAGCTAATGTTTTGTGTGGTGCAAATTATTGTAGTGATGTGGCCTGGATCGTGGTTGCCTAATTTGTGCGTTGCGTAATCGTGATCGACTGTGTATAGTGGTCGAACTCTCTCTTTCCCTGAAAAGAATTTTAGTAATTAGGATGCTTGATGATGTTCAGGTGCACTGGCAGTGGGATTAGTACCTACATTCCAATTATAATCTCAAAACTGTTAGTTTGTCAAGGGTATGGAGATCCATTTATAGGAAATTTTCATTTATTACGATTCTACCTAGATAGGGCTTTTTATTTATCTTGGAAATTTCGAAAGAATGCAAAAAAGATTAATTCATGTAAAATTTATTTTCAAGTGTATAATCATTATTATTATTTAATACTTCAAATCTTATAACATATGAAGAAATTAATTTTATAGAATGTGTTCTATCAATATTTCTCTTAATTCACTTATTTCTAATACGCAAGCTATGTGCAAATAATTATTTAAGGAAACTCAAAGTATGATAAGTACTATACATAGACGTAATCACCATGACAATATGTTCGATCCTGAACGCTTGTAACATCGACCAAAAGTAATTCATTAAAAAGTAATACGTGCACGTGCGTTCGATAAATAGAATGAATGTACTTACCGCCTAAGAGCTTTCGGAGTCTCATACGCTAGATAAGCTCTATCATTATGGAAAGCTGGATCGTGGATGTTCACCGAATGCTCGCATCGCGATCCTGTTTTTCCGATCGGGCAATAACAATCGAAGCCAATTTCCTTATCAACGCATTTACCTTCTCCGCATGCGCCTATTATTATTCAATTTGTTTTATATAAATATCATTATTTAAAAACATTAAATTAAGGAACATTAAAACATATATTTAACTAATATTAACAAGGCTCGAGAGATTTATCGATATTACTCAGGTATGCGCTATATACGTGTAATTGTTTTATAATTAATTTGTAATTATATATAATTACGACGAAAGAATAACTTATAATTAAATTATATAATTTTATTATACATGTTACTTATAGTCCAAATTAAATAAAATAATATAAATTAGCGAATAAGTTAAATAAAATATAATATAAATTAATATAAATTAATTAACTAACTGAGTAATTTTTTTTACCTGGATAACAGGATTGTCCGACGTAGTCGCAATGTTTGCCACTGAAACCAGCTCGGCATAGACATGTATAGCCATTCTTCATGGCCGCTTCTTGGCATACACCGCCGTTATTACAGGGATTTTCGGCACAAGTCTCGCAGCTCGTGATTCCCACACTGTCTGTCTGATCACCGATCAGATCAACCTGCTTCTCTCCGAGAACAAGCCGGCTGATGCATCCGACAAAGCCTGTGCTCACTTCGAACTGTTTGCTAATTTCATTGTAGCTGGGCAGACCACCGATGTAGAGGGGCTCTTTGAGATCCAGACCTTGACGTCTACCTACTGCAACCACCTTGTAAGAGCTCTCGCCGTCTACCAACATCGTTGCCTCTTTTCGATTGCGTTGGATCTTGATGGTATGCCATTCGCTCAGGGTAATGGGTTTATCCGCGCGAACAACGGCTGCTCCGGATCCAAGATTAAATCTATCAAAATATTCGATATATGCTTAATACGCATATAACGACGAATATAATTACGCAATAGTGTGAATTTAAAGCAGCTTCTATTCAGATAATTTAACTGAAAAGCACAACATTCAAGATAGTTCTAAAATTATTCTCTTAGAATTATTCTAAAATTTAACTATTCCCAAAATTATTATAAAAATTACTTTCTTTTAATATTTATATAATTGACCAAATTTTATTTAAATAAAATCAATTCTATACTCATAGAAATTTGATAATTAAAATAAAATATATGTACATCTAATAAAATATTTACTTAAATTGAGGATATCCATTAATTAGAGATAGAGCAATGAAGTCGTCGTTGCCATGACCGGATTCGTCGTTGTACAATAGAATGCCATCATAACTTTCTGGTTTAAAGGAAATTTCGATACTGAACTTAAGGTAGGAATCGGGTAAAGGCGGGAAAGCGATGTAGCTTTCGGGTGCCTGACTAAAATTAGGCACTACTCCTGTTACAACTAGCACCGTAGGGACTTCTACTCGCGCAGGTCCACTATATCCAACGCAAATATATGTTCCAGCATCTTCAGCCTTTACGTTAGTCAGCTTCAATTTGTTCTGCGCAAAATAAAAAAATAAAAAATATATATTATAAGATAGTAACTTTTTTCAAGATATACATTTATCTTTTTACAGATTCCCTTTAAATTTAATTAAAGAAAAAGAGAATATATATATATATATATATATATATATATATATATATATACAGGGTGAGGCATCTAAAACAGGCCACCTGAATAACTCCGTTGGTAAGCCGAATACAAAAAAATTGTTCAGACAAAAGTTGTATGGTTTCAAGGGGGACATATGATGGTGTCATTAGTTTAATCTTGAAGAGCCACCCGAAGGTCACGTGAAGGTCAGCTCCAACTTTTTAAATGGAACACCTTATATGCTTTTGCATATTCTTGTAGCTCATCTCAAGAGCTTTCCAAAACACTATAATTAAGTTAGTTTTCATTAAGTACTTTCCAAGTTATGAGGCTTGAAATCATTTTTTAATTTTACATAAATCGTAAAATATCTAGTAAACCATTCATTTTTCGATTATCTTACCTTGATACTTTTATGTACAAAATAATGAGAGGAATCAATTGGTGTAAAGAAAACACATAGTTGTTTCTAAGAAAAAATATGGAATTTGCAATTAACAATTCCATATTTTTTGTTAAAAACAACTGTATGTTTTCTTTACACCGATTGATTCCTCTCATTATTTTGTACATAAAAGTATTAAGGTAAAATAATCGAAAAATGAATATTTTACAAGATATTTTACGGTTTATGTAAAATTAAAAAATGATTTCAAGCCTCATAACTTGGAAAGTACTCAATGAAAACTAACATAATTGTAGTGTTTTGGAAAGCTCTTGAGATGAGCTACAAGAATATGCAAAAGCATATAAGGTGTCCCATTTAAAAAGTTGGAGCTGACCTTCACGTGACCTTCGGGTGGCTCTTCAAGATTAAACTAATGACACCATCATATGTCCCCCTTGAAACCATACAACTTTTGTCTGAACAATTTTTTTGTATTCGGCTTACCAACGGAGTTATTCAGGTGGCCTGTTTTAGATGCCTCACCCTGTATATATATACACGAGTATATATATGCATTTTACATACTTCCAAAGTTTGGGTATCACGTGGTAAAAGTCCACCAAGTTTACTCCACTGATATTCTATTGGTGGATCGAGATCGATACGACAATCCATTTCTAGACTCGACCCGTACGGCGCAAATTTCGTTTCAATTGCTGGTTCATCGAGAATTCCGCCTATAAGTATAACAATAGAGAATTATAAAAATTCTTGTTTATATGTAACGACAACTTTCATAATATAAAATCGGTATTTTTATTAATTTACTTACGTAAAGCAAAATTTTAGTAAGCATTAGCAAAGAATAGATATACATTAATAGATATGTTAAAAAATGTACAAATGGTATATCAAATATTCTATCATTGTTGCATTCATTGCGTAAATATTATATATATGCATATATCTATCGCTATCGTACATATATATTTATTAATAATTACCATGAATAATCAGGTTGAAGTCTTTTTCAAATGTACCCTCATGCGTATCTACTAAACATCTGTAAAGTCCACTATCGGTGACAGCTACGTTAGTCAGCCTCAAGACATTGCCGTATTCTTGTGCATTTGCCGGCAGGCTCACATGATTCGGTCTCGACCAGTGATAACGTGGGCTTCGTCCAGTGTATGTGCAATGTATATCAATTGTATCACCGATGTTTATTGGATCTTGAGACACCTCGACGCTTATTGATGGTACGGCAGCAGCTAAAATTGCAATATATGTCTTGGATACACGTTACGATTAATTATAAAATTAGAAAAATGTGTATATATCCTTTTCTCTGCAGGACATCATTATGTTTTAGAAAAAAGGGGTAAATAAAAATTGTAATCTAAAAATTAAAACTAAAAATAAAAACTGAATTTTATTTCATATTTTTCCGTATCTAAACTTTTAATATAATGTTGAAAATTCTAAAATACAAAAAAAGTAGTTAGTTAGTTATAGTTATATAAATAAAAAGAAATGAGAGATTGTACAAGAAATATATTATATAAAATAAGTTATTTCATATTAAAATAACATTAAAGAGCAAAATAATATATAAACAGCTATTTAGAATGATAATTCTTTAAAAAATAGTGCCAAGTTTGTAAAAATATTAACTATAAAATCTAAAGTGTCGAGATATTTATTTATAAATAAATTTTTGGTGTTGACAAGAATGGGATACACATTGCGCATATATATATATATATATATATATATATATATATATATATTGTTTTATACAATTGTATAATTTATACGACTGTGATTTCGGAACTCGTATAACATTTTGATATTTTATTTCATTTATCTATTATTTTAAGTCTGATTAAAAGACAAAAGTATATTTTAATTCGTATCCTTTCCTTGTAATTTTGTATAGTAAGCAAGAGTATAGAGAATAGTTCACTACAAGTAGGACTACAAGACATCACAAGACACACAGATCTCAAAACAAACCGCGTCGTCTCTGAAGATATTGGCGATATAGCGCGTTGTGGCAGAAGCGTTCGTCAGTAGCATCGTTGCACTGAACATAGCCGTCACAAAAGTATTCCATTGGAATGCATTGTAGACTTCTGCATTCATATTCCCAGTGTCTGCACTGCGATCGGTACACTGGCATGCAATCCGCAAGCAAATTAACTACTAAATCATAACGCGAGCCTTATAAAAAAATCTAACTACTTGTGAAGACGTTCTCATGGAACCACGTTTGCTATGTGCTATCTCGCTTATTCATATAGCAAACGATGCAAAAATCCAAAAGGTATCTAAATAATTATTTTGTTTAACCTCTTTGCATCATCTTTTGTTATTTGTATTGTTTGGGAGTAATTTGATTGAATACACATTAATGGTATGAGAGATATTTTAGATTAGTATATGTATATATAAAAAATAGAAGATCTCTAATATATAACTCGCAATGACATATGTAATTAATATATGTATATGTATTATTATTTACTATTTAAATTTTTTGTGCTAATATTTCTTTTTAATTAAGACAAACGTGAAAGTAATAGTTTCAAGCCAGTTCCATGTTAGACGAGAAATTGAAATCTTCAAATAGTTTTATTCAAAGTATGTTGTTCTCTTGAAAAATCACGCAGAAATAGCAAAAAAAGTTTTGTAAACAAGCGGTTTAGAATTTTAATTCTTTCAAAATGTAAGATAATATTTCTTTTTATAGAGCATAAAATTTTGAAAGAATTAAAATTTATATTTTTTAACAGGCAAAATGTTTAGCGTCAATATGTGCATTCATATGATCTTCCACAGATGTATTCGAATAGAAGCAAGGATCTATGAAATGATGCTAAAACGATAGAATTAGTGAAAAATATAATAAAAACTTACGAGATACGTTGAAATTAATATAATCACTGGATACACCACGGCTAGTTTGGGCTTGACATATGTATCTTCCGCTGTCTTCTGGCTTCACCTGCGTCAACTCTAGGTAATCTTCTCCGATTCGCGCGGTGCTCGGCAAGGCTTGTCCTTCTCGACTCCAATGAATCGTCGCATGTTCGCGTACCACGCAACGTAAACGCACAGAATTGCCAGCATGTGTCACCACGTCTCTTTGTTCAGCGCGAACCTCTGTATCGTCGTAAGAATGTTCTGCAAATTGTGCGAACATCAGTTTATAATTTATGACAAAATTGCTCTTTCTTCGAATAATTCTTAAAAATTGCTCTTTCTTCGAATAATTCTTAAATATTTAATGAATGCATATGATATTCTATATATGATACATATATTGCAGATATATATATATATTATAACATATTGCAAATTTAAATGTAGCAACTGATTATTCTGATTATTTTCTACTGACCATTGACTAAAACTTCTGCTACCGCTTCCGCTGTTCCTGCTCCGTTCGTCGCTTTGCACACATATTTACCAGCATCGGAATAGGTAATACCGTGGAATTGCAGGACGCCACGGCTGTGCGATACCGAATATGGTAACGGACGTCCTATGGCTTCCCACTCGATATGCAGAGGTTCGTCTCCCGTGGCGGTGCAAATTATGGATGGATTCTCCCCAGGTCCCACTGTCTGACGCGTGGGATTTAATTCAATTCTTGGAGGAGCTAGAAGAAATCGAATGAAATAAATAATCGTTTGAATTAATTAATCGTCGATTTTGAACTTTTAAAATAGAAAATTTAAAATTTAAAATAATAAATTTTTTATACAGCTTCTACGATTACGGATTTTTATGCGAAAATTTAAATTCTCTAATTTATTTATATTATGCGATACATTTCTTATACTCACATATAATTTCAAGATGGGATTTTGCCCTGAAGAGCACGGTACTGGCAGGATCCAAGCCCAAACAGATGTATTCTCCGGCCGCGTTTCTGTCGACAGTCGGAATGCTTAATACTCCATTGTGCACTGTGCTACCTTCCGGCAAGGGACGATGATCGCTCCTCTTCCAATCCAGATAGATGTGATCTCCGTCAGGTCCAAAGACCTGACAACGCATTTCCACCTTGCCACCGTTCGGAATCCTCAGGTAATCTTTGGGAATCAATACTCCTTGTTGATTCGGATCTCTCTGAAAATCACATTTCATCATTAAAAGCGTATTATTAGCATATTGGGCTGAAAGGTGACAGCATACACACATTATCAGGTTGCGGTTGTTGTCGATCATCGCACGGAATATCGCCTCTATCGCCAGTGCAAGGAATATATTCATCATCTTCCTCGATGCGTATTTGAATACGCTCTTCCGCTATTCCTACGGCATTTGTGGCCTGACAAGTGTAAGATCCTTCATCGTCAGGTGAAACGGAGTTTAGCTCATATACAGCACTCAGTGGAGTAGCCGCTGCTTTGCTATATGTGTCACTGTAAGCGTCACGTTTTTCAAAGATTATTTAATATTTTCATAGCAATCAAATAAAATCAAAATATAGTGCTCAGTTTAATTTTTAAATGCACGTTGTATCACTGCCGTTGCCATTTGATCTACACGACTATACATTTGATAAAATATAAGAATTCACAAATTTAGAAATTAATTATATATTCGTCTCATGAATTATATAATGACTTTACAACATTCGAGACTCATAATATCGCATAATAATATTCTAATTAACTTACTGTATAGTTACTCCGTGCACGTATTTGCTCCAAGCTACATTAGGCTGCGGATAACCACTTGCGCTACATATTAAACGGATTCGACTTCCGCGTTTCACTTGCAAAATGCCGTGCTTCGGAGTAATGGTGATCACAGGCAGGGATTGCACTTCGATGTGCGCGATAACCGACGTCGAGCCGACTTCGTTCGACGCGGAGCAGATATAGGCACCATCATCATTCACCGTAATATTCGATAGTCTGAGCAATCCGCCAGGAAGCTGTTCGATGTTGGAAGCAAATGGTCGGCCGTCTTGACGAGACCAGTGCAACTCGGGCACCGGGAAGCCAGCTTTAGCACGACATTGAAGATCGGCCGAACCGCCGAGGATAACTGTCTGAATGTCTTGAGGATACAGCTCTAAGAGCGGAGCTTCACGAGCTAGTAATAAATAATTCGTTTTTTTTACAGTTTTATAAATAAAAAACAGTTGAAATAAAAATTTTTATTTAAAGATTTGTGAAGAAAAATATTGATTATAATACATGAAAAAAATTTAAGTCTGTATTATTTGTAAAAATTTGTATTTTTTATAACATGGTAAATTTTTCATGCAAATCTGATATTTTTTGTAAATTTAACATTTTTTTTCAAATTAATCATTGGATTATACATCAAAAGATACTATAGACTTACGTTCAACTTCAATTATGGCACTGGCTTCGTAACTGCCTGTAGAGCTAGTAACCCGGCAGATATATACTCCTCGATCGGAAACCTGAGCATTAATAATCCTAAGTGTATCTCCTACTTGTTGCACACGCGAACTCATCGTTTCTGTATATTTGCTCCATTTCACTTGTACACCTGGTTCTCCGCTAGTAATACAACGCACTTCGGCAACCGTTCCCTGGGACACTTCTTGCCGGTCGGGTCTGACTTTAATGGTAGGTGGTCCTCGAGCAACTATCGTTATTCTAGCGGAAGTGCTCGTTTCTGTTCCGCGTATGCTTGTCGCAGTACACACGTATATACCAGAATCGCTCGGACTAGGATTAATGATGGTTAAGATTCCGTCCTGTTGACTCGCTGTATAAGGTAACGGTAATCCGCCGGATCTCGTCCAAGTAACGTTTGCATGCTGCGATGGTGTACAGATCAATTTGACAACATCGCCAATAGTTCCAGACCACTCGGACGGAGTTACAGTTGGCGGTAAACCTTGAGGTGGTGGCTTATTAGGATTATCTGTAATACACAATAATTTTCGAAAGTAATATAAGAGACATAATTAACGCAAATGATTTTAAATTAGTACTCGTAATTAAATAACAATTTTCATAATATGCGTGGTAACTCGAGATCTCAATCAATATCGTAATGTCTGAAATGTATAATTGAATTATACCTTCAACATACAAGATGGTCGTCTTCTCATCTATGCCAACATTGTTTCTAGCAATGCACTTGTACTCAGCTGCGTCGTTCTTCGATGCGGCTGGAAGGTTCCATATACCATTGTGGAATGTCGCTTCCGGACTCATGCTTCCGTGGACTCGAATCCAATCTAATTGAGGTGACGGATTACCAGTAGCTTCGCATCGGAATTCGACTGGTTCACCTTCTCTCACTTGTTGATACGGTGGATTTATAGTGATTCTAGGTTCTACAGGGTTGGCTCCTTAAATAAAAATTTATTATATGAAATTATAATCTGTTTCATGAATGTTGAGCGCGGTCATGATTTATACCTGGTATTTCCAGCAAGTGTTTTGGAAATGCTGCATCCAATACAATACAAAAAATATAAGAATATACAAAAATATGGAGAATTAAATAACATTTAATAATTTTTAATTTAATATTTAATATTTTAAATTTTATCTTCATAATTCTAAATACATATAATAGCTACAATATAAAATACGATGGGACATGATATTTCACATTCGATACATAATATAATTAATTATGTTTACCTCCAACAGTCAGAGTGACTTTTTTTCGTCCAATGTTTATTCCATCGCTCACTTGACAAACATATATGCCGCTATCAGATACCTTCACATCTCTAATGACTAATAATCCATTAGCATCGTCCACGCTTCTACCAGGCGGTAATTGACCATCTTCTTTCTCCCATCTAATATTTACCGACTCCTATTTTCAACGATAAAAAAAATTTGCGATAATAAAATAAGAAAAGAATAAATTTGTAAAATAAATAATCGATAAACAACTTACGCTATCTTTGGATCTGCCTGTGCAATGGTATCTGACAGTGTTTCCAGTATGAACAATCTGGAATTCCGGTTCTTGAATATAAACAATAATCCTCGGTGGAGGTATAGGACCAGGTGTAGTAGTAGTTTGCGGTTCTCCAACTGAGAAAAATGAAAACGAAATTGATTTTAAGATACACGGAATTATTTGATAAGATCACAATATTGCAGCAAACTTCCCATACAACAACGAATATTACAGCATTATTATTATTGATATTGTTGTAACATTACAGCAACATTGCAATATTGCCGCAATATTACTGCAATGTTCTGTGCTGTATGGGTTAGCATGATACTTTAAAATGAGATAAAGCATAATAACAGAGAGAAGATACGAACATTATTAAAATCTGTAATTTTATGGAAACACTGTAATGAATAAACATTTCTCTGTGACACGGAGAGCCAACCACCTTCACATTTTGACAAAACATCGTGAAAATGACAGTTATTCCGAAAGATGATAATTTATATTAATTGCTACGAAAAACATATATATTCTATACATCGATACACATAGTACATGATACGTTCAATACCATCAAGCCAAGCTCTTTCGACTAATTCTAATTTTGCGAAGAACTATGGAATCATGACAAGAACTACAATCCAAGGAAGTTCCTTCACCGGACACGGTGATTTATGATGATAATCTACGACCCAACGATAACGCAATTGTGATATGATGATCACAGCACTCTTTCTGAGTTATGAATCATCGATGGACGGACAAGATATGGAAGCTATATAGTCCGTCAAACCTGGCGTAATTGATGTCATGACCTTGAGGAGTTCTTTGCCACGGTAGTTTACGATGTGACATTCGACGTTACAAGCAGTGCGTCCCACGTGGACAAACCATGTGCGGACAGCTCCATTTTTTGTCTTAGTTATAGGTCCGGGTTTGCCACCCTTCGCAGTTACGGCAAACCCGTTAAGTGACGATAATTTAAAATAGATGTAAAACATATCTGGATAGTCATAGTTGCATGTAAATTGGATCGTGGAGTACGGCTCAACTTCGGCTTTCATAGGCATTAGGCTTACCATGAGCTCACCTGATCAATGTATCGTTGCTATTTATTTATTTTAGATAGATTCGAAAGCTCTCTCTTTTTAATATAATCTTAATAAAAATTACACTCTTACACTTATAAACAATATTGAAACATAAAGCTACCTGCAATAATCTTCATTTTCTTTGTTAAAAATGATTCTTTTTATGAATATAAATTGAAAAAATTTATAAAAAAAATTATAACATATTTTTTACTTGTTTTCTTATCCTCATTTTTAAAACAATAATAAAATAATAAAAATAATGTAATAAAAAAGATACTATTTTTATTTTTTATATAATTCAAGCAGAGAAAGATATTGCTTACCGGCGATATCTTGGCAATACTGTCCTGTGTAACCCGGCAAACAATGGCATTTGATCTGACCGGATCTGCTGATCTCGCAGCTTTCCTCGTTCTTGTTGCACGGACAGAGATTGCACGCGCCTAGATAACTAATGGATCGGTCGTTAGTATCTCTGTAATAACCACGAGTGCAGATTTCGCAGGAAGTTCCTGTATAACCAGTTGGACAGCGGCAGGCTTCGACCTGAGTAGCTCGTCGTTCTCCAGTTAAATGTTCCACGGCTGTATCCATGCTGATGTCGCTTATGTATGTAGCGGTCATACGTTCGCTGTGAGACGCGCGGACTAAGATAGCCTCCAGATTCGAGAGAACGATCATAAGATCCGTTCTGGAAGCGCTTCGTGGTCCTTCGATGGTCAATCGTTTCCATTCATTTTCTTTTAATGGAACAGAATAGGTCTGAAAAATGAATATATATGTCATGTATAATAATAGAAATGTATATTATTATACATATATATGTCATGTATAATAATAATATGAATATATATGTAATCGTAAAATATTCGAATTCATTTTGTATTATAAAATTTGGTTCATTATTTAGCAGGATATAATAAAAGATGAAAAGAATATTATGTAAATAACGATTAGCTTTCTATTAATAAATGCACAAAGACATTTTTATTAGATTGTTATTGAAATCTATTTTCTAAATATATTTTGTTTATTAAATTCTATATATTTTCTATATATTTTTTCTATATATTTCAAATGTCGAGCTTTTTTATCGATTCTTTATAAAATTATTAAATGTCAGATAAATTTTATATACCAGCGGAATATCAGGTTGGAGCTCTGTTGGATTTGTCCAGAACAATGTGATGCCATTGCCTATCAAGAGAATATCTTGATCTTTGTAGCTCTGAGCGCCAGGATATGCAGTGATATGCTGCGTCAGAGTCAAATTTCCACCGTAACTTTTCACTTTGTTTCCGGTGAAGACGCTCGGCAGCGACCAGAACAATCTGCGACTTCTGCTATCCGGATAACGATAGCCGATTTCGTTCATTGCCACATTCAATTCGAAACCATCATCGATTATATCGCGTCTAGTCCTGCATAAAAAAACGCAAGTCTCATAGTAAATTTTGAAATTCAATTCAATTTTTGTTTTATTTGCTATCGTTTCAATTTTATTGAGCATAAAAAATAAAATGATAAAATTGATATTATTTAATGATATTGAATAAAATTTTATTTATTTGTATTTTTATTTATTTGTAAATTAAAAATCTACTTGGTAACAAGTAAAACTTATAAGGAAATAAGGAAATATAATGAAAAGACATATTTACTAGACTACACATTTACATAAGCGTATCTAATACTTACGAGTCCGTAAGAGTGAAGCCATGATGTGAATCATACACCCACATCGGTATTTGCTGTACATACAATGTGCTTTCGTGACATTGATCAGTTATCCCGCTGCAGTAACATTCGATGCATCCATCAATATTCTCGGCACGTAATCCGTATGTCGACGGGCGGCACCGATTACATTCTGGACCCTCAACATTCCTTTTACACTCGCATCGGCCATCGACACACGAAGTGCTACGCGAGCCAGCTTCATTGCATCTGCATGACTCCGGTCTGGGGCTTCTGTATGTGCAATCGTTCGGCGTGCCTCGGGTAGCATCTCCTTCGTATCCTGATTCGCATACCTCGCAAGAATCGCCGGTAGTGTGATGAGCGCAATTCTGTTGATGTAAAATATCAATATTTAATTTTGAATATCTACAGATATTTATATGTAACTATATATTCTCATATAATTTCAATTATATTTACTCTCTAATTTTATAATACTCTGAAAGATATGTTTGAAAGAAAAAAATTTCTATTTCTATAATATTTCTGATTTAAGCATTTTTGCAAAAATTAATTCGAAAATTAATATGAAATAATAAAATTAAATTAAATTAATTCGAAATAACAAAATAATCAGATACACAGATTTATTGAAATATAAAATTGTCGCTCTATTAAATTTGCTTTAATTACTTGTTTACCTCGCAAACGCCAGTCTCAGGGTCGCATTGATTGGAATGACCATTGCAATTGCATGGTTCGCAGATACCTAAGTAGAGACCTTCGAAAGCTCTGGTATAACCAACATCACAATCCTCGCAGGAAAGTCCTCTGTAGCCGCTGGGACAAGTACATTCTTCAACTTCAACCGCGCGCGCTTTACCCGTATTGTACTTTTCGGCAGTATCCAAAGATACGAAGGAGAGTCTAAAGTATATACATTATTAATAAATCACATTATTGTCAAAACTGTTTAAGATGTTTCCAATTAATCTTGCTTTTAATTTTCATTTAATTAAATATTAATTAATTCCACAAATTTCGCGTTACGATGCTGGAAAATTTATCTCTCATATCGCTTGTATATTTCTTAAACAATTTTATAGCACCTCAAAAATTTTAATAAAACCTAGATAATTATAATTTACGTATAAATTTTATTTATTAAATAATCCCGCTTTAATTAAGAATATATTAAACTCAATAATATCAGAGGTGTATATACAAAGTACTTACGCAGCTTCGTCTGTATGCGTCGTGTAAGTGGCTTTGATTTTGATGGCTCGCACGTCTGCCAAAGCCATTAGAAGGTGCTCTCTATCCGCTTGAGTTCCATCATTGCGTTGCCAATATTGCTCGAGTAACGGTATAGTAAACGATTGCTGGGAGTTTGGTTCGGGAGACTCACGAGAGTAGTAAAGCAAGTTGATATCGTTAGCCTATATACACATTAAGATATATATATATATATTACTCTCCTACTATATCTTCATTTATGAATTAAGACACGGATTAAGATTTACGAATATGCACTTACGCTGATAAGTTCGACATCCGCGGCATTATTTCTTGAGCTTTGACCGCCCGGAGAAGGAACGTATCTGACAGTATACTTGAGATTACCGCCATATGATGTTATTTGATCTCCTAAGAAAATGCTAGGTAATTGCCAGTAATAAACGTCATTGTTTCCACGATTCGGGAAATCACTGTAGATTATTTCTCGGCTAATAGTGTTTAGATGAATTCCTTCTACAATGGCTGGTGCATCGATGGTCTTAGATTCGATCAAAGAGAAATCTCGAATCGAATTGGTGAATGATACACGAATCTACAATGCGTGAATGATTGATTAAATCTTCATTTTTTAATTCTATTTCTATTTCTATTTTTATCTAATTCTAAGTACTTATATTTCTAAAAGTTATAGTGTGAAAAGTGCGCAAATTTATATTTCATAAGGAATGTATAAAATAATTGTGCTTATGCAACTTTTCCTATTGGAAAAACTTTTTCAATATCTTTATCGTACCTCATTCCTGTACCAATTAGAGGAGACGCATCTGTTTGTAATACCCATACAGAAACAAGCTATGCATCCAAATTGATTTGTCGAGGCCAGATTAAAGGTATTCGCCTTACATTGATTACAAGTGAGACCCGTTGCATATTGCTGAAAGAAAAAAAACATCAAACCATCAGAGAATAGACGGTGCTTCTTGACCGCAATGTGTTGGGCTCATTTATTTTGAATATCGATTTATATATATCTGCATATAAAAGGATCGTATAATATACTCACGTTTTTATAGTTAAAAGAATCCATGATAGATGGATGCAAGAACAACAATAAAAATGCAAAATATTTGAGAAATAGCACAATTAATCTCGTTTAAATTTTATTGATGAAGCAGTTTATCCATAAAAAATATTTTCTTATAATTGAAGGAGGTATTACATATTATATTACATATATATATCTCTATATATAATATTACAGATATGAAAAAATAATTATCGATATATTATCGAATAGTACCTTGCAATGACATTTTCCAGTATGCGGATCGGCATTAGGACTAAGACTGCCATTAGGATCACATTGTTGAAGTGGAACACACATATCTCCGGGAATAAGAGGATTTCCTTGATAACCGGTAGCACATTGTTCGCATCTACGTCCAACGTAACCAGCGGGACAATCGCATGTAGGTTGCCCGTCAGATCCAAGATGACATGTGCGAGCGAACCTATTTTCCATAATTTAGTTATTTTTTACTTATTTATTACTTTTTATAAATTACGAAAACGAATTTTAATTAAAACGATAATCAGAGTAATATAATAAATTTAATTGGTTCGCATCTTACTGGTTTGACGGGTTAGTAAGCGGACAAGGACAAATCTGGCAAGGGATGTTTCTTGAGGGATCGCCATAGTACCCTGGAGGGCACGGTGGTTCGTCTCTATAACACTGGCCAAGCCACGGACCATTTTCTCGCCTCAGATAACCAGGCGCGCAATGTTCGCAAGACAGACCGGTATATCCTTGGATATGAAAGTAATGATCGAAATGAACGAAATTCTACTACTCCATAATAAATAAACGAAAGTACAAATAGTTGCAGAAGTACATACGTACCGGTAGGACATTGACATTCTTCAACAAAGGACGCGGATCCTAGACCGGTGTTTCGCGCATCGGCAGTATCTACTACGATGTTAGTGAGACGAACGTCCAGCTGCTGCGAATCGTCGTATTTAACTCTGAAATATATATCGAACAAATTGAAGAAAAATGTAATAATAACGATTAATGATACAAAATGCTTACTTTATAAGAATGTTGTCTACGTTTGCTAGCGCCATCATAATGTCCTCCCTAGAAGCCAGGATTTCGCTTCTTCCTTGTTGCTTGTACCAATCACCATAGAAGAACCTGACGGATTCTTCAGTCTCATAATCGGGCGTTGGCTCATTACCTTTGTGCACCAGGATGTAATTATTGCCGCTCAAGATGACAGTAGGTGCATTGTTCGGCGTACCGTTACCGCTATGACGAATCGAATACTTCAAGTAGCCACCGTAGGATTTTAATTGATTACCGTGATAGTTCTCTGGCAGTGCATAATAAGGAATATTGTAGACATTCAACTCATTGCTGAAGGATTCCGACAATTGAACGCCATCTCGACCGAGTGGACGAATCTGAGATATCTGGTTGCTGATGTCGCCGTGGATTTTGACTGTGGGAACGGTCTCGACGGACACAATCTTATGGCGGTCAAAAGGCGGTGGAATCTGATAAGTGAAAAGATCAGCGCTGCGACATTCGGTAGCAACGCCGAAGCAGAAGCACGAGATACACTCGTCGACGATCTTCGCCTCAGAATTGAACTTGCCCTTTGGACAGATGTTGCGAGGTTCCTTCACGACAACGATAGCATCTGGCACAGCGAAAACAAAACCGCCGACGTTCAATGCCTCGCACGAATACGCGCCCTGATCCTGGATTTGTATGTCTGGACATGTCAGTGTACCCGTTCCGTTAGTCGACACGGTTGTACATTTCTCGGGAATATGTCCCCAATTGAGTCGCCAGTTGATTTCCGGTATCGGGACACCGATCGCAGTGCAAGTGAGAAGTAACATTTCACCTGGCTCGAGAACAACCATTGGCGGTGGTGGTTTCACGATGTAAACGGGAGCTGCATAAGAATAAATCGGTCATAGACATTATGCAATATTATAATGACTGATACAAACAGCATTTCATCAAATAATTATTAGCGAGACGTTGTAATAAAAGATACAAAATAATAATACATTCTAGATTTTTCTCAAATTTAAGGTAGACATGCATTAATAAAGTATACCGAAGAGATTTGTAAAAGAATGATGAATTTTAAAATGTTGATTGTTTCGCCAAAGTTAGCCGCTATCGATCGTTAAGTATATCCGATATAAAGTCCAGTGCTGAAATATTGATGTCTTGTGGTCTACTTATGAAATACTCATCGATACTGACAGCATCCAACTTCGTCGCTGCCGTCCAAGCAGTCGCGCTCCATGTCGCAGTGATAGCTCTTCGGGATACACTGTTTGTTGCTGTTGCAAGGAAACTCGTTGTAATGGCATGGGGATCCCGGGGGAGACGGCGCGCAGTTTTCCTCATCGCTGCCATCTGCGCAATCCTTGTCGCCGTCACAACGCCACAACTTGCTGACGCACTGCTTATTATTGCAACGGAATTCGTTGGGTTCGCATCCGTGAGGACCTGTCGAAAATGGGCGCGCGACGTTCGCGTGAAATTCGTATCATAAAATATGAATGGCCGATACAGTATCGCTCTGGAAAACTTACTGCATCGCATCTCGTCAGATCCATCGGTGCAATCAAATTTGCCGTCGCAAACGTACGATTTGGGAATGCAGTCTCCGTTGCTGCAGGTAGCTTGATCGTACTGACACACTTGCGGTGGTCTAGTGGCCGGTTGCTCAACTGTGCGAGATCGATCGATTTAATAAATCTTTAATCGATTAAAGTAGCTTCTAATTTATTAAAAACTTATAGTTTTCTTTTATTGTAAATAACTTTTACTTACAATGAAATAATAAATCGAAAGAGGCAAAAGAAAGAGGAACGTACACTTCTCGACGGTAAGAATGACGTTCACTTGACGACCCGGAGTAGACGGCGGATAACCCACGGCCTCGCAAATGTAAGTTCCAGCGTGCTCGAGCTGGATATTGGGTATCTCTAAACGACCATTGATGTCTCGGCTGCCGGGCGGCAGAGGTAAACCATTACCGCGAATCCAACGTACTCTGGCACGTAGGAGACCCTCGTCACGGCATTGAAATACGACTTCGCGACCTGATTGGAACGATTGATTTTGCGTGATATAAATTTGGCCTTGTTCCAAGAGATTGCATCCCTGATGATTACGGATTATCAACGTCCATGATAGACGTCAAATGTCAATAAGCAAGTGAATTTCCCCGTTTTGTCAATTTAAGATGATACGCGTTAGTTTGGTCCATGCAATATTTTAATATTTTTTTCTTAATCATATTATTCGATGCTCGTGGATTACATATATATAGATAGTGAAAACCTTATGTGCAAGGCATCCGACATAATTAGTATTGAAAGAGCTTTTTAAATATAATACTTGTACATGTGATAATTAAGATTATTAAATATCTGATGATAATAGAAAAGTTTTTGGTAATTTTGTAGTATAAAAAAATTGAGTTTTAGTTTAAATTTTCAAATAACATTAGAAATCATGCATAATCAATGTCTTCAAGCATGCCTTTTTTTCATGGATAATAAATTATTAAAAAGTCTTTGTTATTTGATTTAAAGTTGCTCTTTAAATAAATGTGTTATAGTTTTATAATTGCGATATATCTGTGAAATGTGAAATAGTTATATTAAATTATAGTATTATTAATACAGTTACAGTTTACTAAAAGTAGAACTTTAAAAAAATCAATCCGAATTGCAGCAAATATATTCTGTTTTGCTTATTTTATGAAGCATTCATAACAGAATACAAATAAAATCAATAAGCTAGAAAATACATAGGTTTTATGTGAACACTTATATGTACACCGTAATCCAAGTACGCATCGTATTACCAATTTCGCACATTTTATGATTCATGAATATTATTTTTTAGCCCACAGCATTATATATATATATGATTTTTATTTGCAGCTTATATCATATCTTTTGTAAAATCTTACCTTGCTTCGCCGGATCTGGCCAAGGCAAGAGAAAATAACAAACATATTTATTAATTTCTTTTCAAATACGACGATAATTATTGGCAACGCGACATTTATTTTTTATTATTCTCTTTTATTATTCTATTAATTTTGCAAAATATTAAAAATTTGTTCGATTATTTTGAAATAATTGAAAATTTTACAGAATAATAATTATTATATAAGAGTTGAAAATTGAACAAATGCATACGCAATATTTAATTAAACGCTCTATGTATGTTTACAAGCAAGAAGAATAGTACTTACTTTCTTTAATCACTTGTTCACTGGGATATGTTTTCAGTCTAAGATCAGATGTTCCATCAGTATCTGCATAAACAAAATCAATAACTTAATAGTAACGTATGAGTACTTAAGAATAAAATATGCAATCGTAAAATAATCCGTGATTAATAATTAATAACTCTACATACAAAACATCTAAACTAATTGCGTTATATTTCAACTTTGTTAATTTGACATTTTTATCCAACACCTTCTACATTTTTCGTCCTAGAAAATGTAGTCTTGGTTTAATTTAATAATTATTTTTTTTTAATAATTAAATAATTAAATATAATACAGTAAAATAATATAATAAAAAAATATATTATTACAAAATATTGGATTATAAAGCCTTAAAACTAACAAAATAATGTTTTTAGTATTTATCTTTTATTACTTTTATCATAAAATGAATACTTGTTATTATCATATTAAAAATGTTTGTTATCGAATAAAAGTGAAACTACAATTTAATTGTAATTTAAGTGACACATAACAGATTTATTTGTTCGTATTTTCTTTACTGCAAATACGATGATAGCTTTTAGTATAGTATAGTATTTATATATAACACATTACAATATTATGTTACAGCAAATATTACGTTACAGTGTCACAAATATTTACAAGATATTATTGATTAGCTGATGGCGTGTTATCAGTCGACCATATAATCCCCTTTTGCGAAGATGGGTTTTCGCATTGGAAAACTAACTACCGGGGAAAGCTAACTCACAATTATCATAACTGCAGTCCATTTCATCGGACATATCTCTAGGACAGTCGAGCCTTTTGTCGCACCGCTGATGCAGCGGAATGCAATGACCATCATTGCACGTCCATTCAGACGTGCGGCATATACTGTGATTTCTTTGCATCGCCCTATAGTGACAGCCCAACTCGTCGCTATCGTCGTACGGACAATCAATTCGACGATCGCAATGTTGATGTCGAGGTATACAATCACCGCTCTTGCACTGCCATTCCTCATGCGAGCATACCGCTCTACGATCTTTAGTTTTGTCGTTAAATATGTATCATTATTCTGCGTCTTTGCAAGGTTATATAGAACACGATGATTGTAGTTGCGGATAGATTCGGAAAGAATCGCTCCAATTGATCAGTAATTAATTTTTAAATATAAATTCACGTGCGAGAATTCGCAATAATATTCGCGGATCTATCGATATTATCTACTGTTTGTTACGCGATATAAGGTTTATAAATATGCTGCGCCTATTTAATTTAGCAGATCGATAAATTTAGTGTATTATTAACTTACCGCAGTTATGCTCGTCGGATCCATCTCTACATTCTGGAATTCCGTTACAAATGGAAGACTGTGGAACGCATCTTCTGTCCGAAATACACATAAATTGACCCGCTACGCATTGACCTGGCTCTGGTTTTTCTGATGATTGCTCTATATGATATAAATAAATAAAAAATAAAGACATAAGACAAGCGGAGAATTGCATATGGAATATCAAGTTCTACCGTGCACGCGTCTCGAACTCCACATTTATAAATTATTTCAAAGTTAGGTTGAACATTATACAGATCTACATCCAGTTTAGCGCAGGACTGCTTATTTTCTCATTACATTGATTAATTACATGTTATGGATTACATCCTCACCGCATTCTTCCGGCTCGTCGGAACCATCAGCACACTCGATGTATCCGTTGCATCTCTGATTGGCGGGGATGCAATCTCCGTTAGCGCACTGGAACTGATCCCGTGAGCATCCTAAAATAAGAGGCTTATATTGTACATCGACGAAACAACCACAAGCCGTTTATCCGTGAAAAAAAAGAAAACAATATAGATGAGACACAAATACATGTAAAATGTCAACCATGGAGCCATCATATGTCCGTCATTACAATCTAAACAATGATATCTAACGTCGAAATATAATAAATACGATGGAGATAATGATTACCTAGAAAAGATTGTTAACTGTAGAATCTAGAACAGAGATGTTTAATATAATGTATTTATATCTAAAGCACATTTGTCTAAAATATTAAACAATTCTGGTCTAAAATCTAGATAATAAATTAAAAATCAATTCACACAGTATAGATTCATAAATTAAAAAACAACTTTATGCGTTTCCGCTTTTCTATAATATATCCTCGTTTACTGTGTGTCCTGATTATCAATCTACAAACATTTATATATAATTCGTCATTCAATATAACGTGGAGTCAAGAGGAAAGACATTTATGATTCTTTAATCCACTGCATTCTTATAGACGCTATTAATAAAATGACATTGTTAAATATTAATTTTCCAAAGTAACTTTTCATCCAAGATAATATAAACTTTCTTGCACAGGAAGGTTCTACAGATGAAAATGTACTTTCCTCATACTATGCATGCCATAATAGGATTTATATCAAACTCTCTACCTACGAGAAAAAGAAACGATCTAAATTTTACGCCAGGCAGAGATGCACTATTGTTTATAAGGATGCGCCGGATATAAGACTGCGATGTTTGATTGTAAATTTTATAAATATAATCAAATCTCTACTCCAACAACCTACACATCTTCTATTCAGCTGCTAACACAGATTTAGCAGAAAAGAATATAGATTCAAGAAAATCTGGTGCTTTCAAAGGAATTTCAGAATATATTCAGAATATCTCGCGGATAAAGGAGCAAACTTTAATATACTCGAAAAGATGAGATAAAATTCCTAAAAAGAATATCACAGAGAAATACCATGGAAGACTATTCAATGTTTAATCGATATATAAAACTTTGGACATGCTCGTTAAAGATTGAACTCTTTGACACAATAATGTGATAAAAAATGCTGAAAAATATAATAAATAACATCTCAATAATCTTAAAATAAGAAATTATCCATGTAAAATATTTTCACATTATTTAGACAATAATAATTAATAAGAATCCATAATTCTCCGCGCGAATAATTATTCAAATTTCGAGATATCGACGTATTGCGTACAAACATAATAATTTTTTTCCTATAACGACAAAATTTATCAATGAAACATTGAGATGAAAAATCGTATGAGACTTTGAAGCAGAATCTATCACCAGATTTTCAAAATCTTCAAATAATCTAACCGAAGCAGTATTGTTCGTCGGTAAAGTCGCGGCAATCGTAGAAATGGTCGCAGTGGTGAGTTTCGGGGATGCAAGTGCCGTCGGCGCAAACAAAATCATCCGGAGCACAACTCCTCGGCGTGCTCAAATTTGTCGGCGGCACATCAGCATTTGCATTTGTGTCTGGGCTGTAAGTCTCGTTATCCGGATTCGCACCGGCTACCACCCCCATCTCCGGATGCCCCCCCGAGTAGGCTCTATCCGAGGCATCTACACCTAGAAGTAACTCAATCTGAGCTGCCGTGTTCACGCGAACATGTCATCGATGATTCCCGCGCGATTGCAACGATATACGCCGAGCTCGATAATCTTGAAAAAGGCTTCGCCTCTGTGGAGACAACGTACGCATAATCAGGACTTAAAACGAGTTTGAATATAAAGAGAATCTTGACATACAAAGCTCGAAGCTGTCTTGTATATCTCCTTTGATCATAGACGAAGTATCAAATCCGTTTTAGAAATATGGTTTATTTATACTGACGATTTGGAAAGCAAGTCTAGTGGCTATGCTTACGCGCGAAGCTTAGTGATGTAAGAATAACTTGTCCGTTGCATGAAGTATAGTCGAGGAGAGCTTAAATTTCAAACTTCGTCCAAGAAAATTCATTCAACACTATAAACGTGGTAGTGACGTAAGGGCAAGCTGAGAAATAAGGTTGCGTTCTCGAACCGTACGTACATCGTCTTGAGTCTTGACTATGAATATGTCTTGAGGACTAAGTCATATCGATAAACCTGAATTAACCAACAAGAGTGAGTGTATTCCTTCTATCCATCCTCTGAATACTTTAATATCACTTTTAGCCTAAATTAACACAGGTTTTTAAAATGAAAAAGATAGCGGAAAGGGGTGTAGCAATTCCGAGTGATTTTAAAGATTGACTTACCTTGACGGCAGTTAATCTCATCCTCATCATGTGGACAATCCGCGTGGCCGTCACATACCGCTGAACGAGGTATGCAGAAACCATCGTTGCAAGAAAAGCTGTCGGGATAACATTCTTGGCCAGAGCCGCCTGTTTCTTCTCTTTCCGCTATAAGAACACAACACGTCGTTTTATCAAAATTATTTCTATTTATTTCTCGAATAAAAATTCGCAAATTGAATGAAAAGAGTTCTATAAATATCTCGTTAAAAATGAGAAATCTCATTTAATTGTTCGAGTTGTAGAATGCATCTGTATTTTATAGAAATTGGGAAATATTCTGTATGACAGAAAGAGAATATAGGATTTCTTGCGTAATATTGTTTGAATGGATAATTAAATATCGCAAGTAAATTGATTAAAGCAATATGGAGAAAATATATTTATCTAAAGATATTCTTACGGCAATTTTTTTCGTCACTAGCATCATGGCAGTCGACATTTTGGTCGCAGAAGAAGTTCTTATTGATACAAACGCCGTTGTCACAGGGTAGTTGACCGTCGGGGCAGTCTGTAAAAATCAATCAACTTTGTTGAATTGCAAATAATGGAAGAGACACGAACGATCCCTTGTATACGTTCAAACGATATAAAGCGGCAATGTGCACGTTTGTCTAGTAACAATTGTTTTCTATAAGTGACTAACATTCTTGGCGTTTCTAGTCAGGTCGTCGAGTGAGGTCATGAAGAATACCCTCGTATGAGTCAGCCGGAAAAAAATTGTGAACGGCAATCGATGTGTTACGCGCGATCCGTCACCCTAGCACGAAGAAATTAGACGCGCGAGACTGACCAAGTGACTTCGATAATTATCGATCGATAAGGAGTCCCGCGAGAGGTGCTTCTTCCTGCGATGAGGGCGATAAAAGTGCGCTGATGCGGCATGTCAAATAAGTATTGTGCACATTGCCGTATACCGTACACCTCGAGAAACATGGAGACGAAGCGCGCGATGCCGCGTGCTGCACGCACTCACCTTAATTGATTAAATAGACTACACCGAGAGAAAAAGAGAAAATTTCTCAGAGTCGTGCGTGCCTTCACGTTTTAATTTATAATTTTCTTTCTTTTCAAGGCTACACATCACACTGGATTATAATCTGAGAAACTGTCGTATAAATGTCGCTTCTTTTATTAAATTAATTTTGTTTTAACTACCGTTCGCGTATACGCGAGCATTGCTCTCTTTTTTTTTTTATTAAATAGGTTAAACTTAGTTTCTCAAACGCGGAGAGGACCATCGTGCGAAACGTGACATTTACAAAAGTTCGCGTTACGTCAGTCGCGAGTGTATGTAACAACAGAGCGCGGTTTATGCACGCGTCAACGCGCGGCGTGGAAAATTGCAGAGACGTAAATAACCGGAGGTAAAAGGGCATTAGAGAGAGAAACGTATATATACATATATACATATACAATTATAGATATGTATATATACGAATAGATGCACAATTCAATGATTAGGCAACCTGTGCTGAAAATAGAGGGATAATAAGGTAATAAATAGGCATACAGATAGACAAGTAAAAAGACAGAGAGAAGTGAAGAATAGATAGAATTAATTCGATTCCCATCCATAATCGATGCAAAATGCATGTCAAGAAATTCGACCGCATAATCAAGATATGTATCATATGCGCAGTATGATTATTGAGTAATCAATATTCAAGATCAAGGCACAAACAGCTATAAGAGTCAAAGGACACAATAAAATATAAAAATATAGTATATAAAGTTAAAAATAAAAAGTGTAAGAAATGAAACTGAATTAATTATTTCTTAATTATTAATTTATCATATCCTATCTTATTGTTATATTTTATTGTGTCTGAACGCTAAAATGTGAAAAGATACGTATACGATGCTAAAAAATAGAGAGAGAAATTGTTTATCACACATGTGAAAGAAGATGAATTAAAAAGAATGAGTGGAAATTTATTGTGTTAATTTTAATACATGCCGCTTTAAATGTATATCGCTATATCTAGATTAGTACACGTCAGAGAAAATCAAAAGCAATTTTTAAGTTTGACGATTGGCTATTGAGTGTTTCGCAGGAACGAAGTCTTCCTTCGATTGATTTCAATTCATTCATCTTTCACGAAGTCGTTATCCGACTACAATAAGTGGTGTCACGACACGTCGGTGCTCGAGTCAGTCAACGTCCGGCTAAAACGTGCCCGGTATACGGCGAAATGAGATTAACAGCTTCTGTGTACGTGTATACGCGCCTATATTAGTTACACAGACTCTTAATTGATGACTTGAACACCGACGAGAATGCGCAAGAAGTCATTCGAGAGGTGGCCTCATCATTGTCACCCACTATGAACAGTTAGTTTTGCGTATAACGAGCACACTTTATAAATGCCCTTCACGATCGATATCTCGCATAGATCATTCAGAGAAGTCGCTCGTGAACGCGATCTTATTTGAAAAATCGACCGAGTGCATGATCAAATCTTGAACGAGCTTTATACGCTGCATTTTTCGCTGCATCTTGCCATTTTGCGAAAATGTGCAAGGCAAAACGATGCAAAAGATGAAGCATATAAACTTCTCTCTACAGATTTTATATTCTTTATTTTGTAATTTTATCTTGTAATAATGTACATAGGGGCAGAGAAGCCAATCTTGATGAAAGAAAGTTAATGAAGTATCGATGAAGAAAATTGAAAGTAAAGATGTAAGATAAAAATAAAATTAAATTTCAGAGACAAGAGAGAGATAAATAAAAAAATAATTGTGATAGTCGTAGCACTTAGTCCTGTATTCAATTCAAGTTTCGGAAAATGCAAACATATAACTCTTTCATAATGAACGATAAAGTAACGCAAGATTCATGAGCAAATAAATTAGCAAATAGTTACATTCATTTACTGTTAAGTCGCTAAGAATAAGTATCATATGCCCATAACAAGAATGCCATATATTGTAACCCACGATGAAAATGCTAATAGAGAATAATTTGAGAGATAATAAGGGGAAGAAAGTAGTGTTACGTTAAAGATTAAAAATAAAATAAATGGCGCACGGAGAAAAATTATCTTACTCTTTTTAATTAATAAATACCTAATTTTAATTATAATTACAAGATTGTGCGTGCAATCATTATCAAAATCCATGAAACATATTAACGATAAACTTTCTTCGTGCGATCTCATTTTTTATTGCTAATAAATAATACGCTAAGAAAGACACAGACCTAAGTTATAAAAAAATCTAAGTTTCCGAAGGAATTGAACAGAGGATGTAAAAGAAATTATAATTCTAAAATATCAATAACTTGCTCTAATTTTTTCTTGCTCAATGCAATACTATTGCAAAATATCGCTACACTATTCAGATGGCGTCTATAAAAATATATATAAAGCAGCACCTGATCGGAACTACTGTGAAGTCGATTTCGTTCTAATATAAGAGTGTTCGGCTTAGGTCTATATCATCCTCGGCACAAGTAAAATAAAGCCAAATTATAACCATTATGAGGGCAATTGATTTCGTCGGAGCCGTCCAAGCAATGCGATCGACCATCGCAACGTCTCTTATTGTCGAGGCACAATCCATCGTTGCATCGAAACCATCCAGCCGGACATTCGGTTACTACAATAATTACCAAGTTCCATGTCGAGTATTGTCGTGCATGCTACCCATAAGAGGAAGGGAGAGAGGAAAAAATGGCCTTACCACGTTGTCTCGCAAGATAATTCGTTCAAGATAATGAAATAATGTGTAAAAGGAAAGTGTTCGTGCCGCACCATGCATGATAATAATTTGTTATTAACACTGGAATAATCGCCATAATATATGAAGAATGTGTATGGTATGTGAAGATGTAAGCCTGTCATTCTTTTCTTGGAAAATGTTTTGTATATAAATTTAAATATAACTTTGCCAAATTTTCTTTAATTGATTACTTTTTAAAAGTTTCATGCAATAATCAATTTTCAAATAAAGCAAATAATAAGTAATAAATATTTAAAATTTATATAATTATTTAAATATTAAATACATAAATGTAACAATGAATGCTCGTGTGGATGATATAAGTACGAATTTTTTTTTTAAATACTGCTTATCGTTCTTGTTAAAAATATACTATTGCACTCTATTAAACTAATCATTCTGGTTTAATAATTTTTTAAGAAAGTATACAGTAGAATTCTTATAAATCCATCGTGACATTCATTCTTCTTGCATTGCTTAATTAATGTTATCGATCTATTTACAGGAGTTTGATCATGCGCGAAAATTTTTCTATCAATTATATTTTCAAAGATGCAAGATACGTGTGCAACTTATAACACGGACAAAATGCTACATGCGGTATGGCGCTGATCATGCATTACATGCAAGTGTGATTTTTTTTTATTCGCAAGAAATGCGACATCAATTGGACAGACTGATATAGACAATATTAAATCTCCTTTCAGGATTTAAGAATTTTTACAACGCTTAATCATATTAAAATACATATTTGGTTTATAAAGAAGATTAAATATAGAAATTAGAATATAAAAGTAATGATGTATTGTTATTATTGATTGTTATTGATGTTATATGAATAAATAATTAATTTATACAAAAATAGAAAAATAAAACAATTATTAATTCATCATTAATTCATTAAATTAATTAAAATTAATACAAGAATATATTTAGATAATAATTTAAGTAAATGGAATTTCTAGACATGCTGCATTAATAATGCATTATATCCGATAATATAAATAATTATTCTAATCGAAATACACAGTCAGATTCGAGAATTTAATTATGCATAAATAAGGCTCGTGTAATGTTTCTGTTTAAGAAATCTATAAAATTTTCATTGAATGAAATTGAATATAACTAGAGTTGAAGCCAAGCGCCGAAGAAGGCCATTTTTTATGATAATTGCGGGCAAAAGCTATCATATAATTACCACATTGATCCTCATCGGATCCGTCGCTGCACTGCATTATCCCATCGCATCTCTGATTTTCTGGCAAGCATTCACCGCTGGCGCACTTCCATTCGGCAGGTGTACATAGCCCTTTACGACATAAACACGTCGAAAGCTCCCGCAGAAAGCGTTAGGGATCAGGAAATAGTGGGGACTTATCAATGGTATCATTATAATCACTTGTCATATTTCTTATTAAGATTGATCAAAAATTCAATAGACAAAAAATAAGTTTAAGTACAATAAAAAATTTTAAAAAAAATTATATGAAGTATATAAATCTTTGATGTGTAAAATTTAAAAACTTATTAATTAATTTTAACATAATGGCACCATTGAATATTCGAGAAAATGTTATAATATGAATAATAAATTTTTAAATTGAATTGTCGATGACGAACATTCTCAATAAATAAGTATGAAGTAAATATGTATGAAGATCTTGTTATCTTGATCTTGTTATCTCTGATGTTGATTGTTGTCTTATATTTTTTAATAAGAAACTTCGATATTATTATGTAAGAAACAATAAAATTTGTTTCAAGTTTTTATACATTAGTTTAATAATTCTAAAAATAACGAATAAATTAGTGAAATAGAAGATTATTTTTAAAGATTATATCTTTGATCAGAAAACAATGATATGTATTCAACTTGTTTAAATTTATTTATCAATAAAATAATATTATTCACAAAATTGCCATATATTTAAAACAATTTGATATATATGCAATAAGGAAATGATAATGTATAGATTTATCAGATCAGAGATAGAGAGCGATAGAGAAAAAAACATTTGTCATCGTTATTATAAGTATATGGAGAAAGAAAACGTTTGTCATCGTTAGAATGTATAAGTATATGAAGAAAAGAAAAGAAAGATGTGGGAGATAAAGCCCTTACCACAGCCCCGCTCGTCGCTGCCATCGAGGCAATCAAAGATATTGTCGCATTTACGCCGTAGAAGAACGCAACCGCCATCATCGCAACGCATTTCCGTTTTTGGATCGCACTCCCTCCTAGATATCGGTGTCCAGCGTGCATCGAACGAGTCTGAGCGCATATACAAGCACATTCAAGGGAAATGATAGAAGGAAGGGAGCATCATCCAGAGATGAAGTTTAAGGGTATAAAGATAAGATATAAGGCGAGCGCTCATTTTCCTTCATATAAATGCAACTGTAATGCAGCTGAGAATGCAACAAGAACTAAGAAAGAAAAGGACACCAAACTTGCAAGCAAAATTGCACAAATGTGGCAAAGTGTTGCAAAAAAAATGCCAAGTAAAGAAAATATCCTTGTCGGATTCTCAAAATTTTCCATCCTTACTTTCTTATTATCTTTCCGACAATTAATAGATGAAAAAAATCAATCATCGTCTTTAAGATTAATAAAAAGTTCGTAAAGAGAAAAATTTGGAGGCACGATTAAAGACATTTTCGTTAAACACTATCATTGCATCTGAGCGTACAAGTTCATGCGCAATGCAGCTACTTATATATCAATGTATATATATATATATATATATATATATATATATATATTATATACATCGATATATAAGTATATGTATATATATATCGTAGGTTGCCTTATAGTCGCGATGATTTGCGGCGCAAACGGGCGAGAACATACCATCGACGACCGCCGTGAATCTTCCGTACACGAGGATTCGCGGGGTAATGCGTTTCCGGTGTGTCTCTCGATCCCTTCGCACTCGGGGTTGTACGATAAAAGTGGAGCCGTCGTCGAGAACTCGGTTCGCCGAATAAAAAAGGAAGAGATACTTTTCCATCTTCAATAAGTTGTCTCGATAAAGTTTAGTGCCCGCGTTTCATACGCGTATAAATTTCTCTAGCCCGATACGGTGACAAATATTACAATGTCCGTTGGTTCTCTTTGGAGAAGCGACAAGACGGAGAATCGCTTTCTCGACCACGGTCGGAAAACGATTGATCGTGAGAAATGTACAATGAAATGCAACCATCGTCTAGTATGTATCCGCGCGAGCAGGTAGATCCACTTGTCCCCACGTAAATAAGAGTTTTTTAAGAGGATTTGGCCGAAACCAAACCACGTTATGAATGTTGAACAAAGGGAAAAAATTTTTTTATAATACCGGCACGATAGTATTTCTTAAATCTTTTCTATAGAAATATACAAGTAGCTGAAACATGAATTGCACTTAAAAGAAATGTCAAGTGTTTAATAAAATTACGAATAGAAAATTATTAGTGATTCATTTTTTAAAATATAGATACGATTCGAAGCGATTTTAACTGTGATTATGATATATAATAGTATACGATACAAAAGAATCAATAACCGAAGAAGTTCAATCATTTATGAAAATATAGAGATTGAACGCATCAAAGCAGTTAATTCAGCCGTATTCTGCATTAGCGGAACAATCTAGACGAGAATGTTGCGTGAACATATGAATGAAGCAACGGACACACTGAAAAAGGAGCGTACTGATGGTAGGCGTAGTGGTGTGTGTAGTGTCGTTAGCGGATGGAGCGCAGTCCTCGTCGCTGCGATCTGGACAATCCGGATGGCCATCGCATCTGTAGACATCCTCGATGCACTTGTTCCCAGTGGCGCATTTGAACTGGTTAGGCGTGCATTCCCGCTCTGTATTTTGTTTTGTTCAGCGAACATATGCGCAAAGAACACAGACATTTTTACACATATAGTGATTCTGGTGCATATATATATGTATATGTATATATATATATATATATATATATATATATACATACATACACACATACATATATATAGTATATAAAAGCTGAAAGCTACTTTTAAACTTTTCAGAGCAAAACGCTTCCGGCACGAAAATGACGTGCGGATTTTTATTTCGAGACATTTTTTTAATTAATAGCTTTTGCTGGTATTATCACATCACGAAAGCGAAAAGCTACTTCTGGGGACAACGAGAATATCAGTTGGTAATTACGGTTGGTATGGATTGAGGCAGCATTGGAAGCATTGGAAATTATTTTTTTCGGCTCATATTTACAAAACATGAGTCTTCTATTGAGCTGGATAAAATGCTCGTGAAAAATAGTTCGCTATATCGGTTAATGCGGATTACGATGTCGCGTGCACGCGACGCGGAAAATGTGTCGTGACGATAAGTATAGCTTTCCTCCATAGGGATCGACTATACTTTTGTGGGAGGATACACGATTATTAGCTCCCCATAAATGTGTATAATAATACGCCATTATGAGGTCGTTTGTCAGCCGATTCTGGTATTTAGAATCAAACGTCGCGGAAAGAATTATTGTTTCCATGCATATTTGATGCGTATTAAAATAATATTTGCGCGTTTTCATAATGAAATATGATATAAAGAGCCGCTCGAAGTAACAAATCATTCACAAATATATTATATTGCACTGTTAAAATATATTTAGCTATTATGTTTAATATATTGTAATGATTAAATTATATTGTAATAATAATAATTATATTATCGTAAATTAATTAAAGGAAAAAATTACATTCATTGTACATATTACAACTTTATGCTCTTTGTAGTTTTTTATATCTTGTACAAGAGGGAAGTTTGAAGGATTAGGAATGAGTTAGGATAATAGTAAAATTACATAATTATTTACATAATTATATATATATATATATATATATATATATATATAACAGAGAAATGTACGTGCTGATTTTAAACGCAGAGATATCCGCAGTTTATATTTACAATCATTTATACTTCCAAAAGATAATAATTTTATTATTTGAACAATTTTAACAATTAATATTCTCTTATAATGGGCAAAATTAAATATCTTAATTGATAAATGTTCTACGTGTAAAAATTGACTCATTAAAGCGGCTTTATTATTCGAAGTTTTGAATTTAATATCTGCGATTAAAATCGTCAATCCTGATTACATTAATGTTGGATCCGGATTTCAAATAAGCTTTCTATAATTAATGTCTAACCAATGCGAAATAAGTCTTTTATTGGATCCAACGAGGTGGAATGATTAAGCGATTGATTCAGTGGCAAGCATTGTATATATCGAGTGCAAGCAAAGCAGAAATTCAAAAGCAAAAAAATTGTGTACAAAAAGAGAGAAAGAATAAAATGAATCACAACTTTCACACTCTTACATTCGAATTATATAATTCGCTAATTTGTGAATAAATCGGGACAATATAATCAATATAACTACACGAATATCAATATATAAAATTAATAAATATGTTGTTCATTCATTAATCATCAACAAAATTAAAAAATTATTCAAAAATCGGCATTGATATAAAATCTTTAGAATTAAATAATTCAATATATAATGCTGCACATACATATATATAGAGTATTTTATTGAATAATTTATTAAATAATTATATTGCCAATATATACAAGTCGAACACTAGTGCACGAATAAATAATTCGCACCAATTATTTGAAACCAATTTTTATGCGTTTGTCGTTAAAGGTCTACGCGTCACTTGTTATTGTTCAAATGGTATAACAATACTGATAAAATGCTAAAAAAATACTGTATTTCACTCCAAAAATTTTTTTTAAAGCTCAAGTTGTGTAAACGTCAAAATAACATCGGTTGACATCACGCCAGGAAGTCATTCATACACACACGCAGAATACGTTCTCTCTTCTTTTTTTTTCTCTCATTTCTTTATTTTCTCTTTTTTAATCTCTCTCTCTCTCTCTCTCTCTCTCTCTCTCTCTCTCTCTCTCTCTCTCTCTTTCTCTCTATCTATCTCTCTTTGATATCAGACAGCATGAAAGGTATGCATGATTATATACCGCAATAAAGCTCGTCTTCTGCCCTAGGGCAGTCATCGAATCCGTCGCAGGCCGAACTCTTCGGTATGCAAGAGCCATCTCCACAGGTGAAGTCCGTAAGAGGGCACGGGGCCAAACCTACAGGATGTCACCAGCAAAAACAAGACCCTCTTCATCAACGCTCGCATCATTTTGTCATTCACAGTCGCCGTAATTAATTTATTTTAAAATTTAAATTTGAAAATCAAGAATACTTTGAATGATGTAATTTTACTTACAACGGATTAAATAAACGTAACATAATTGTAGATAATTTTAAATAGCAGTTAATATATATCATTCTCTGTCTCATATTAAAATTATAATTACTATATTCTTGAAATAATTAACAAAAAAATTAAGAAAAATAATTTACAGCAATAAAAATATAAAGAAAACAATTTTCTTATACGAACGACTGAGACAAACGAGTTCGAGGTTGAAATTATGTACAAGAGACTACGAAGATACTATGGACATACGAAGATACATTTAAAGCAGTTTTAAGCATGATAGATAGCTTGTAAATCTGTACATAAAAAGCGTTTTTGGTAAATCGCGCGATTCTGCGCTCAAGAGATCTTTTTAGATTTCCTTTTAAAGCTTGTCTAACACATAAAGCGTTGTGAAGAAGCCCTTTGTAAATAGTTAGATTAAAAATTTCGATTAGAAGAGAAGATAGGAATATGAGACAATATTATTGTTTTTGAATCATAAAGTCGAAATATAATAGTCCATTAAATATAAATCAATAGATTATATATATACGTATAATACGTGTGTGTGTTATTTTTATAATTCCATAAATAAAAATATTTAATTTTAAACAGTCTCCATTCCTTTTATCTTCTCTTTTACTTTAACTTTACTTCTTAGATTATCTACAATGTTTGGGTATGTATAGATTCAGTATAACAAAAGTTGTTCCATAGAATATCATGAAAATTTCTCTTTCCATGACTTGAGGATGGAGAAGTGGATTCTATATCTTTGTGAGAAGCAAGAGAATGAGTATGTATATGTATTGATAATGATATGAAATATGAAATTGATGAAATAAGATGATTTTGTTTTGAGAATTTGTACTTGTTGAGTCAGTGATTGATCAATGATTTAATCACGATTACATAAAGATGTTGTATGTATGTTGATGTATACAGAATAATCGACTCTTATCTGTAATCGTTAATTGCAAATCCTCTTGAGGAATTTCAATGAGTCTAATAATACTAAAAAAAAATAGAGATAGACTAACAATCGTCTAGTGAGAAATAAGACAATTATTTTTGGTCATCGTATTTAAAATCCGCCATTTATGGATTCTTTTTTTCGGCCGTTTTTCTCTCTCCATAGAAGGCAATATTTTTACAGCAAAGATGGACGACACAATGTAAAGCTGCGTTACATATAATAGATGATGTGGATTTTTAATATCTGTCTGCAGTCTCCTATTAAAAATACACATAGAAAACGAAACACCCGGAAGTAATGTCTCTTAGACGTTTCCCATGATAGAGATCTCGGCAATTTCCCAAAGACGTCTACGTATTAGCCATTCTGACATCTTCAAAGCCATTTTCTGTACAGCAAAGATGACAAGTCGTTCCAAAATGATGTCACGTTTACTTAAAATTCACGTGACCTCGCATTCTTGTTTCACTCAGGCAAGAAACTTTTTACAGCAGAGACGAAGAGCAGAGATCGAGATCATCCACGATATATTACTTTCTATATAGGATGTACCTTCTAAGCTCAGGCAATCCTCCTCGTCAGTACCGTCCAGGCAGTCTTTCTTGCCGTCGCAAACGTTCAATGCGTTTATGCACATGTCGTCGCAAGGATGCTCATAACGACTACATCCATCAAGCAACGTATTCTCGATAGAATTCTGCGACGAAAGGTCAAACCTTTCGGGGTGTTCGTTGACTCTCTGATGCTCCTCCCATCTCTTGATGTACATGTAATCGCAGTTAATCTCGTCGCTGGCATTAATACAGTCTACGATACCGTCACAAACTTCATCGTCATCGATGCACGTGTACTTGTCGCATGCGTATTGATTGTTGTTGCAGTTATCGATCTCATAATCCTCTATATGTGTATCTTCTATTGGTGTCATGACGCCATTATCGATTTCGTTGTCTTTGGTAGACAATTTTTCTGATGAATCTTCTCCTTCTTCGCTATCGAGATTCGAAACTGCATCCTGCGTGATATTTCTCGTTACAGGGTGTGTAATACTTTCTCCATACCAGGACCATTCATCTATTCTTTCGTTATTTTCAATACTTTTTCCGTCCAAAATCGATTTTTCTGTCGTGCTACTTCTGTTTTTACTTTCTTCATTTGTAATCCTATATGTTGCACTTTTTTCTACACTGCTTAATTCGTCATTCTTTGTAAAATTAAAATTTGTCGAGAATGAGGTAGCGCTGGCTGAAGATATTTTTTCATCTGCGAAAAGATAATCATCATTAGTAAGGACACTATAATTGCCTATTTCAGTTTTATTTTCGGAATCACTTGTGACAGGAAACGATGTAACATCTTCACAATTAATCAATTCTTCATCTTCTTCATTATCTATTTTTTCAGCATACCACCAACTATTTTCGGTGGTTGTTGTAATTTGTATTTTACATTTCTTAAATTTTTGTTCTTTAAACACTGTTGATGAATAAAATATAGTATTATCGGTAATAAGATCCGCATTCGTTCTTTCTTCTGACTGAAGTCCTTCTTTGGTGTTGTCTTTTGTGAAGTGTTCTGTGACGGTCTCATCAACGTTAGAGGATTCCATCTTAAGAGGTTCCGTTGTAATTTCATCAGTAAGGTGCCAGTCGCTTTTGCTAGTGCTCGTATTCCGATTACCATCAGCTTTGTCATATCCTGGATCATTACGAGAAGACATAGCCTTTCTTCGTTCTAAGCTATAATCATTGCTATAATCGACACTCGTTGTCTCGTCGACTATCCAAGAGGCGGTTGACGTATATTTCCTCTTCGCGTTGTGATTTTTCTTCCCCTTCTTGTTGTTTTTATGATCATTATGACGATCTTTGTGTTTGCTGTATTTTTCGGTTTCTTTCTTTCTCGACTCGTTTTCATTTCGCATGACATCTTCATTGAAGGCGTCTGAAGTCCTTATTGAAGACGTCTTCATCCACAGAACATCGAAAGCATCCTTTGATCCTTTTTCTAGAATTATGGATTCTTGCGATTCTTTCGAGTATGCGCAATCGTCTATAGTTATTGATTCGGGCGTTTTATTGAAATTTAATAATTCGAAATCAATCTTGTCATTGCTTTCCGTCGAACTTCCGTTGCCTTCGTAGAATCTTTCAAAAGTGCTATTTGATTGCTTGTGCATTTTGTTCGTACTACACTTTTTCTTACTTCGATCACGATTCTGTTGAATCGAGTTATGATTTGATGTCAAAGAATCTATTGATGTTTTATTGATACTGTCAACGCTTGTAAAGGTTCGGTTAATATTTGGAAAATACCGATGTAACTCTACGTTTGGAAACTTAGATTTATATAGCAATTTTTTTATCTTCATCGAAGAGTAATTCCCATCAATTTTTCCAGTTGCAGGAACTGTTTTTTTAGATTGTGTGCGATTCATATCTATCACGTTTAAATTTCGATTAATGTCACTGCCGTCTGCCACCGTCACCATTTCAGAAGTTGTTATATAAGTTGTCTTATTCGAAATCTTAGCAGCTGTTGAATTATTCAGTCGAAATGCGGGTAGAATCTTAATGATAAATTTGTAAATCCAATTGTTAATCTGTGGAGTGGCATCATTTTTCGTAGCTTTTAAAATAGTATCTTTAAAATGGGGACTTTTTATATTATCGAAAATAATATGATTTTTATTCGATATATTTACCAGTATCTTCAACTTCTTAATTTCTTTTTCGAATTTCGTTTCTGTTGCATTAATATTATTCCGATATCTCCCTTTATTTTTTGAAAAAGTGTTATTTTTGACTTTAAGATTCCAATTTCTCGTATTAAAAATACTTTTTTCTGTAACATATCTCTCCTTTTTGGAATTTGATAAAGAATTAATTATCGCATTTGAATTAAATACATTAGATTTTCTTGGTTCATTGAAATTTTCTGCATTTTTCATTTCTCGCGTTCTATTCTGATTATTGGTAAATTGTAAGCGAACATCTTTTAACGAAATGTTGTTGTGTTTTAATCTCAACAACGATCTTATAAGATTATCTGACAATTTAAAAAATTTAGGATTGGAATTTTGAAACTGGATTAATTGTGATAAGGCGTGGTTAGTTAAACGATGAATTTTTATGTCGTCATTGCAATTCTTCAGGTCAGGTTTGCGAAATCGATCAAACTCTACGTTGTTCGATTCATGCTGCGAGGACGAGTTGTGCTCGTTATTTTTCGATTTAAGCGCAATTCTTGTCGAATACATTGAGGAATTCTGAAGCATGGAGTTTGGGAATTTCCGTCGTTGAGCTTCTTCCGGAAACGCTTCTAAGATCGGGTTACCGATCATCATGGCTGGTTTGATGGTGAGTCGATAGACACTTTCCGTCGTTTCGGGTTTCATATTCATATTCCTTCGGTGTTCTATAGGTTTTCGTCCGTAGAAAATCCACAACTTCCATGCAATCGCGTCGAACTTTTCGGCATTATAGTAGTTTCGCCATGGATACTTTTCTATGACGATGTATGATTTCGTAGTAAGTATGATTAAAAAGACATCATCGTAAAAGAAATTGGAATGTAATGGCAAAATTGATTAGGCGGAATTCTTGAAAATTACATTTAAAAAGTCAACGCAATATTTAGAAAATAAATTCGTCGAATATCACTTTTAAAGAGTGTCAAATTTTTACTTTAACTATAATAAAGTATTGGCAAAGAAATCCTCAAAGTCTATAACTTTTAATGTCTACAAAAATCGATCAAAATTTTTTCTAATCATTTCTACAAAATTAATTCGAATATTATATTTTATATCTTTTATATTTTGATAATCGGAAATGAATAAATATTTTTGTGTTATATAACACAACTCTATATTAATTTTTGTTTCTTTTTTAAATGCGTTTTAATCTTATTAACTTTAAATCAGTCGAAAAATCTGCCATTAAAATTTCATGATGGTAATGAAATATTTCGTAAACGGGATATTATATAATCTATCTAAATGCAACTTGTAATGTTAAGAATGTCTCGTTTCGTGTACGCTTCTGAATATGATGTAATTAAATATATATTGTAGTATACGTCTATATCGTGTGTGTAAGAGAAAGAGAACGAGTAAGTGTGCGATTTGTGATTTGGTGGAATGACATTATAATTACCGCAATCCCTCTCATCTGAGCCATCAGGACACTCGTTCACCCCATTGCACTGCAACTCGTAGCCGATGCAGCGGCCGTCTGTACAGCGGAACTCGGCATCTCCGCAACCTGCTCCATACACCACACTCATGCGCATTTAAAGATGCATTGCCCACTGACGCGTGTCAGCCCACCCGCATCCTCGAGATCGTTCATGATTCTCCAGCAAGCCGCTTAGAGCTTGCGGCTTACAAGCAAGCCCTTTATTATTCCGAATCTACCGTCCAAGACACGTGTCACGACAAATTGAATACAGACGCTAAATAAGAGATTCTACCGAGATAATATCGTATTTATGAATGATATACGATGCAATTAATGAAAATATCGATCGTACGGATATATTACTTGGACGGTAGAAACGGATGTTCGCACCTTTACCTGGTGAAATGTTTTCAGCTGAGTTGCTTTTGCTGAGGTTAGTACATATGACGAAGGATAAATATGTAGAAAGGCCGCAAACGGAGATAATAATCTGTTCTCCCTCAATCGAAGATACGTTAATACACGACGAAGTATTATAAACTAGTAGATAATTTTATCTTCGCGATTAATCTATCTTCGATTGACAATGAGAATTAATATCTCTGATCTGTGTTAACGTTAGTTGTAAGGACGTTGGACCTATCTTGCGCAAAAATCGATTAATCAAGGGAAACGCGTTTAGGAATTGGTAACGTTGTAAATTATGCAACTGAGTATATTATTGGAATGCAATTGGAATGAAATTCGGTGACGCGTTGCCTTCTTCGTACACGACTGATCGTGCATGCTCCAGTTTAGATCGCAACGTAATCGGGATTAAGTAAGGCGGCAACAACATTGGCTAAACTATTTCAGGAAAAGACGTTATTTTCGGGGTTGCACGCTGGACGTAAAGTTCGGTCAGCGTGGAAAATCGTAAATCGAAAGTCACGCGAAGCGTGCTGGAGGAAATTAAGTTTACGTATTCACATTACAAGGCGCAATGGCGTAACCAACGCCGAGGTTTTCGAATTGCTCGCTAGACGCATAATTATGTGCAAACGTAAATACATGGTAGTTTCCGTTCGCAAATTTTACCACTGCAACACAATAAAAAATTTTTCATTCGCGACGAGATGTACTGAAAAAGAAAAAAGGTGTTGCCTTTCTTTCTAAAATTTGAAAAAAATACTAATAAAACACCTATACAAATCACAAAAATTTTTACGATATTACTCGCATACTCGAGTTTCAAGTTTCAATGAGATCATTATTAAATTTATCCGCGAGACTTATTAAAGCGCCTGCAATCTTGTTGGTAAACTTCGCAGGCGCGTTTGATGCTCGTTTAAGCTCAAGCGCCCCTCTCGATCGCTCGTAAATAATCGCGTTGGGTAACCGACACTTAACAAAGAGCATCGGTGCAGGTTTATCATGGTAACTTATTGCTAGTATCATTGCGGAAGAATTGCGCGTGCAAAAGTGATTATAAATCTCATAATTAGTTAAACAATTGTAAACATGTCGCAACATATAATTTATGTTATCACTATTAGCGAAGACAATACAGGGAACAATAAAGGAATCAAATAATTTGGACTGTCTTAAAATCCGCACCATTGAAATCGGATTGGTAATTTGTGTTTTCACGGTATAAAATTCGATTGAGTAAATATATATAGTTCTAAAAAGAGGGAAAAAACAAGTTAGCTTACCGCATTGATGTTCGTCTTCGCCGTTGCGGCAATCAGAGATTCCATTGCAGCGCTTGTCGATGCTTAAGCAGATACCGTCTAGACAACGGAATTGATCTCCGCTACAGGTGGTCACTGAAAACAATAATATAAAGTCATAAAGAAAGAGATAATTTCATCTTTGTAGAATTTACATAAGATGATCAATGCATAAATGCTTTAAAAAAATTAATGATTATAAAATAATATTCATAATTTTATTGTGAGATAAAGATAAGAATAAATATTTGAAAACTGAGTAAAGATATAATTTTATCTTTAAATCGGAATTTTTTTCTCATTCCTGATTGTACCTGAAAATAATATAATTTTTAAAAATGAATTATTCGAGACTTAATAAAATGTAATATTATAATTATGTGAGAGAGAATAAAAAATCAAAATATATCAAAATATAAATAATATATCAAATAATATATCAAATAATATATCAAAATAAAACATATCAAACTCAAAGTATATATTGAAAAAAAGAAAATAATATACCGTTGCAATTATATTCGTCAGAATGATCGAGACAATCGTTTCGTCCATCGCATCTTGCGTTTTTGCTGACGCACGAACCGCTGGCGCACTCGAACTCGTCTGCTCGACATCGTGCTATTTAAAAAAAAGATAAAAAATAAAAATCTATAAAATAAAATAAGAGAGAAGAAGAAAATGAAAGAAAGGAGAAGAAAGAAAGAAAGAAAAATGAATAAACTGATAAAAAATATACGCCAAGCAAATATTCTTATATGGTAACTTTTGTAGCAATATTTCGATTTAATTAAAGGTTTTTATTCTCGTCCAAAACATAACGAAGAGCTATTGACTCAAAGCTTTTTTTGATTATTGTCGCAATTTGAACCAGTTGCTGAAGTATTATTCAATTTATGTGATATCAATTGCATACGGGTCACGTTGGAAAATATTCGATAGCCCGCTTTTTAGTTAATTAAAAACTGTTTGCCAAAGTCCACTTGACCTACAGTAAATATAGGCCGTTGTGTCACGTTACTCATCTGCTTGATATTTTAGTGACTTTAACTATTTATCGCAAAAATGTGTCATTGAAAATATAGTGGGAATTCAATACAACATCCCCTGTTTATCCCTAAATAATTTTACAGACTTTTATACATAATTTATATTACTTAAATGCAATTCGCAAGCTCTATTTACAACATCTATTTTTAAAAAATATGTCGTAATTCTCATTAATATTTTGGCGAAAAAAAATATTCACATCAGGTCTCGATTAGTTTATTTTAATATTATATATCACACATTTCATATCGTGTGAGTTTAAAAGTATCTGATTGCACCAGAAAAAACGCACGACTTTTCGACATAAATATCTAAGCTACAATTAATTTATTATTCGTATTAATTTTTTATTCGTAACGTTGGATAACGATTACTCCGCTCTTAACATTGTTAACTATTCACATGGGTGATTGTATCTCACGGAGAGTAAATTCGCGGCTACACGCGCTACCACATATCCATGAATATATAATTAAGTACAAGAATCGCTATCACGTTATTGTAAATGAGAAAACTTGCTTCAGCAATCTATAATTTTATCGTGTAATCAGTGTAAATTATCATGTGTTACTTCCTAATAAGTTAAAAACAGATTTAGAACAGATTTCATACTATGCAGGCATTGTCCACAATAAAAATTTGTGTCTTTCAACATATTGTTCAAAGATGGTATAAAATGTATACCCACCTATCTATCTCTCACTGCCAAGATGTGTATGTGTGTGTATTTATTGTGTAACATTACATCTACGTATATTCACGTAGAATCATACAAACGCGAGAACACGAGACTGATGCTCTCAAAATTTGATTAAATTCAATTTTTTTCGATCCTAAAGCTTTATGACAAAAAATAAAATAAATGTTTAAACTTGTAAATTATATTTCGTAACTATTGAATCTCATAGTGACCATGTTTGCCTATAATACGATATAACGTCATCGTGTTTGCCTATATACACACACATGCAGTTTGATATCCAGATGTAGCAGAAAAAGAATGTCATATTCTTTTTTTTTTAAGTAGATCAACAAGTCAAACAAGTTCTTGTCCTTATTAAAAGATCATTTAGTGCACGCATGCGTGACTACATATTCCAACCCAAGTAATTGATTTACATGCTTCGCGCGAGTGTGATGTTTCGCAGCTCGTTGGAGTAAATAGTGATAATTCGTACTCATGTTGTGACAATTTTGTTCATCCCTTCCATCGATACAGTCCGTGTATCTGTCACAGCGTCGTGATAAGGGCACACAATAACCAGGCGCGCATTCGAATTGGTCTTCCTTGCAGGCTGTAAGAATTCCATTCAGGCTAATTTGGGAAAATTTATATCGCCGAGAACGGCACGATGACCCGACTGACGTGGGTCAATTCGAGAGATGACACAAACACAGCTGAGAATGACGTTTACTGCTGACGAGGATTAGATATAAATTGACGAGTGGACGTAACACAGAGACAAACGACGGAGAAAGCACAATGATTGTCGACAATGATTAACGATTCTTCGACAAATTAAGCTGCATTCCTAGTTGGTGTTGAAGAACGATGTTCAAGTAAAGAAGAGAGATTTATAGAATTAGATTTTTCGAAGCAAATAAAAAGCAAATAAGCAATATAATAATCAAAATTTTCGTTTAAAAAGATCTGTTCTGCTTTAACTGCATTTAAAATTTGCCATAATACTTTTTTTTATTTTCTTCCTTCAAAGATTAAATATTCGTATGTTTGTTTCGAGTCAAATACAAAAAGTGCAGTCGAAGAAAACAGACCTAATATCAAAGTAATTTCAAGTGAAAAATGTAATTTCAATATAGAACCATAGCATGATGACATCAGATGTAAAAGAAGCTTCTAGAAGAATTAATTAGTGGTCGAGCGAAACGCGTTAAGTGCTAGGCCATTAATTAGCACGCACTTGAGGAAATTTCATGGAAGAGATTATAAATGAACGAGGAGTTACGGTCAATCGTGTCGTACCTTCCGCCGTACTCTAATTTACGATACCAATTAGTTTACGAGAGATAAAGAACCTGAAAGAGTCTAATCGTCACAAAAGAATATTGCATGATGTTCAGTAGTCACCTTTATCCATCTCGAAAATTGTTATTGCATGAATACACGTAGAAACGAAATATAAGTGTAGACAAATAAATATATAAATCACTACAAAATTATAAGGAACAATTGATTAAAGTAAAATGTGAAAAGCATTTATAAATAAAAACGACAAAGATTTTAGCAAGAATAAAATTTCAATGAAAAATACTAAATTGTCATCCAAGTCAGAAGCTTGGAAAGAAAAAAAAATAAAAATGACGGTATAAATAAATGATAGTTTTCTATCATTTGTTATAATATTTTGCATAATTACTTGCATTTTGCTTTATCTATTAAATATTTACCCCAATCTAAAGTATTCTGACCGCATAGAAAAATTAATCGGTTTCAAAAATATAGAGAGGAACGAAAATTAAAAAATAAAATAGCACTTTTGGAAAAATGAAATAGCGTTTTATCAGCGTTCAAACCGCGCGATACGAAATAAATAATTCTCATCGTGCCACCAAGTCATATGGCAGTATAAAATTACGAAAATTTCCACTTAATTGTCATTTAATTAAGTGTGACAGCTATCGGTTATAAAAAATTTATTCCGAATGCTTGCAGAAAAAAATTTAGCAGATTATAAAATTAATGATTTTGCTGCAATTTTGAGCGCAAGAAAATTTAGTCTCTTATTCTAATTAGTTAAAAAAATTACAGATTAAATCATTTTGATGACTCTAAACGGGAATGAGACATAGAGTTGTGAGTCACTTAATAAAGCGGTGTAGACAGCAGGAGATTCTGCAATTTCTGATATCATCTTAGGTTCAAGGTTTGCCCTCAAGCCTCGCCCATTTGACGATTGAATTGCAAACGAGCCGCGAGTTCAATAATCCGTTCACTCAGTGCCCACGGCAATATTCTCTCGCGTAAATATCCAGGTAATCTGAAAGCGATGTGCCAGATGCGAGAATATGCATTTGAGAAATTAATGATTTAACTTAAAAAATTGTGATTTTAAGCTAATTTCGAATTTCTTGAGATAATTATGATACAACATAAGTGTATAATTTTCATTGTGACTATAAAAAATATATAAAATCTTATAATATATAATAATAGTAATAAATTTATTATAATCATTAAAACTTTTAGATCCGCTAAGTAAGTTGTAAAATATCCGCTTTATGACAAGCCGCATAACATCTCGACGCTCGGACAATGAGAAACAAACATAATCTCGCACAAGGATTTAGCGGAAATGATGACTCCCTCGTGAGTGGCACGATTTCGCGGCGGGCCGTTTTTCGGGGAAGTTTGGCGGGCGTGACGCTCTTGTCACGAATCAAAATTGGATTAAAACGGTGAAAATGCGAAATTCCGGGACAGAGCATGACGGAAGGGCCGGACCCGACGTTCAACGTCAACGGCCCGTGGAGATTAACGTCGGATTAAAATTGCGGCCGGTTATTAGGGCGGATTAATAAACGCGAGTAAATCTTGTTCGACAAGGGACTATCCCGGATTTCCGACGGGGGACGCAACGTGTTCCATTTTCCTCTGTTCTTTTCTTTTTTTTCTATCTTTCTTTCGCAATTCTTGATGGCATTAACATCGCTAATGAGCTGTACGATGAGTTACGCTACAGAATGAATAAGAATTCGATCGACATTCTATTGATGCGCTCGTGCTGAAATTAATTATTATCATAGTTTCCGTACAATGAACATGTAAACGTTGTAATAATTGCGTAAACATAGTGCGCATTATCAAACTTATTATAGTAATTTCCCCTAATGGACTGCATGAAATTGTAATTGTAACATTAATATTTATAACATAATTATACATAAATTATATAAAACAATATATACAAACCCGAATACTTGTAATCTTACGTTATAAAAGCAGCTATAAAGATATTTTCTTAAAAATGAGGCTTACAAGCAAATCTTTGTGAGAGAGAAATATAAAATAATTAGAAAATTTAATTTTTGAAATTGATTAATGTAGATATTTTAAAATTTGTAATGGAATTTTCTTTTCAGTGATAATACTCAGTCTGTACATTCTCGACTGTAAATTCTTCTTATATCCCACTTTTAAAAAAATTAGACCGTAACGACCGAATGTAATTAGTGATGCAAGTGGTCGAACACGGCAAATCAGCCACGAAGCGTGCCTTCGCAAAAGACGACGGAAATAATAAGTTGTCGTGGTTGGGAAAAAGAGTTGGCAAAGAAATGGGGGTTAAAAGAAGAGAGAAAATGAATGTCGATGCCACATGGGTGCAACGGCCTTAAATGCGGGGCCGAAGAACGCCGTCACCACCACCACCATTTCTATCGTCACTACACCACTAGCAACAACAGCACCACTACCCACTGCGATCCTCGTAACTTTTTTTCCCGAGCACGCTATTGTTATTGTCATAGCTATTATAATTATTGAGTTCATCGTAATACGTCGAGACCCATTCGCGATTAGTTCCGGCACAGTCGCATGCAGAGCTCACGTGCAATGTTAACCGGCGATAAATAATGCTGGAACGTACAGGACGTATGTCAGTATTAGTGACGATTCCGCATGAGAATACTTTTATCAATACGTAGATTTGTAACATGTCGCCGAGAGAAGGAAACTTTGTATGAAACTTATTTCTAGCTGTAATTAATCCCTTTCATACATTTACGAGTTTATTTTATAAAAGAGATACTCGTCATGTTTGACATTTTTTCCCTTTAGGAAATGTTCCACAATGCGCATGCCATTTAAAATATAAAAATAATATATATTTTTTTTAAAGTTCATAGAAATATTGTACTATAGTCGTTTTCATATGAAAGGAATTAATGATTTGTGGTCAATCACACAAAAATATAACACATTAACATATTAATTCGTTTAAAATTCATTGTAAGTAGGATAAGAAAAACTGTTAAAATTATACCCACAGTAATGCACAATCAATGCACGATACTATTATTAAAAAATGACAATCTGCACATGCAAATAATTAGGATGAATATGAGCGATTATTTTTTGAATGTGGAAACAATACTTACGGCAATTGAATTCATCCGATCCATCGTAACAATCGTGCACGCCATTGCAATGTCTGTTAGAGTCGATACATTGTCCATTTCTGCATATGAATTCGGTCGAAGAGCAACCTACGCACAGAAAGAAGATACCAATTATTATAATTAATTTTAATCTGATTATTATAAACTATTAGAATTATAAACTATTATAAATATTTTTATTCACACAGTTCAAAAATATTTATGAATTAATTTCTAAAATTAGAAAACAGATATTAAAACAAATATTAAAATAATATACATTTGATACTTTAAAAATTATTTTCATAAATTCAGATATATTTAAAAATAAATATTCTAAATTCATCTCAGTTATCAAATGCTAAATTCAATTTCTTTCTAAAACGAAAAGACTTTGCCATCTTGTTTAGAATTCTAGGTTCATATTGCATATAAGCGAATTACGTTCGTGAAGAGTTGTGAAGAGTTGTGAAGAGAGATTGTTGTGCATCGCATGCTCTTCTTGAACGCTTACGAGATTCGCCGGATGCTACTTTGCCTCACAATACACGAATAAACCAATAATGGGAAGGTCGGTTGTTTAATATAAATTCTGAGAAGGTTGTACATAGCGGCGGATAAGATTTCAAAGGTGGTGCAGTTGACAGTAAGAGGCAAGGATAAGGTTGCAAGATAAGAGGTTGTAGGTCGGATAGCGCTTTACTGCACAGACATCGCACTTCTCGTTTATCTCCTTAGCGTGTGTCGTCTTCAATTCCAGGAATATCAGAAAGAATATCATTCCTTTCATATTTTTATAAATTTGCGTTACGAAATAAAATAATTGAGGTTCAATTCGTAATTGAGATTCAATCTTCTAATTTGACCAAAACTACACTTGGAAACGTCTCTAAAGTGTACATAGTTGTGCATGTACAATTTAGAAAAATATTAAATTACCTTTTTATATAAAAAAAATTTAAATTTAAATTATCTTTTTATTTTTAATATTAATTTTAATTTTATCTTTTATTTTAATTGAACACTCGATATTGAGAAAATAATTCAAGAACTTCACACAAAAACACATATCAGTCCTTGCATTTTGAAACGTGTATTGTTTTCATTATTGGATTCCACATCTCGATTCGCCACTTATTTTCTCGTATCGCACAAAGCCAATTGTTGTTACCGAACGATACACCCGAACCACAAACAGGACGTAAATTTTTCACTAGCTGGTCGTTCGAGGTTCAATGCACGGATCACCTCGCTCGAGTTTCGAAATCAGGAACGTGCAATCGTTCAGGCTATCCTATTTCAAATAAACATTCGTCCGCTCACAAGTCCGCCTCCAATTTCATTCAGGCCGGACGCGTGTTCGTCCGCTTCCACTTGCTGATCATCCGGTCAACGTGGCTGAGCCGCGTCGTTGCATCGCGCTTGGGCTCGAAACCCCGCGCGAAATGGCATCTCGTTTTCACATTGTTCCATCGACTAATGCGAAGAGGCACTTGTGAGCATGGAATGCACAAATAGTAAAGCGATTCGATAACTGTCGAAATAAACACGAAAAGTAAAACGAGGGATACGATGCTTCTCCAAATAATAAAATCGACGGTTGTTTAATTCGATGTCTCATCGAATTAAACAAATTCTTGTATGTATAACAGTGGAAAATGTTATTGTATTCTATGTGTAAAATGAAAATAAATATATCATGTGAGTATAATAAGCAATACATGTAGATAAGGTCTAAGGTTCTATTACAAATTCAATTTGAAAAATTATTGCATGAGAAAATATCAGATTTTTATGCTATTTCTTTAAAATTTCTAGCAAATATATTTTTATCAAACATATAATAAATATAAATTTATATACACATATATTATATATTATATATATTCGAAAATTAAAAAAACACTTCATATAGGTGTGTCATTTCATGACACACCTATACGAAGTGTTTTTTTAATTGAATGCATGATTTAAAGACATGTGCTGCTAACTTGCATAGATAATTAAATGTAGATGTCAATAAATCAATGCTCACGCGATATACGGCGGAAAAAAGGATATAAGAATCCTCTGGAGACTTACATGACCTTTGAAAATCACTAGAAAAAGGACGAGGCATATTGCGCGAAAGCGTGTTATTTTATCTCGAGTGTCTAGATAGATCGAGGCTACAATATTGCATTCATCGCTCAAATCGAGCGGCTTTCGGAGGAAGACAGTACGATATAGGACGGTAGCGACTGGCTTGCCGGGATTGATCATGTTATATATAACAACGACCCGGTATGCTTTGACATCGGAGACACGCTGTCATTCGACAGCTGATGCTCGACGCCGGAATCGCGCGCGGCACGGCAACGTAACGACGCGATGCAGGCGCGACAGGAATGTCCCTTAAAACCCTTTCTATTCTGGCGCATTACGCGTCCTAGGGCAGCGTCATTGTTCGGGTATCTCACGTTACTCAGGTGGTCACGGAGTAGCGGAGCAGCTTACCGCGTTGAAATTCGCACCGCGACCGAAGCGTGACTGCGCGCAATGCAAATCAAACTGGGGTTTGTTTATTAAACAGAGACCATTCTCGCTCTCTCTCTCCATCTCCCATCCTCTTGACGGATCGACAAACCGAAAGCGCCATAAGTCAATAGGATCTCGTACTCGAGGGTTGAATTCTCTGCGGTGTGCACTTCATGATCCGCGTTTGTATTAAGAGATTTTCGCACGAACATTTTCCGCTCGACTCGCTTGCGGAACTCTCGGCTCTTGGAGAGATTTGTTTCGATTACAGGATATTCAGTAATCGCGAAGGTGTAATAAATTTTACCTGAGAATAAAGATAACTCGCGTTTACACAAGGATGGAAGCTAGCGATAAAAACATACAATAGTCATTCCGGATAAATTATATTTTTGCACATAATATGTATTATTCAATTATCAACTTTATTTTTATTTATTAGTATTTGTAATTAGCGTTTATCTTTCTCTCATTTTAAATCTTTATGTGATAACTTATCACATAAATGTAAAATTTTTTATAATATTCGCAATTATTATTATTTATAGAAAATAAATATTTTTTTTTAAAAAAGCACAGATTTAAAGAAAAAGCATTAGCATCTATAAATATCACACATCTTTTAGATCATGACAATGTTGCAAGGAAAATATTGATTTTTAACTTCCGGTATGCAATATCCTGATAAAATATTCATCGTGAGATGGGAGAAGCGACAATACAGCGACGGGAAATCCATAGATCAATTGTTAGCGGTACCAAAAATAAAATTGTGTCTCTTTGAATACTTAATGCTTGTGATAGCAGAGCTATCGATGATGTTCCGCAATGTATTAGTGGCGCGTCGGAAATATGTGTCCCGCAGGTACATATTATATACGTCCGATAAATCGCGGATGATTGGGATCGAGGAAAGCATTATTAATCTAGAGCGTATCGTTTTTACTCGCAATTTCGAGCGTCCTTTAGGTATGCTCAAAGTCAAAGTATTGCGAAAGATTAATATAAATACACTTTACTACCGATATATTATGATGTAACATAAGAATTTTAGTTAATAGACTGATAGTGACTAATACGTTTTACGCAAAACATATTCACCGACTAAATTTTATACCCATAGTCCCAATACATAATATAAGAGATTAAATGATATTTCGCGTTTTAATAATACCATTTAAAGTAATATATATATACCAAAGAGAGAGGGCAATGTAATGTTTGGCGCATTAATTTACATTCTGATATTTCAAAGTGCACGCCTGCAATCTTGTCGGCTCGCTGCTTTTCGCGAGCATTCGGCTCGGTTAAAAGCTGCACGAGCTGTTGCACGCGATATTAATGTCGTCGTTACGATACGTCTACAAACCGGATGCTCGTGACAAAAAGACGAAGGAACAGTAAGCTCCATACTTGCTCTACTCCGGAATCCGACAAGTCAAGTTGCCGCTGCCTCGTGAATTTAAGGAGGGTACAGCAATTAAGTCGATAGAACGCTCATCACATTTACGAGATTGCCAGATTACTCGACGTTTCGTGCATAGGAAAAAGTACTTTGTACTCTTCAATCGGTCGACAATTGCGAATTAAGTGCTGAAAGTAACAAATCAGTAGATCTTAAAATAATATATATATGATTTCTTTCTCGTTCTAATTCTTGCTGTCTTCTATATATTCTCTATAATATTATTTAAGAGAAAAAAAATTGTTTTATTTAAATTTAAGCGATTTATCTTATCTGATTAGAAGATAAGCATATCGAATTTATCGATATTTATTAGTTTATTCGCGCCTTTTTATGGAACATGATACTGTATATTGTTCTAAAGATGTTGACCAGACGCTTTTCGTATTCTCATAACAACAACTTCAAGATGTGCACTTTGAAATAGAAGAAGGCCAGCGGTTGCGACCTCGCAGCAGTCCCGTCGAGAGCCACTCTAGCCGTAAATTATACAAATAACTTCCCCGTACGCCTTAGCTACTGCACAAGATCTTTGTGGAAGCTCACCTTGTGCACGATTCTGTGCATAACGCGTCTTTTGCGCGCGCATTAATCAGAATTGAATCACGAAGAGAAAAATGATGGCGAATAGCGAAACGAAGATATAAATCAGAGAAAAGTGGAAGCTATTTCTGAAATTCGATTAGATAACAAAATATAAAATTGATTAATGAGACAAAAATTTATGTTATTTGAAACATATTTATGTATACAGCTTCTATAAAGAGAATGATATTTACAGTAAAAATAATCCTTGCTAAAAATCGAAATGATCTTTCCTTTGCAAAAATTCAATCAAAGACTATAAATTTTTAAGTTTTGAACCTTTGACCTTTAAATGTTATATTTCATTATAAATATATCTCAAGTTAAAATTTTATTAACATAAAGAGTTCACTTAAAATTAACTAAAAAATAATTTTTTTTAATATTTCAGAAAAAAACAATTTCTTTTAATAGATTGTAGGTCAGAGTAAATCTTATAACGAGCTATTTGTGTCTCATTTTATTTTTGTTTTAAAAAAGTGTGCTTATCAAATGAAATAATTATCGACTTGTATATAGATCGAAAATTGAATTTGAACGA